CCTCAAGTCTCACAGACAACCAATCCCCACGCACTGTCTACAGCCCCTGCGGAACCGGCGAGATGACACACGCACTTGTTACGATATACGATCTGATCTGATATGACACGTTTCACCAAGGTACTAAGGCTGTCCTGCTAAGCGGACTCCGTTCAATTCGGCATATTCCGTAACCAGATAGAGAGAGAAGACCGACAGGCGGTCGGTTCTTTGTGAATGCAAGCAGGAACCGCACTATCTATCGCAACCAGTTTGAAGCAATTTCTGAATATCGCGATGACACTCTAGTGACAACAATGTCCAGCCTAAAGAATTTCGTAAACAGCATCGCTTTCTTCACGCTCTTCACGCTCTTAACCCACTTCCAGATATCAACTACGAAACGCCGAGCGGTACATATCTGCGCTCCTTTCTCGCACTTACCTTGCCTGCTCGGTTCGCAAAACAGTAGAAGCGCAACCATGTACTTGGTCACCTGGATGCGTCGAGTGAGTAGTTTGTCTTCATCAAAGTCTTCTGCGACAGGATCATTAAATTTCTCCATAAGCCGCGCTCGTTGCACGTATCTATGCGGCCGTGACCTTGCAACTACTCGAGCAGGTTGAAATAGATCTTGAAATAGACCTGGGGCGTATCAGGGGCTGCACGTGATCTAAGGACTGGGTGGAGGGCTTGCTACTCTCTAACCAATCATATTATTTACCTATCTCACGTAAAGGCGTCACTCTTTACGGCTCTGTTTAAACACCTGGGCTGTGAAAGCCCACCTTCGGTCTACGTGCGTTGAGTCCATATCTGAGGGCCTTTCTTTTCTCTGAGGCCAGTACTTTTCAATGATGGAAATTGGCCCGATGTGCAATTTCCCTGTAGGTACCCAGGATCCATGAATGGAATGGGCGGACGTCGGGAAGCCAACACGTTTAGGCAAGCTCCGGCATCGCACTAAAGCCAAAACAGCCAATCAAAGATACGACAAGCAGTACATGCTGTACCACAATACGAGACTAGGAAAGTCTGTCAGGATGAGAGCTTTCTTGGCAGTCATCCGTGTTAGCGAAGTCAGAATCAAGTTAGAGTGTCTCTGAATGATATTTTTATCATTTGTTTATGCAGCCTGGTCATCTTCCCATACATTTAGACAGCTAATTGCGGGAAGTGTGAAGAAGCTCCGCAGGGATGAGAAGCAAGCAGTCAATGTTGTCCTGGATAAAGGCACCTAGCTAAAGTGGTCTTGATTCAGCCGCTGTACAGGTTATAGTCTCTTGTAGCCATCGAGAATCGAGGATTTTAGCTGATAGAGGCCAGCGCACGTAGTCAATATCCAGCATCGAATATATCACTCGTCGGCTTGCTATCTATTGTTGCAGAGTTAACACGCCAGCCAGATAGAAAAGGTGATCGGTACGAAACATTGCATATTTCCTCAACAAAGAAGTACCCCTTTTCAACCATACGGTCTGCGATGTACTCTCGAAGATACTCATCTTGATTGGTCGCTATCTACCATGGAATCACACCCGTTCTCGTCACAATGTAGGTTAGATGCAGCCCAAATGTCGACTGATCTATGTAGGATCAAATTCCTCGCAAATATATTGTTCCGGCGATACAAAAGGGCGTGAACTACGTGTCCTACACTACACATATGTATATGGGACTCCCAACAAAGGCGGAAACATTCAGCGCACCCAAAATCGGAAGCCTTGATGCAACCATTGGGGCTGAGGAAAACATTCTCGGGATTAAGTCGCGATGAGCAATTCCCATCTCATGCTGGAAAACTCGGACTCAACGCGCCTCCGGTAAGCTGTTTCACTTGATTCTGGTCCGTGGCAGAAGACTTTGAGCGCGTAAAAGCGAGGAATGTTCAAGTTCCACTCTTGGGCTTTGTGCGACAATACGAAAATTCCAGATGAGCCGTGGCCCACGATATCGCATATAACCCCCCATTTCTGCGCTAGGATTGCCATGTTTTACCAACTACGATGCCGGTCTGTTGACTCGCAGTCCATTGCTCCCAATCCAAATCCACCTACGATTGCGAGCAAGCTTTAGGTCTTTTTTTGAAGGATATCCAGCTCTTGTTTCGATCTTTTTTAAGAAACTGTCTTTTCGACGTTGGCGGTTTCAGGAAGTGGCAGTGATCCCCATTCTCGAGCATGAACCTTCTGTTTCCAAAGCCACGTTTTCTTGTGGTAGTTGTAGGAAGTGGAAGCACGTTTTGGGTCGCCTCTAAACCCACTTATGAGTCGATGGGAGTTTGAGCTATTTGAGCTTGATTTTGTCCGCGATTGCTAGGGCTTTCGTGTTGTCTTTGTGGGGGTGCAAGAACCAAAGTGTTTGGGTGCTAGCTGAAGTAACTTTTGAAGACACTTAGGCATATTCTAGCGTGGTGGATCAGCCAACTGGGCTTGTTCCAAGGTTAAACAATACTCGCATATGCGAAACAGAGACCGAACTGAACGTACTTTGATGCGTTTAAGTGTTTGTTTTGCCCGAGAACCAGCCGCCAGAAAGATATAAGCAGATATGTGCGTTATTGTATCACGAGGCAGACTCACCAGCCAAAGCTCAGAATTCAGCAACGCCCTCGTTTTTATTCTTGGCAATTCCCCGTTTACGGGGACTAGGCATTCTTGGCGCTCTTGGCACCCAATTACTGAATCTTGGCACGTGGAGGGTTTCTTATCAGTATTGCCATCATTAGATGAGCCCCGACAATTGTTGCCACGACAGGATTTTTTTTTTTTTTTTTTTTTTTTTGTTTTTTGATTATAATCAACTAATCGTGCCAAGCCCACCTAGTGAGAGCGGTTTTGGCACTATCATTGCCTGATGACGGAGGAGACCGGCCTACAGACCCAGCCCAAATTCTCGGCGCCAAGACCATAACCCATCTCTTTCAATGACGGTTCCCTGAAACCGGCCAGGTCGGCCGATAGGCCACCTACAATAGTCGGCGGACTTAAAAGTCGCCTATAATCTACAATGCTGCATGAATGTCACTATCTCGACTTTATTACTTGTCAACTCTAGAGAATAGACTTACTGATATTAGGTTATGAAATAATCCCGCGTCCTGCGGCCCAGAGACTGAATTTGTGAAACTCGTGAATATACTATCAGGGTTCGGCAGGCGCGCTGTGGGTCTAAGAATCCAAGAGCTTGACATTTCTCTGTCAGATCTTGCGCGTCGTCAATCGATAATCCAAGATGAACCACAGCCCAAAGTGGTGATGTCGCTCGCGCCAAAACGAGAATCAATATGTGTACCAAGCAATAATATCTGCGGAGTCTACGTTAGGCTCGCAGACATTATGCTTGCAACCAATGTTACATATAATAGCGTAAATGAAACTCCCGACAAAGCATGAAAAGTCGGAGCAGCAGAATTCGAAGATGTAGCCGTGGGCTTCGCAGAAGTAGTTGTAATATTCTCCTTGCTGCTGTTTGCAAGGTCAAAACCAACCCAAGCATTTCAGTTCCCAACATCATCCGGACAAGAGTCTGAGATGGATGCACCTCGAATTTCCGCAATCTTGTTCCCTCGCCGTGATATCGTCACTACCACTTGCCCGGTATTGCAATCGAATGGCGCACTGCCGTGTTCAAGTCCAACCTGACCAGGTGGTGTACTCTTCCACTTCCCATCTTGCACAACACCGCCAATGTCGACCGCTACATCCACTCCGATCGCGGAATGCAGCAGTGCAGAGTAGAACACTTCGTCTCGCAAGATATCCGTCGGTGGAACTAGGTCCCACCAACATCTGAGTGGAGCCACGCTATACCTAGTTAGGACAACCTTTTGTAATATATCTTTTTCTGAGAGTCTAGGGGTTGTAGATTTTGGGTTGAATAATCAGTTCATAATCATTATAGGATTAGATTCATTATTGTACTCATTTGTACTCCGTAAAAGAACAGGATTTATTACTAGCGGCTCATGCAGCTAATCTCATGTTCTCACCTGGGCTTGCGTGGCAGGGTAGTTCGGGAGATAGGAGTCCCAGAAAGTTAGAAGTTCCTAGATTGGGAATACTTTTGGTTGCTCGTAGGAGAGGACTTTAGATCATCATCAACGAAAACCACAGAGACTCCGTGCAATTCAAATGAATGGGCTTGTCGACTACTCCGTACAACATAAGCACCTGGAGCCCTCCCAAGGAGGTCAGCAGTGCAAGACGACCCTAAGCCTCTGTAGTTATTTCCACTAGCGCGGGAAAGGTAGCAATGAGGATTTATGAAAAACCCCTAGACCCTGAGATGTGCTACACCTTGGCCATCAACACAAGAGGCATGCGCAGTCTGCGTGCCTATGATTCTAAATAGCCCATGTAATCTGCTGTTGAAGTGGTGAGTATAGATTTGAGAATAGATCTGTAAGTTGTAAGCATGGCACTTGCCAAAGGACAGTGTTGTATTATACTCGTCACGAGTGATGAGCAGGACCAGGCTCTACACTACATGGAGAGAGAGACTGGAAAATTCTGAGTTCGTCCGAGGAAGGGGAGAAGTGAAGGAAAATATCCAGAAGAGAGAGAGCTTCTTATAGCCTGGCTCTAAACAAAGAGATCTTTGAAGTGAGTAGGAGCATGGTATGTGATGGCCTCGATTTTTAGCCCCGGGAAAAAGTCAAAGCTGATGAGGTCCACGAATTCGTCTTACAATACGGAGTAAATCTCTATGGAGTACACCATATGGAGTATGGATTAGCCAGAAACCACCTGTTGCAGTGCCGGTTGGTCCCTCATACATTTTGTAGAACCCCTACGTAACTGAGCGATCAAACCAACCTATCTAGGTGATGCTTATTGAAGGCCAACACCAAAATTTTGAAGTCCAGATCATTCGGTGTTGAGCTTCTCAGGGGCTTTGCCAACGCCCAGCGCCGGGTGAGTCACCGTGGGGCTGCGAACCGTATAAATCCCAAGGTTGGTATCAGCCTCAACATTCTGGAGGATTCCTCTATTATCATCAACTAGAGCAACACCCTCAAAATGGGTCCATTGGAATTCATTGTTCCCACAGCTCTGATCCTGATCGACAACCAGTCAGGCTTCTGCAACCCAAAAACCATCTCCCATTGGGGCACCACACGGTCCAACCCAAACTATGAAACCAATCTTCAAGCCCTTTTATCTGGTTTCAGAGCTGCCAAAGCTTCGTCCCCAGTTCCCCTGGAAGTGATCCACATTTTTCACTCCTCCACAACCCCGGAATCACCTTTTCACCCATCCAACCCTGAGGGCGGCATTCGCCCTCTTGATTTCGCCACTCCTACTCCGGATGGATCGGAGATTGTTTTCTGGAAAACTGTCAATTCGTCTTTCGTTGGGACTGGGCTTGAAGCGCATTTGCGTGAAAAGGGCTTCCGTCAACTTATCATTGCTGGGTTGACCACAGATCATTGCGTGTCAACTACGGTGCGGATGGCCGCGAACCTAGGGGTGGTGGATCGGTATCTTGGGGATGGTCCGGTACGGTTGAGATCGGACGGGACTCATGAGAATGACGTTGATGTTGACAAGGGGCGTATTGTGCTTGTTGAGGATGCCACGGCTACTTTTGGAAAGGCTGGGATTGACTCGGAGACTATTCAGAAGGTTTCTATTGCAAGCCTCGATGGTGAGTTTGCCGATGTTCTCCGCACGGAAGAGGTTGTTCGGGCTTTGAGCAAGGTTTCAAACTAGTTTGAGGGTCGCGAGGTCTATACCTAACAGTTAATACATGTAGTCCGTGTCTGAGTTCTGCAAAGGGGGCTCAGCATGACTTTTCTCAATCCCTGGTTCATTCCGCCTGTGAATAAATCTCGTCCCATCTCACTTGCCCTAAGGGAACCAGCATAGACAGAACTGGTACAGTCTGATGAGAGATTATTTTTAGAAGCGTCAACAGTGGTCAAATCCGAAGACATCAGCGTGACAGATGGATCTCCAGAGTTGAACTCTAGGCAAAAATATTTTCTTGGTCTCAATTACAAAGATCTGATGAATTTTACCAGACCTGCGAACTACCAAAAGCGACTGCGGAGAATACCTCATTCGGGAAGCAATCTTGACCGAAAATAGTCGCGGATGTGCCTTGTCATAGTTAGGCCATTGCGATAGAAGCACGGGGACGGTTATCAAAATGCTTAGTGTGATTATCAACACTTGTCGAGTGCGATCAGGACCTGATATAGGGATATAATAGGTGGGATATGTGTCGTAACTACTTGATAGATCCTGCAGCATAGAGCGGAAAAAAGAGATGAACTCAACCCACGAGCAAAACGATCAATAGGATTATAGTAAACTACGATGGTCCTGCATTTGTGAGACACAGTAAGCTATACTCGAATTATACTACCTCACGCTCCAGATATTCTTTTAGTTCGAGAAAATGACACTTGAACAAATGATACTTAGAACGGCTGTCCAATTATCCCAGCTACCATAGGAGTGCTAGGAATACCTCTAGATATATAAGAAAAGATTATAATCAAGAGGGCTGCAAAATTCAGTTCGTAGAGAGCAAGCTGGCTCTTACTGACTAGAAAAGAAAACAAGACAAGTGAATCGACACTATAGTTGCCATTCGATAGGCATCTACTTGTTCAAATTCACCTCACTTCCCACTCCTACTTGAAATAAAAATGAGTCGAGTTTCCTTAAGTATAGTACACACTACTGTCTATGATATCTACAAGCTACATGGAACATGGACTGGTTGTCTCTCTCTCATCCCGTTGTACATTGGCCGATGAAACATGCGTACAGGTTATGCAAACAAACAAAAAGAATACAAGGAAACAAGGAAACAAGGAAATAAAGAAATAAGAAAAAAAGGAAATAAGAAAAAAAAACAAATAAGGAAACAGAACTTTGTGGCGGGTTGCCACTACATGAGTAGATAGTTGCTTTTGCCGTGGACAAGGATAGACCAGACTCCAGGGCGCCTCTGGAACCCAGTCCCCTCGCCTTTAGGCTCGAGTCAACTGTTTTTTTTTTCATCCCCTCAATTTCTCCAGTTTTTCTCGTTTTTTTGTTTGATGTCCTCAGACATCATGAATGTCTCCTCATCGCTCCAGATGGCGATGGGAGTGTTTTCCTCCTCGTCACTCTCATCCTCCTCATCGTAGTCCGACTCCCAGTCACTGGGGGAATCTTCCTCCTCAGTGCTGCAGTCGTCGGCTTCGCTTCCCAGATCACTCGAATCCTCGTCCTCGCTTTCCTCCCGGTATCGCAGTTCCCACTTTTCCCATTCATCCCATTCATCCTCCTCATCGTCCTCAATGGCTGGCAGAGGGATGGGCTTAGTGGTGTCGCCATCCACGATAGGCCATGCCCATTGGAGGAGGGTGTCCATCTTGTCGGCGTAGTCCTCCGTGTCGAAGTCCAGTGCTTGGGTATAGGCTACTTTGAGTTGGCCATCGTCAAAATACCCTTGCAAGATCCGGACCCGAGCATCAGGGAGGAAGGAAATGACCATTGTCTAGCGACCAGTCAGCGATTAAGTTCTCTGGCTATGCGATTGAAGGGATGGAACGTACTGGGAAGTCATGTTGGGGGGACTTATGTCGCTGCTTCCTGCCCAGGTAGCGCTTGTGCTTATTGATTGCATCAAGCATCCATCGAAGAAGAACCACGAGTTCTCCAATTGCGGGGAGAAACTTGTGGTAGCAACGGTCGCTTTTCATCACGACGAGCTGATGTGCTGCCTTGCTGTCGGCGCACGTGGCTGCACTTTCAATGGTGAAGCCGTGACGGTCGTTGCTGTTGAAGAGAGAGGCTTCTTCTCTCATGCTATATTGACGGGATGTTAGTCTGTATTCATATCCACTACGATCTATTGTGGATAATAAACTTACGAGACAGGGTCCCAGAAGACAGGCGGCCTGTGGCCGTTGGGGGATTTGCGGATGTACTTGGAAAACGCCGCATGGAGACTGTGGTGCATTTCTTGGGAGCCGAAGGTGTCTTTGTTTTCCTTCGTTTCCCGTGCCCACGTGAAGGGGTCATCCAAGGGGTCTTCGGGGTTGAGGGCGGTGTTGTCGATTTGGACTTCGGTGTCGATGTCGGGGATGAAGTATTGGATGAAGGAAGGATCGGTGTCCCCAGTCCAGAAATCCATCGGGTGGATATCAATGTCGCAGTACTCGTTGGATATAAAACCGGGCTCCATGTGACGGAGTTCCCGGTCTATATCCTGAAGGCAGAGCGCCTTCTGCTTATAGCGCCAAACCCAGGAAGGTGCACAGCCGACCATTGTGGGATAGGTATCTGAATACTTGGGGAAGGAAGAAAAAAAGGGAGATGCACCGGAAACCAGGCGATCTTTTATGTTTCGTTTGATTAAACCTTTGGTCTACCTCCGACAACTAAACAATACTAACTAAACCTAACTCAGATCATGGGTGGGCTAGATGCCCAGACTCGCTGCCAGGGTCAAGGCGAACCAGCCTTCAAAAAGAGCTCCTCTGATCTATAAAGCTTGTTCCCTATGTCCGGAGCTTGTTTGAGCCACGGATGCCTGTCATTAAGGCTATCCGACTACCGAACAGGATATGGAGAGTATACCTACGTGTGTATCTAGTTGCCTAGGTACGTTTGGAACCTATTTACCATGGTAAGATAGGATCAGATGAGCATCTGTAGCAAGGTATCGAGTCGCATGCATGTATCCATGGATATATCAATGTAAATGATATTCAGCTCTTTTCGTCTGGTAAAGGCAAGTGCTATAGAATCGATACCAAATAGGCTTAGTATACAAAGTGGTTATATCTTGCGTCATTAGTAGGCAGTTGCTTAACATAATCTAAAGAGCTAAGTAAAATAAGAGAGATATGAGAAGCAGATGAGATCTGAATGAAGGAAGACTGAATGAAGAAAGAAGCACACGGGAAACAGAGCAAAGGCCACGTAGGTAGTTGGTTGATAGAAAGACAAGCAAATAATTATGATAACCTAGAAGATTGAGTTGTTCTTTAGAGATCAAGATTATGCTGTAAAGAGAAAATTCCAGGTTCCAATTCGCTCTACTCTTGCGCAGGATTTTTAGTATATACCATGCCTACATCACTTCTGATCAAGACCAAGGGGCTATCGAAAAGACACACTCATATGAAGGAACTGAACATGAAGTTCAACAAGGCCATGCAAAGCAATGTCAACTTTAGATGCCACAAAACTTGATAGGGAATGGACCGATTGGCAGATTGTTCGATTAGATCCAGTGAGTCAACTGGGGGGCTATGCAGGTATCTCGACCTCGTATTACTTACAGTAAAAGACATTGTTGTCCCAACTCATGGTTTTACAAAACCATCTGAATCTCTCATTCAAAACTACAGCATGCCTAGAGTCCTCCGAACAAACGAGAATGAGCTCCATGGTTCGACGTTGACAGAAAGTGACGACAAGGCAAGACCGTCCCTGAACCGAACTGCGCACGTAAATTGACCAAGAACCAGTCTGCAGAGACCCGATTCGTTACGAAGTCGGAGTTCCTGATCACTACAGATCAGGAAATGTACGATTTTCTACAAGAAATCGTCATGGAAATGCAGAAATTCGAGTGTCCGAGGGCCGAAGCAGTGGCGCGCATCAATGACCTCTGGGGCGGGATGGTTTTCAAAGAGCCTGATCTGCTTACACACGAGATGCCCGAACACTGGGCGCATTTTCTTTACTATGAAGATGCGAAATATTGGGATGAGAATGAAGATAGGTCAACGTGGACAGTAAAGGAAGCACCACCTAAGGAGTCTGCTTCGTGGACATTGAAGGAATAAGTTCCATCTGATTATATCTACCGTCTATTCAAATTGACATGTAGCTCACAATAATAATTACACGAGCATAATTACTTCACGGCCCTCTAACACAAAGGAGAACAAGAATAGAGGAGCAGCCGAATAAGGAACAACTCATAAAACCCCCATAAGGGTAAATGGCAGATATGCCTCGGATCCCCGGCTTCAAAAACAAGATAATAAGGCATGCGATACATCAGAACAAGCGATAATTTTAAACAAGGTCACGCTTGACGAACTCGGCAAGGAGGGTCTTGCCGAGGGATGCAGGGCTGCGCTCAACAATGACACCAGCATCGGTGAGAGCAGCAATCTTGGAGTCGGCACCACCCTTACCACCGCTGACGATGGCACCGGCGTGACCCATGCGGCGGCCGGGGGGAGCGGAGATACCGGCAATGAAGGAGACGGCGGGCTTGTTGTGGATGTTGTTGGCCTTGAAGAACTCGGCGGCGTCCTCCTCAGCGGAACCACCAATCTCACCGATCATGATGATACCGTCGGTCTCGGGGTCCTCGAGGAAGACCTTGAGGCAGTCAATGAAGTTGGTGCCGGAGAAGGGATCACCACCGATACCGACGACGAGGGACTGACCAAGGCCGGCCTGGGTAGTCTGGTTGACGGCCTCGTAGGTCAGAGTACCGGAACGGGAGACGATACCAACACGACCGCGCTTGTGAATAAAACCGGGCATGATACCGATCTTGCATTGACCCTGTGAACGAGAAAGGTAAGTATTAAGCATAAGTTGATTATTGTGGAGATGTGGAGTGGCAGCTTACGGGAGCGATGATACCGGGGCAGTTGGGACCGATCAGGCGGGTCTTGTTCTGGGTCTTAAGGATATCGGTGATGCGGACCATATCTATATTGATTGATTAGTGTGTGCGTTTCAATGTTGATGGACGATTCATCATACCATGCTGGGGAATACCCTCGGTAATGCTATTAAACAAAAAGCTGTCAGATAGGAGCTCTCGGCAGGAGGTGGGGAGCTCAAGTGGACACATACCAAACAACGAGACCCATCTCAGCAGCGATAGCCTCCTCGATGCCGGCGGCGGCCAGAGGGGGGCTAATTGTAGTTAGCACTTTTATGTTGACATTTTGTGGGAATATCAAAATCATACGGAACAAAAATGGCAGAAGCTGTGGCACCAGTCTCCTTAATGGCCTCACCGACATTGGCGAAGACGGGACGATCAAGGTGCATACTGCCAGCCTTCTTGGGGTTGGTACCACCGACGACATTTGTGCCTGTTCTGTGTAAGCTATTGTCCTGATGCGATCACCGCTAGATCAATGTTTACCGTAGGCGATAGCCTGCTCAGCGTGGAAGCTATCATCGAGATCGAATGTCAGCATTGAGTCTATGTGATGATATTTGCTTTCGCTAAGGATCGCACTCACGTTCCCTGCTTGCCAGTGAAGCCCTGGAACAGAACACGGGTGTCCTTGTTGATCTTGAGGTTGTTCAAGGTCTCGCTGTAGGCAGAGGTGGCCTGAGTCCGACGCTGGGAGGCACCGACATTGCGAAGGGCCGAGAGGGTGTTACGGCGGAAGGCCTGCATTGCTGCAAGATTTAGATATTAAAGTGAGGTGAGATATGAAGGGAGATAAAAAACAGAAAAGGAATTGGGGCTAAAAGGCGAGGCAGGAATTCGGGTTGCGCGCCCGGGAGTTTTCGCTCGGCATAATGATTTTACTTAAGCGGAATCCAGCACCTGTCGGGCGCAGACCTCGGTGACCACATTTTTCGATCTAATCATCTTCACCCCCACTACGAAGTACGCGCTTGTCGCCTTTGATCTTTTGGACAATCCCCCGCCTAGGCGCGGTATTACTCTTTCATCATGGCTACCATGACTTTGACCTCGCAGGAAATCAAAAGGGCCGCCAAGAAAAATGCAAAGAATGTCCCGGAGAACGAGCGGTTCATGCGAGCTTGTTCGGATATTGCAAATGCTCTCATTCAGGATTACGAGTCGCAACGGGACTCTACAAAGCCCAAGAAGGATGTGAACCTCAACAAATTGCGGGCTACTTTCTCAAGAAAGCACAGCTTGTCCAGCTCGCCACCATTGACGGCGATCATCGCAGCAGTACCGGAACACTATAAAAAATATATTCTGCCGAAGCTGATCGCGAAGCCGATTCGTACGTGCACATAACTCATATCGCTGTCCAGGATCGTCTCTAACATTTTATAGGAACCTCCTCGGGTATCGCTGTGGTGGCGGTTATGTGCAAACCTCACCGGTGCCCCCACATCGCGTACACCGGCAACATCTGTGTCTATTGCCCTGGTGGCCCCGATTCCGATTTCGAATACTCGACTCAGTCATACACCGGATATGAGCCCACTTCGATGCGAGCGATTCGCGCTCGTTACGATCCATTCGAACAGGCGCGAGGACGTGTGGACCAGATCAAAGCCCTCGGTCACAGCGTGGACAAGGTGGAATACATTATCATGGGTGGAACTTTCATGTCGCTCCCGGAAGACTATCGCGACAGCTTCATCTCCCAGCTTCACAACGCGCTGAGCGGATACCAAACGGACAATGTCGACGAGGCCGTGTTGGCAGGCGAAATGAGCAACGTGAAGTGCGTGGGTATCACAATCGAAACACGACCAGATTACTGTCTGGACACGCATCTCAGCAGCATGCTTCGCTACGGCTGCACCCGGTTGGAAATTGGTGTGCAAAGTCTGTACGAGGACGTGGCGCGAGACACTAACCGCGGCCACACCGTGGCAGCCGTAGCCGAGACATTCAAGCTTGCCAAGGATGCCGGCTTTAAGGTGGTCAGCCACATGATGCCCGATCTGCCGAATGTCGGAATGGAGCGCGATCTTTTCCAATTCCAGGAATACTTCGAGAACCCCAATTTCCGTACCGATGGTCTCAAACTGTATCCCACGCTGGTCATCCGAGGCACTGGTCTCTACGAGCTGTGGCGCACGGGCCGTTACAAGAACTATACACCCAACGCACTTATCGACCTTGTCGCACGCATCCTCGCCCTGGTTCCTCCCTGGACCCGTATCTACCGTGTCCAGCGTGATATCCCCATGCCGCTCGTTACCTCCGGTGTTGAGAACGGTAACCTGCGCGAATTGGCATTGGCTCGTATGAAGGACTTCGGCACAACTTGCCGTGACGTTCGCACACGCGAAGTCGGTATCAACGAAGTCAAGAACAAGATCCGCCCATCACAGATTGAGTTGATCCGTCGTGATTACACAGCCAATGGTGGCTGGGAGACATTCTTGGCGTACGAGGACCCGAAGCAGGATATTCTTATTGGTTTGCTTCGTCTGCGCAAGTGCAGCGAGACTCACACCTTCCGCCCTGAGTTCACTGGCCAGCAGACCAGTATTGTCCGTGAGCTCCACGTCTACGGTTCTGCAGTGCCGCTTCACGGACGTGATGCTCGCAAGTTCCAGCACCGTGGCTTTGGAACTTTGCTGATGGAGGAGGCGGAGCGCATTGCTCGTGAGGAGCATGGCAGTCGTAAGATCAGTGTCATCTCCGGTGTTGGCGTGCGTAGCTACTACGCTCGTCTCGGATACTTCCTTGATGGTCCCTACATGTCCAAGATGTTGGACCCATGGGAGGACGAGGAATGATATCCTGGTAAAAAAAACATAAGAAAGCAAAGAAAAGATAGAATGGTGTACAGCTCGGGATTGGTATTTGGTTCTGCATACACTGGCGTTGGCGGTCTCACAAAAAACTTGCTTTTTTTCTCAATGAGGACAGATGATTGAATGTCTATACCAAATTTTATCTTTAGATGCATCCAATGGACAAAAAAATGAGATATCAAGAAGCTGGCAATAATCATGAACGCCTATGTACAAATCGCAGGTCGGGTGTCTGTGTATTCTAGCAAACGAGACCGGGAATCCTGCCCGCCAACGCCTTCCAAGTACAGTTCGATCCTGCTCGCTGGTAACAAAAACAGCTCCGGGTTGCACAGAGTAGACATGGGTGATTCATACTCGAAAGAATCAGTAGGATTCTCTCGGCCTTAAATCACTCCTAACGCATCAAATCTAACCCACCCTGGTGCAGCAAGGAAAAAAACCCCGAGATATAAACTCAAAGATTGCAAATCGACAGATAATGGTGTCGTCAAGACATCGAAGGAAAATAGGACCGTGGCATTCTTAATGAAGTGATATAGCGCCTCCCCTGCTGCCGCGCATGTGAAGATAGGCTTGGAACCCACAGAAAACGAAGAAACCCTGTAATGTAGAAACGCCAATGGTCAGTAACCGATTCCTTTCTCGTGCAACGATCGATCCGACCAGGATACGGGCGAGGGAGTGGCTTACAGCATAGACGATCACAGCGGTATAAATTGAGGCAGCGACTGCAGGTCCATCTTCGGGTTCGCCTTCTGATCCAGTGTATGCGTGGTTGTTGCTCTATATTTAGGAACTTGATGTCAGCGGTTGAACCCCATGTTACGTATGTCGATGGTGTGTATTCGGGTATGTTGACGGATAGCTCAGAGCGGGAAAGACGTACGCTGTATAGCGAGCCGAGTACTGTGAGGATGATCATTGCGAATGCGGAGATAACGACACTGTCCGACAAGGAATATGTTAGAGCGATGGAGACTTTCGATGGATACGGTTCGGGATGGGTGAACATACCAGGACCAGGCGTTCAAGGCGGAAACAACGGGCTTCATGTTGGCGATGTGATGTTAGGTAGGTAGTGTTGCAGAATAATGGTTGTAGATCTTTGCGGTGGAGAGCTTCGCGGTAGTGGAGAGTGGTCGCAAAGGGCTAATTCAAAGAGTTGAGGTTGGAGACTTGAGATACGGAGGCGGGCGGACCTCCAGTTGCTACAAGGCCCTAAGCCGCTTTTGGACAAGCCCAGACTCAACTGTGACTCGCTCTGCTCCCTTGTTGTTTGTGATCTATGATATATGATATCAAAATATTTGAATAATCATGAGCTCGTTGATTCATTCTTTTCGTTCTTTTGATTCTTTTGATTCAATCTATACATTCTTTTGTTCTATATTTTAATGTGTTTTGTTCCATTCAATACACTCATCAAATGTCACTCCGGAGCCGCCAAAGATATCTAACGCGCTGCCGATTGTCAAATCCACTCTTCCCTTGCTACTCGTGTGGACCTTTTCCAGATCTTGTAGATGGCGTGCACCTCCCGCATAAGTCACAGGGATAGTACACCATTCAGCCAGTCTCGACACAAGTTCCTCATCAACGCCTTGTTGCAGGCCCTCTACGTCTGCGGCGTGGATCAAGAACTCAGCGCAGTATGGTTCCAACATTGAGATAGATGCTATGAAAGTGTCAGTGAGCCGACTACCAATCCGAGTTCAGTGCGGCAGAACATACCCTGGTTGATCTCCATCTCTGTGATGGTTTGCCAGCGGTCCATCGCAACGAACCATGTATCATCTTTTCTGCGGCAGCTCAGATCCAAGACCAGTTTTGACTTGTCACCACCCAAAGCAGAGAGAACTGACTCGAGTCGCTCGAGCGAGAATTTGCCTCCAGGGAAAAGGAATGAAGTGATGATCACCTATTGCCCGCATTCCACATGATTAGCGTCATCGGTCCTATGCTATGACGGAGCACCAGCAAACAAGTAGTGGGAGTAGAGACAAAGATTGCCCTTGATTCCTCCATTTTGTGCAGCACTAATCGAAGAAGAGTAGTCCATCAGGACTCTGAATGCTTACCTTGTCTGCACCTTGGTCGATCCAATATTGCGCATTCTTATCGGTAATACCTCCAGCGACTTGCAGACCACCCGGCCACGTCTTCAATGCCTCCTGAGCTGCCTCTTCATTTCCTGGTCCAAGCTTAACAACGTGCCCACCTCGCAAATTGTGCTTCTCATAGAGTTCAGCATAGTGGCTGGCCGGTAAGTTGGATACGTAGTTGGTTTTCAGATCTGAGGCCACCTGGCTGAGAGTGCCGCCCACAATCTGCTTAACCTGCCCTGAGTGCAGGTCAATGCAAGGTCTAAACTTGGTCATCTTTTCTGGCGAATTGAAGTAGAATGCATTCAGTGATGCTGTGTGAGTGGATAGAGGGGTGGCTTATCTTATCGCACGTGATTTGAAGCTCTCGTACAGCACGTGCTGATAAGGAGCACGTGATTATAATCTAACAATGATCGAAAAACTTTTGGCCGAGACACGAGCGGTTGATCCCACGACTTTGTTGCCTACACATTTCAATCATGGTTGTGAAGCGAAAAAGAGAAACCACGGTGGTTTCCAAGCCACAACTTAAGGAGGACAGCCCTCCTCCCGTGGACAATGCGCAGGACGTATTCCGCAGATTATTTGAAGCACAATTCGAGCCAATTGATTTGCCAAACTCTACCGCCAAACCTTCAGACCCCGAGGACAAAGAAAACGACGACGATGAGGGCTCTGATATCTCTGGATCAGAAGGCGATTGGGATGGGATGTCCGATGTCAGCGAGGAGAGCAACCAAGTCGAGGTGGTCGAACATACAGATACTCGCGCCGCACCAGCAGACAGAATGGATAAGAAGACTTGGAAGGCGTTTATGGTATGTGCCAGATCTTAATGCACTGGCTCTCTGTACTAAGACTGGAGATTGCAGAGTGGAAAAGTATTGTCCTCTATAGATCAGCCAAGCACCAACCCGGAACCTTCATCCAAAAAGGAGGAAGAGGAAGACTCACACGACGCTCTGAACCTCAAACACGATCTTGCATTACAACGACTACTCAAGGAGTCCCACCTTCTTGACTCTGCTGATGACCTTGCGCCCACTGGAAAGAACCGTTTGAAAGCTTTGGATATGCGCATGCAATCTCTCGGTGCCAAGACCTCGCTATATGCGCAAAAGAACATGCCCGATTCGCACAGACGAGGCATCAATGCCAAGGCCGCAACAAAGGATGATAAGCGGCGCCGAGAGGCGAAGGAGAACGGCATCATTCTCGAAAAGCCTAGCAAGGTAATCAAATCGAGCAATAGCGGACGCCGAGACCGCGGACTTGCAGGATCCTCCGTGGGCAAATTCGCAGGAGGTACCTTGAACCTGAACAAGGACGACATCGCTCGCGTTCAAGCTTCAGGGCGCCGTATGATGGGTGGTAGAGGCAAGGGCAAATCCAGAGGAGGCCGAGGAGGCGGTAGGGGTGGCAGAGGCGGCAAACGTTAAGGATTACAAAATTACGAAATGGGCTTCCACCATGTTTATGCTATCCTACTCATTCGTGCGGCACTTTCTACCTATGCTACTTGGTTGAGGACAAGAGCTTAATGGGTTCATGGTCCACATTATACATTTCACGGGTTATGCGCCACCACGTCGATCTCAGCCCGTATATCATCCTCGACGAGCCTTGTCACTTCAAGGCGCGTCCAAATAGGGTGATAATTTGGCATTCACTTTGTGGAGTTCCGAACCACCGCCTCCATGGTCTTGTCATTGATCTTAGGCATGAGTTTTCTGGAAATACCTGCTCCCTGTCTTTTCCTCCAGCATGCTTCGGGTCCAAGTCCATACTGGCGAAAGCTTGGTCAATCTATGCATTGATTTCTGGATGGATCACAAAGATTTGAGAACCCCAACCACCTACGCACGATGATATCAGCAAGATCTATCCATCCGGTGAGCGGCAGCTTCGTGGCTTGTGCACTTGCTTTGGCCTGCGCATTCGATACGATCGCCAATGCGGACGGCTTGGCTGTAATAGAATCCTCGCTTTGCTTTCTGACCCCAGCTGTCGTAGTTGAAATATTGCAGATGTGACATCTATTAATTGATAGAGATAATGAACAACTTCATGGTACATATATTTCTGGCAAATCGTATTGCTCGACACAATTTGTAAAAGCGGACCGGATCAATGAACAAAATGTCAAGTGGAGGGCTTTCTGGTATGATTAAATGCATCCATGTTGACTGCGTGGTCGACGATGGCCGCTTAGCGGAATATACATTCCGCTAACGACGTGCGTAGTAAATCTATACATGTAGCTAAGAACAATGTCATGGTAATACTCGTGGCCATGAACACCAGGTTTTTATATAGTTCTTAAGGGCAAACGTGGTAACGCTAATACCGAAGAAATAAAGCGCACAAGGTGCACATCCAATGCTCGATTCCTATATGAAGTAGACATCTACTACTGCATCGATACCATAAATGGGTGAGGATATCCATAGGCTCTTGCTACCTGAAACTCATCACTTGGTGATCTGAGAGATTTTGGAGTAATTTCCAGAATCGGGATGCTCACATATAGACCCAGGCAGTTTTGTAGAACCAGGGGCCTTATCTCTATAAAACCACCCCGGGTTCGGGTTGACTCCGGACAAGTTCCCTGGGTGTCGAAGTCACTACGGAGGAGGCTTACCCATGAATCTGGATCATGTTATGCCAAAAATTGGTCAAACAGCTCGCTTATTTCCAACCAAGGTACTCCGTAGACCTGCTAGAGATATCGCGTTGAATTCAAGAAATGCTGCGAGAAGTCTGAACCTCTCACGCCAGGTGCTCACTTTTGCGACGCCAAGAATGTCATCAAATGATACCACCGAATCCCATCGCCACGAGGCAGATATGTATACAAGCGGCAAACAAGCTTTTCTTGCAATATACATCCTAGTGCGATGCACTCCTCACGGAGCATGCTATGCTCCTCAACCCCCTACTCCATCGACAGGAGATATACATGTCCCCACCACAGCACTATCAAATCATGATCTCCATAGGAGCATCTCTGAGATCGACACGCGAGATCCATATGTTGACGATCAGGGGCGTACCGAGAGACCCTGTGTAGTCCACCCAGGTGATTTACATTCGGAGAAGTAGCCTCGTGAGTGTCTCGATCCACTGGGTCCATTCTAGCTCCGTTCTAGGCCTGAAAGCCAGATGCTAAGACGCTGTAGCGGGATTTAAAGAGATGGACCTTGAAACGTTTTTGTTAACAGAGGACCCCTCATGAGCCGTAGAGAATGATTGAAAGATTGATTTGGCAGACCATAAACAATGACGCGCTGGTGTGTCTTTTTCTCAGCCGGGCACATTCCTCTGGGAATATTGGGACATTCTTCATATTCGTGCAATTCGAGATCTTCCTGGGCGACTGAAGTCCGCCGAGAAAGCCAGGGGCTGCACCGGATCTGCAAATCCCCTGGTCAATGCGCGTGTTTATTGAAGCGCCACCCCAAATAGACCGGGCACAGCCTTCATGTGTTCGTAAGACAGAGTAGGAGATTTCAGATGATCGTCTGTTTCTGCTTAGTATTCTTTCTAAGACATTTATGGAGTACTCCGTACGGAGTAGCCAAATAGCGTTGGGCATTGCTGTTTCTGTCAGGGGGATCTGCCAGATCTACCTAAGGGCTGCGAGGAAATATCAGTGGACACAAACTATTGTTTCAAGAATTTGTGTACGAAATATCTGGTGTGAAATTCGAAATATGAGGGAAAGCCTGGAAAAGAATGGAATCTAGCATAGAGGGGCATGACGAGGCAAGAAATGTGATCCTGCAGTTCGTGTGAGAAGGCGAAAACGAATGACCGACCAGAGGAAGTACACATCAAAGATATAGTTGTATGATAGCAACGCCCTGGGCAACTTGTGTTGAGAATGTACGGAGTAAAGCACGGAGTATAAGATATATCAATTGACTTCTTTGGAAGACGCTTCTCGCCATTGCGAAGGTGGGGCCGAGATCTACCAGCTGTATCCTTCCAGATTCTAACAACAACCTACGCAGTATATCATGGGAACATCAGAGAACGTAAGTGCTTTACCAGATAGCGGTATACATATATTTACCATCTTTCAATGTTCTTGTCCAATTGCCCGAAGCCCAGTTCAATATACATCCACACATGGTCCTATAACAGAGACGGGGGTACCCGAGCACCTGGAGGATCCCGATACGGTGCCTCAGCAGTGCAAAGATACTCGTAGTATGAGGCCACCTTTGCCATGGAATCAAGATCTTGGCTTTGGGCAGCTGAAGTCTGTTCAAGTTGTCAAGATGGGAGCTCCAGCCTTACAAGGTGACCAGCCCTGTCCAGCCTTAACCGAGCTCATGGATGGCTCCGAGAGAGAGAAACTCCAGAGATCTGAAGCTCACGCTCCACTGTGAAATGATGAGCAAGTCAATGATCAATCGCAGGCGATGACGAGTTCTTAGCTACTCCGCAGGGGTCGTCGCGCGTGGCTTATCAGTGGAGTCCAATAGAAACACTAAATGCACTCCGTAAATTCGACATACCTAGCCAAGCCGTAGAAGGATATGCAAACAAATTTCAGGGGCAGCTTTTGGATCAGATCGACAAGTCAAGGACCGGCACCATTTGCGCACAGGACATAGTACGGAGTGCAACATGCTTACTCCGTAAAAACCGTTCGGCGTGTCGATCATCTGTCTAGCGCGAAGCTTTGCTCCGTCAGCAGCAAGGGCCAACATCCCCAAGGGGAATGCATACGTAATTCGGTGGCGCACTTTGTCCAATGATCTCGTCTAAAGTCAATAGTGCCCAGATTATATGACGAAGCTTGGCATTTAGGTGACAGATAGCTGTCGCAATGGCTGATATACAGCACGTGGAGTAATTGAAGCCCTGGAACGGTGAACCAGATTTCAAGTTTCCTTCTCTGATTGAATCATTCGCGCCAAGTTTTGACTTGAGAGCCCTAGTTGGACTTGCTGCAGGAACGGCTGATCATGCATCTCAAATGCTGCAAGACTTTCGGGGGGGGGGGGGTTCAGGGCACGAACGTTGTCGAGTACGGAGTAGATGGCCCGAGTGAGACCGTTCGAGTGTGAGACCCATCTCTTTCTTCCCGAGATGATTTCTCCGATCGAATATCCGAAGGGCTTGTGTGTTACACATGCTATGCCGATCGATCATTGTACACGCGTGTATGGGGATATGGAGCTCCGAAGGAATTTGAGTGGATCACACAATCTGCTCTATGAATTTAGGTATTATCACTATCCTCTATAGTGCAACTGTTCCCAACTGACTCGTGGGGGGGGAGCTTAGGAATGTGGTTTCCTTGGAGTAGACGTCAGCCATCGAGGGTTAGAGATAATACGGTAGATGCAAAGCCAATCCCACAAGAGGTAGACATCATTGTATACCTCACAGGCTTATGGGAATTTCAGATTAGATCCGCGAGTATTCCAGGTGTGGATCATGACCCGTACGTGTCAAATTGAGCGACACGGCGTTTGCCAGATCTGTCTGGTCCTTACCACTGCCCACTATCAAGGGGACTGTGTAGTGGTCCCCCTGTTCCAACCCACAGTGGATCACGTTTCGTTGACTCTGAGATGCATGGGATTATTTCGTATTTTCTTTTATTTTTGATTAAGCGCTATAGGGGCTGGTTTCTAGAATCGAGATACAAAAGGGAGCCTCCATTCCGGTTGTGATACCTTTGAATCTTCAAAGCCGTGCGGACTAGATGAATCAACGCTTTCGATCTTGATATATGCAGCTTCTTACATATTATAATAGAACTTCATCATGCCTTTATCACACTTCAGTTCGACCGAAACCCTCACAGAGCCCGGGGTCACAACGAAGTCGGTCACTTCCAGCCCTACCCTCGCCCCCCAGGATGAGAAGGATATTTCACTCCCATCGACGCCAGCACAGTCATTTAATCTTGAGGCCCAAGCCTCAATACCACCACCATACCATGTGTTTCCGCGATCTCGCAAGTTGCTGATGGTCTACATCGTCTCATTCGCCGCCATTTTCTCCCCACTATCTTCAAACATCTACTTTCCTGCACTCACAGATATCTCAGAGGTTAGCCCCCCCAACTGATAGGCCTGACTATTTCTTGCTAACGCTTACGTAGGAGCTCGATATCTCCATAGCTATGGCTACTCTGACCGTTACGGTATACATGATTGTCCAGGGTCTTGCCCCGAGCTTTTGGGGTTCTTTCTCGGATGTCTTGGGCCGCCGTATTATCTTCATTGGAACATTCTGCGTCTATATTATTTCTAACGTTGCCTTGGGCGTATCTACGAACTATGGTGAGCTCATGGCTTTCCGAGCCATCCAGGCCGCCGGAAGTGCAGCCACCATCTCAATTGGTATGCTAGATCCACCGACAATATCTCAAATATCCCACTAACCTACCTAGGCGCCGGCGTCATTGGCGATATTACCACCTCAGCAGAGCGAGGTAGTCTGATTGGAGTTTTTGGTGGTGGTAAGTAACCCGTTCCATGATCCATATGCCACATTCTAATATTATTCAGTGCGCATGTTGGGCCAGGGTATTGGACCAGTATTCGGTGGAGTCTTTACTGAATACTTTGGCTATCGATCAGTGTTCTGGTTTTTGGTTGTCGCATCTAGCATCAGTCTGCTGTCTATCATGACCTTCCTTCCAGAAACACTCCGTCCTATCGCCGGCAACGGAACTGTTCCTCTCAACGGCATCCACAAGCCATGGATCTTCTTTATCTTCGGACAAAAATACGTAAAAGAAGGCTCAACTCCTTCCGAAAAGAAATCAAAAGTCACCTTCAAGACTGTGCTAGCACCCCTCACTTTCCTCGCCGAGAAGGACGTGTTCATCACCTTGCTCTTCGGCAGCATCGTGTACACCGTTTGGTCAATGGTTACCTCATCGACATCCGCCCTGTTTGAAGAAAAGTATGGCCTCAACTCAATGGAGGTTGGCCTCACGTTCATCGGAAACGGTTTCGGATGCATGACCGGCGCCTACACAATCGGCTATCTGATGGATTTCAACCACAAGCGAACTGAGCGCGAATACTGCCAACAGCACAATCTTCCTCTTGACACTCGCATTAACTCCAAGAGCCATCCTGACTTCCCTATCGAATACGCTCGCATGCGTAATACTTGGTGGCTCACTGCCATTTTCGTTGTTTGTGTCGCTGTCTATGGAGTGTCTCTCGATACGCACCTTGCTGTTCCGATTATCCTACAATTCATCATTGCCTATGGCTCCACCGCTATCACCACCATCAACAGTGCCCTCATCATTGATCTTTATCCCGGTGCTAGTGCTAGCGCTACGGCTGTCAATAACCTGATGAGGTGTTTGATCGGTGCTGGCGGTGTTGCGGCTGTCCAACCTATAGTTGATGCAATCACTGCCCGATTTGCATTTGTTTTGCTTGCTGGCATTACCATTGCAATGGTTCCCCTTCTTATGACTGAGATGAAATGGGGCTACACATGGCGTCTTGAGCGCCAAGAACGTTTCCAAAAGAAGGAAAATTCGGTCTAAACCCACACGACTGGGATACTGGACACATTTGGACACATTGAGCAAAACTAAAAGGAAGAGAGGGTATAAAAGGCCTTCAAGCTTATCACGACTTGACGATTTGGGTTTTACTTGGGAAAAATCGGTGCATATATGGGTTCACTTCTTACTTGGCTCATATTTTTGGACATCATTTGTTTTCTTTCACTTGCATATATTTACTCACATAGAGACCAGAATTAACGGCTACCTTCGGGTAGGCTATCGCTTCTTGCATTTCTTCTTGCCAATCAGCCTGCTCTACTTCTCTAATTGTAAAATTTATATTGTTTATAGCGCTGTTACCAGCCCCTTGTTATACTCAATAGACTCGAATCTATCCCTCGCGCTCTAAATATATATCGATACTTAGCATTAGAAAATAGCAAATATATCATGACGTGGCCAAATATCAGATAAAGAGCTACCACGGGTTCATGACCTGTCAGAAACAAGGCATTGAGATAAATGGAGAAGCTGAGTGTTATAGACTACACGATGAATTCAAAAAAGCACAGTGTTCTCCATGATAGATACGCCACTATGTCAGCTCCTTGTTCTAATCCCTAAGTGCTGGTGTATCAGTGGCGAGTGTCGCCATCATCCTACATTGTATGCACAAGGTCAGTGCACTGCTTCAAGAACATATCAAGGGATTTAGAAAGCAACACTCACACGGCAGGGTACTGAGTACCTTCAATTCCAATTCCCTCAGCTAGGGTCCGAATTTCTTGTACCTCTTGATCACTCAAGTGAAGGTCTGCTGAGGCCGCGTTTTCGTCCATTCTAGCAGCCGACTTTGTACCTGGGATGGGGATGATATCTGCGCCTTGCGCGAGAAGCCACGCAAGAGCAACTTGCCCAGGGGTGGCCCGTCCGTGAGTAGTTTGATGAGCACTTGCGATATTTTCCAATGCGCTCAAGAGCTTTAAAATCTTCGGGAAGTTGTTCTCTGAGTACTTCGGGTAGAAACGACGTAGATCACCCTCGGGGATGTCTGCATAGGATCGAAACTGGCCAGCCAGGACGCCACGTCCAATAGGACTGTAGGCCACGATAGTTACGCCTAGCTCGCGGCAGGTTCTCAAGATGTCCGACTCCGGTGACTCGATGTCGAGTGTGAAGAGACTGTATTCCATCTGTAGCGCAGAAATAGGGTGAACGGCATGCGCCCGACGTAGTGTAGCTGCGGAACACTCTGAGAGGCCGAGATACCGGATCTTCCCTTCCCTAGCAACCCAGTTAGTCCATATAAATCAGGATTGATTCAGTCTGGTTGACCTACTTCTTCAGCTCCACCATAGCCTCGATGGTCTTTTCAATAGGTGTCACACCATCTACCCGATGGCAGTAGTAAAGGTCAATCGTATCAACGCCGAGTCTCCGGAGGCTTTTTTCACAAGCAGACTTAACATATTCAGGATCTGATCGAAATGTGTATCCTGCCTCGGGCTGGCGCTGGAGTCCAAACTTCGTACCTAGGAAAATGTCATTGCGCTTCTCAGGCCCAGATCGCTTGAACCATTCGCCGGCGACATCCTCAGTGTCACCATAGATGTCGGAGAGGTCCCAGAAGCGTAATCCTATGGCATGTGCATGCTCTAAAAGCGCCACTCTTTCGTCTAGGGTACCGCATGGCCCATAGACCCCACTGAGGCTCCCGAATCCGAGTCCGACGGCAGAGACTTGGGGGCCGTCTCTTCCTAAAGTGCACAAGGGTTCCATCTTAGATGCAGAATGGATGAATTGAATGTTTTATAGAGCCCCATTGGGTGCCAGGTGTATCTTGATATTTATATGTCACCGTATCATAAGCTGACGGTAACTGGTCTCACAGCCCGAATACGCAGCGTTAGAGACTATACCCGTTCGGTTGCCCGACAATGACCCCAAGCGCGCTGCTGGGGGCTGCTTGAACAATAAGAACGTGAGTAAAAGCTGGAGGGTACTTTGAGTATACCGTAGACAAAGAGAACTCCATGGAATAGGTTTGTTGTACACAACGTGGACGAGTCGCGGGGGATTTTCTGCCGAACCAACTGGCCGCAATGGCCAAAGCTTCAATCTGGTCTCCGTAGTCACTTCTCAATATCAACTCCCTTTCGCTATACTCCAGCAATCTACAGATGAGCATAGCCCACGAGTGAATCCTCACTATGGAATCCGCTCGAAGCCTTTACAAAAAAGACATTGATTTTGCAGCCTTAGCGCTGCAATCTCGCGACTTCGCCAAGCAGTGGGTGAACCAGTCTACCCTTTGATAGATGGACTAATGCTGATCGAATACAGGTTAAAACCAAATGGCCAATTGGACTTCAACGACCCAGCCGCGGTCCGGTAGGTTGAAGAACTCTCATGTCCCCCGTACCCAGAGTGGATCTGATTTCAACGATGTAGACAACTCACAACTACCCTCCTTCAACAAGACTTTCACTTGAAAGTTGAGATTCCGGAAGATCGACTATGTCCGCCGGTATGATTGTCGTGCAACTATAATATGATATACGTACTGACTTGGTTTCTAGGTACCAAACAGGTATGCCATGTTGAATGACAACTTGAGCCATGCCTGTGTCTGACATACAGGGTAGACTTAACTACATTCTCTGGATACAGGACCTGATTGACTCCACCGCTGGAGGGTTGCACGAGGGCTATGATCGAGAACGAGAAGTTGTCGGCCTTGACATGTACGTATCATCTACAACCATGAACCCAGCCAGAAATTGAGCTAGCTCGGAATTGTGTATTCTGACCAATTGCAGTGGAACGGGGTGCATCGGCATCTATCCTCTCCTAGGATGTGCCACACGGCCACAATGGAAGTTCATAGCAACAGGTTAAGTACTTGCGTCGGAGGATTTCTCGGCATCGACTAATCGACCAAACAGATATTGACCCGAATAACCTCCGCACTGCCCAGCATAATGTGGCACTGAACGACCTCAGATCCCGCATCTACGTCCTGCAGTCCGACCCTCAGGGTCCGATCTTCCCTCTGGGGAATATCCCTCAACAGACGTGGGTTTTCGGCCAGACCTGCTACAACCTCTGAACTGACCATTCACCAGTCTCGACTTCACTATGTGTAATCCGCCTTTCTATACCACGCGTGATGAATTAGTTCAATCCGCGGAGCAGAAGAACCGCATTCCCTTTTCCGTAAGTGTTACAGGCTTTTCGCTCCGAAAATTCACCCCTGTTTCACATTGTACCATGCTGAACGTGAACCAAGGCATGCACCGGCGCCGAGGTAGAAATGGTGACCAATGGCGGAGAAGTTGCTTTCGTGAAGAAGATGATTGAGGAGAGCCTCATGCTACGTGACCGGATCCAGTGGTACACATCCATGTTCGGCAAGCTGAGCAGTGTCTCCGTGGTTCTGGAGATGCTGATCAAGCACGAAAACAACAATTTTGCAGTCACCGAGTTCGATCAGAATGGTAAAACGAAGCGCTGGGCTGTGGCGTGGTCGTGGGGAAATAGAAGGCCTGCTATGGTAAGTACCATGGCATCATTCCCTTATTTTTTTTGCAGTTTTGATTTGATTGCCTTGTGTTAATTGCTTTTTCTAGAGTATCGCGCGAGGAAATCCAGGCTGTCCGAAAAATCTCCTGCCTTTCCCTGCAGATTACACATTTGCGCTACCCTCGGGGACGTCTATTGACACAGTTACTGCTACCTTGAACTCAGAACTCAACTCTTTGCCTTGGTTTTGGGCTTGGGATCAGACTCGTTCTTCGGGGACTGGGTTTGCCGCTGAGAATGTGTGGTCTAGACACGCTCGTCGGAAGATGAAACTTGCCGGAGAGGAGGGGGCTGCTAAATTGAAGGCGATTCCGGCGGAAGTGGCGCTAGGAGTGCGCGTCCAAATACGGCTGGCCCGGGGAGAGAAGCCAGGAGATCAAGTGGTGAAAGTCTTGGTGCGCTGGATTCAGGGCCTTGACAGCGTGCTGTTCGAGAGCTTCTGCGGGATGGTCAAGAGGAAGCTGGATTCAAAATGATTCCCCTGAGAAGATAACAAGTTTCTTTATAGATAGCTTTTATGAGGAAATGTCAAGAAATTTGAATAATGTCGAACGTGGTATATGACTTTTGTGACCATTGCACCTATGAGCGATCTAATCTCCATGATTCATAAACAGCATCAAGTTTTGTATATAGGACTAATTGCCGGTGACTTCAGTCTGCAACTCCTTCAGACGATCCCAGCCCTCCGATCCATCCCAGAATTCCTTGCCCTTACCCATGATTCCTCTCACGGCACTTCTGGCCTTGAATCGCCAGTCCCGGGCAACAAGCTCGGCCTCTTGATCGCCCTCAAGCTTCTGATCTTCACGGTCCATAGGACCGAACTTGGCGTATCCTTCCCGCACGAGCTTCTCAGTAGCCCGCACAACCTCAAGCCAGGGCTTCTCATCACCCATCTGGAAAGCACCCTGAGCGTTGGCGGCAATAGTAGCACGCCAAGCCTTCTCATGAGCCTCGAAAGCCTTGAAAGGCCGACCACGGAAGACCTCAACGCGTGCAACAATCAGCCACAGAACCGAAGAGTGCGTGATCAGCGGGACGACGTTCTGGTCGACAAGCGAGATAATCTGGCCGGGGATTGTACCGGTGCGAACAATCGGAGCCTCGGATGGATCATCGGTGCGGATGAGAAGAGCCTCGTACTCAAACGCCACGTTCAGGAAGTCAACGAGCATACCCAGAATCGGGACGTCAATGCACTTCTCGCCCTTCTTCGTGCCGAGAAGCTCGATGATGCGCTTCTGTGCCATGATCACCTCGCGGAACGGTGTCGCTGGCGGTGGGATCGATGCTGCCACTGTGAGGACATTGTCCCAGATGCGAGCGTCGGTGCCTTTGAGTTGCGCTGCGCGCTGGAGGGCGGAGAGAGCCTCGCGCTTGCGCTTGTGGGGGTCGACTTCGGCAGCGGAAAGCTCGCCGGTGGACTCGTCGAGGACTTCGGGGGTGGGCTCGGGTTCGGGTGCGCGCAGCATCGCGGCGGCAAGGTTCGACCAGGCTTGTCCGTCTGTGTCGTCGAGTTGCACGGTGCGGGTGAAGGTGTCGGTTGCTTCTTGCCATTTTTGGAGCTCGAGCTGCACGCAGCCGAGGGCGAACCATGCACCGTGGTTCAAACGGTTGATGTGCAGGCTCTTCTTGTAGGCGACCTCGGCTTTTTCGAGCTCGGGTGGTGTGAGAGTGAGGTAGTGGCGGGCCAGGGACCGCTGGGCGCGGGCGTATCGCTCCCCGGAGACCTCCCAGGCGCGCTCGTACATCTTTTCATCCTTGTCGATGTCTCCCATGATACAGAGCAAGCGTGGTGCGTCGGCTGGCAATGGTGATCGCTCCGGTCCCTCGAATTGCTCGTTCTCGTCGTTTTCATCAGGGCCGGTAGGCAGGTAAAGCTGGCGGCGGATGAGGTTCTTGGCCTTGCCTTCGCGCTCGGTGGCGGCATAGCAAAGGGCGGCCTCAGCCCACAGATGTAGTCTCTCGTAGATCTCAAGTGCGGTGCGGAGACCACCCAAATCAACCCAGCGCTTGGCAAGCTCGGCCTCGAGGCTCCACCGTGTTGAGAAGTTCAGAATCCAGATGTGTTCCAACCGGTCGGCGGCTGGAGCAGACTCAGACTGCTCAGGACGGGGCAGGAAAGTTGTAGGATCGCCCGATTCAGTTTGGGCTGCATCATCGCTAGTCGCGGTGTCAGCAATGACCTGATCCACCAACGCCTGCATCTGAAGCACAGCTCTCTCGACAGTACGCGAACGGTAGCCCTCTACCCTACTGCGGACCAGAAGGGCTTGGGTATAGATTTGCCAGTTGGAGCTGCCACCATCCAGGACTCTAGTCGCGTAGGGGTTTGTTTCCTCGCGGGTGAGACCGTTCTCAGGGGCGGTGTTGGTAATGGCAGAGGCGAGTGCGAGCAGAATAGCGGAATCAATAGGGCTGAGAATGGGCTGGTTGTTGGCATCAATAGCATCCAAAGCTGGCGAGACTTTGTCCTGGATTGCCAAGGATTCTTCGTCGGGCTTTTGGTCGGAGAAGGAGATAGCCTCGAGCAGGGTATCGTCGTTCAAGTTCAAGTTCTTAGGACCCGAGGGCTCCGAAGATTGTGATGTCTCATCGGCACTCTTGGCCAACACGACCAGCTGACTGATATCGCGGTCTTGGAACTTTGTACGCTTGCCCATCTTTCCAGTCAGCGCAAATTCGAACCTCCGCACCTTGGCCGCTTGATCAATATCTGCCCGTGCCTTGACGTCGAAACCATGGTGTGTGTGGATAATGGCCCTTTCCAGCAGGAACCGACTCCTCTCGTCTGAACTCAATTCAGCCTTGTCCAACACCTCGACATCCTTGTAAATCACATCCTGGAGTGTACTCGTGACCTCCGACAGCATCTTTTGGTGGAGGAAGTTGGTGCGCATACGCGCTGTCTTTACCGCAAGGGGACCATCGTTGCTCGCATCGACCAACAGAGCCTTGGCGACGGCGAACAATTCGGGGTTGGGTGTGAGCTTGTAGGCGGCTTCTCCGTCCACGGTTAGGTCACGGATGATCTTCGCCCGCACAGTCTTGAGGGTTGTGGATTCGGTTCGCAGGGATGATGGGAAGACAGCCTCAGCCGAGCTGAATTCGAGAGGAGGTCCGGTGACATTGGATTGCAGGAAAGCGAACAAGGCGGCCAGGCCGAGGTGCAGGATTTGCGATTGTTTTTGTTCGGCAGTCAGATCATCGCTGGTTTGGAGAGCGGCGCGGGCCTGGTCGGCAACGAAGGTGGTGTATGAGACCTCGCCACTTGCGACCTGTACAAGGGATTCATTGGAGGCATCGTGGCCTAGCACCTTGTGAGAGAGGGGCAGGTCGAGGATCGGAACGATGTTGTCTGACGTCAATCGGATGGGATCGTAGCGGCTTTTGAGGGGGGATGCGGCATCATAAATGCTGTCCAGATCGGACGGGTACGCAGGTGATTCAGCCATGTCAAATGTTAAATCCCTCCAGTAACCTTGAAGTCGAGAATGTGCCCCGCGATCTTTTTCGATTTTTCTGGTTATCGATAGTGTGTGGATAGCAGATGTGCGTGGTCTTTAGATAAAGCGTGTTCTGTTTCCAGGAACCGGGCTATTGCCACTCTGCTTATACGCAGCTCCACTGTGATGCTCGGCCTTTCTGCGGGTTTCCATCTCTCAGTTTGTCTTATAATTTTACCTTCTAGTGCTATCAAAGTGCTAAGGGCTGCGGAGTTTGCAACTGTCTAGTTGTTTCTTAGACAATAATAAGGTGTCTAGGTGGTATACCTACTTATGAGGCAATCCAATGGCACAGAGTTATCGTTATATTCGGGGAAGATTGAGTAACTCAGTATAGACCTCCACATGGGCAGTCGCATTGAATTTTAAATCCGGACACACTCAGCCTTTAGATGCTCTAGAATGAGTCTTGAATGCGCAACTCCTTATAGCACACACAGCTATCTCTTAATCAAACCGACTCAACGAGACGCATGTGCATGATCCTTAAGAATGCGATTCAATCCCTCTCGCTGCACACAACCCTCAAAATGGAAACTCCTCGCCAACTCTTCCAAATCCTTCTCACTGCTTCCACGAAACAGCTCAGCAAACTCATCCACAAAGGAAGCCGCCAAGAAAGTGTAAAACACATTGCGCATGACATGCAACTCCGTATTCCACGATGTCGGATAAGTATCCTTCGCAGTTGGACTAATGCGGTCAATCCAATCAATCAAAGGCCTCATAGCAGCCTCAGGCTCAGTCGCAGGACGACGACCCCATTTATCCAGCCAGAACTCCCTCTTCTTATCCAAGAATGGCTTGAGTGTCTTGTTCCATCTGCTTTCGGGGTTAGTGTAGATCATACCCTGCAGACCAATGTCTTTGTAGAGCCAGATTGACCAGCTGATATTATACTTGTCATGAATGCGCAGCTGGTCGCCGAGGAGATTGTACCGCTCCTGGTTGATACTCTCGCACTCGAGGTCGAATGCCGGGTCCGCGTAGACGGGGCCAAACTCCCCGTTCCAGACGGGGGTTTTGTTCGCGCTCATGAATTGTGCTTTGCGCAGGTAAACCTGTTCAAGACGCTCTTTTTGTTCGGTAGTGCCTTTGTACCGATCTCCTGTAGGGAAACCCATTGACTATCGTGGTGAGATGGTATTAGAACAGTCCAGCCACGTTTCACAGGGGAAGGAAAAGCTCACCGAGTAATCATGCATGGCATACACGCAGTTAGGTAACACTGTATCGAACCCTTTCCATTCCATCGCAAATGTGTTCCCATCCAGCCACAGAATATGATCTGGATCGATCTTGCGAATCGCCTTCTCAATACGAGTGTAGAAAGCAGGCAGTCGCACATGTTCGGGATCACACGGTTCATTGAGCGGATTGTACCCAGCAACCCAAGGATTATCTCTATATCTGGTGACAATCTGCTCCCAGAGCCAAACTGTCCGGTCTTGGTGATCCTTATAGTCCCAGAAAGCGGCATATCCAGTAGGATTATCGGAGTGCCAGTCAGGGTTCTGGCCACCGGGGACGGCATGCATGTCCAGGATGGTATAGATTCCATGTGCTGCGCACTGTACAGTAATTGGAATTAGTTTGTTTCCCGCACACGAATCAGTAATTCTGCAAGCATATAAAAGAACTAACCAGATTGACCACTCGATCCAGGTGTTTGAACCCCGATTCCTTCAACACTCGGGGATTCATATCATCCTCGAAGTGCCGGTAGTTAAAAGGCAAACGCAGACAATTCAATCCGAGCTCAGCGAAGAATCTAGCATCGGCTTCTGTGAAAAAGTACTCGAGCCATTTGTCGAAGAAGAATTCGTATTTCTCTTGTCCCAGGACTCGGCGCATGGCAGCGCGGTGCTGGGCTTCGTGACCTGCGAAACCTGTGATGAAATTCTCCATGCTGAAGGATAAATGTTAGTTCGTACACAGGGGACTGCTGAAATTGACCGTCCACATACTTCATCCATCCTCCGAGAGCAGCTCCTCGCATCACAACCCCATCTCCATTCCCATCAACGATAGTATCGCCCTTCACACGTAAGAAGCCGGTAGCCATGATAGAGGTTTGGCAGTGGCTATTGTCAAAGATATAAAGATGCCTGTATAAGGTTCCAGACGAGACTATAAGTACTTCACCTCTACAGCAGGCTATTTATCCAAAAGCCCGACAACCCAAACGCGGGGGCATGGGCTAAATGCCCAGCCGAGCAACTGACAGGATGGGGGACTTCAAGCCACCAAGCCTCGTCAGAGTAGCCCTCTTGACCGGCTAATTTCACATTTAGCCTGTACCACATCCAGACAAGAGAAAGAACCCATCAAACAAATGTACAAGAATTGTATTTCGTCGCATAAATAACATGTGCCAACGGGCATGGGTCCATGCCACCAGGGTATTTGTATCATCACAATTGAAGCAACGCCGAAAAAGCCGCCCAAACGCTCAGAGAATAATGCACACTTCAAGGCTAGAACTACCAGTCCTGCCCACGATCTCGCATCAAGATCTCAATGGCCTCGTCCTCGGGAACGGGATTATCATTCAGTTCCTTGACACATTGTGTCAGCCCTTCCGCGGCTTCATCTACCTGCTCCGCCGTCCAGCCTGTGCACGCCATGACCATGCGACGGTAGTTCTGGCCAAGAACTGCGTTCTTTGCTTTCAGGCCATCGACTTCGGCAAGTATACTTCCATTAAATTCTTTATAGCAGTGGGCCTGGCGCCGGAGAACATCTGTTGCTGGGAGTGTATTCAGGAAAGCAATTTGCTGTTCTGAGAACCCGGATGCTGGACTGAAGCCATCCGGAAACAGAGTGTCAAAGGTCGCAATATCAACTCCAGAATCTCGGTCGGCATCACCCACAATAACCGTTCTCGTAGCGTCTAGTCCCGGTGTGTTCTGCGCTGTAATCAACAGGCCCTCCGAAGAACGCTCTAGATTTTTGATGCGCCGATCAAGTTCCACACGCTCAGAACTTTTGCGTCTAAGATCGTCATATTGTTTCTGTTCGATCTGCCGCGCTTTGGCGGATTCGCGAATCTTTGTGTGCCAGTGGTCGAAACTTTCTTGCTTTTTGGTCAAGCTAGAGGCCAATTCTCGGTCAATTCCTCCGAGTGTCTCCTCAACCATTGCGCTAATTTGGGACATTGCCGCTATTTATGGTGTTAATTAAAAAAAAAAGAAAACGAGACAGGCAAAAAGAACCTACCATCGAGAATCTCTTTCTTCGACTTTGCCAATTGATCAATGAATGTGTCATTTCGATTGGCCGCTTGTTGAGATTGGGAGTTTCCATCGACCATATCGACACCCACACCGTAATCTGCAGGCCGAAGGCCAGTATGGTTTGGAATGTGAGGATCAGCACCGACTTCCAAGAGTTGCGGTACAAGGACGGAACGGGCACGTCCCGCCAGATTGAGGGCCGTGTCGCCCTGATCATCGCGGAGATTGACAATTTCAGAGATAAACCGCCCCAGAGAGATAACTTCGCCGCTCGAGTTGCCGTTTGGTGCATGGTCGCCGTTTGCAGTTGGCGCAATACCGCCATGTCGTACAATGAACTCAAGAAGGGCTTCCAGGTAGTGCTTTGCAGAAACATGTCCACCACCACCAGTAGCAGCCATCATGGCGATATGATGCAGAATAGTACGTCCGCTATAATCGACCATGTCAATAGTAGGGGCTAGCACCTGCAGCAACCGCGGGAAGCTCCTATAATCAAGATTGTTCCGAGTTCCCACAGACTTCTGCAGCGCTGTTTCTCCAGCACCGTTCACTCGCGATATGCTTACACCCTTGGCTACCAGTGCGTGGAGCAGTGGCATGCGTGCAAGCATTGCAGCCCAATGCAGGGCATTGTTCCGGTACTCGTCAAGAGGAATTTCAAGATCATCCCCAGTCAGCTGTACCAAGGCTGGGTGATTTGAAAAGTCTTTCGTGCGCTTGTCAAGGAACAATGTCATTATAAGTTTCATCCTCTGGAACCTCTCCGGGGTAGAAGCAGGCGCCAAGGACTCGATTCCGCGCTTTGAGCCATCATCCATAGGAGGGGGAGGAATATCCATGTCTTGGTAGAAGGAGTCATTAGGTTCTGTCGGTGTGGCGTCATGCATGGATAAATTAGATGGTTCACGTGCGAGGCCGATAGATGGACCATGGTGTGAAGTAGAGCGCATGCGTTTGCGTGGGGGTTCCACAAGATCCTCGTTGTCCTCTTGCGGCTGGTATCGATTTTGCAGACTTCCGAATCCACTGTCAGACATGCTGTACATGCTCTGCTGGCTGCCAAACGGATGCCCAGATTCCTGGCTGCTCATTTGCTGCGAGGGCTTGCGAGCCATACTAGGCCGGCGACTGTTAGAGCTGGGAGAGTCGAAGCGTGCCTTGCTGAGAGCATTGACGGCGGTAGCAGCGGTACGTGAGATGTTTTGGAAGAACGTGCCCTGCTGCGGCTGCGATGCGCTGCGATTATCACCGCCATTATAAAGCCGTTTGCGCTGGGCTGCCATTGCTTGTTCTTTGGTGGGTGTATCTATCGTTCCATGGGCAGGGGCCCCGTCGGGGTTCATATCATACTCCAGCAATGGCCGGAGTGATTCTTCAACGTGGTACTCTCTGCACAGTTCGACGCCCCGTTGATAATTGACCCAAGTCCCCTGGTATTTCCCGTAGCCGCCTTGTACCTTCTCGTGTTCACCAGCCGCAATTTCCTTCTCCAGGGTTTTCGTTCGTCTCGCTTTCACAACACCTGCGACTTTCAAAATTTGTGTGGCATTAAGCCAAGAATCGGACCGACGCTTCATCACAGCAACCCCGTTCATTTCCATCTCGTAGACGGCGATATTCGAGTAAACAGCCTAGTTAGAGGCAAGTCAGCATCATACTCTATGGGTGATGAATCCAGACCACGAACTCGGTAAATCTGCGGCTTATACTCCTCCTGAAATGACATTACAGATCCGTAGTCGTTGGACCCATCGTATCCACTAAAGCTTCGCGAGAGTCCATTGGTGTAACCGAAGGAGGACATCTGCGATCCTTTCGGAGGCGGAGGAGTGGCGCGAGGGGTGGACGAGAGGGATTGGGAAGCATTCAGCATATTGTAGGCCATTCCATTTGACCCTGTACTGCCTTGTGAGTATGACATGCTTGTCTTTGCCGAAATGTCAGCCTACAAATCGGGCAATAATTGGGCAGAGTTCCAAGGGGAGGATACCAGATGCCGATTGGAATGACGCGAGCTCAAGGAGGCGCGTGGCTAACCCTCTGGAGGGAAACCGCAGGCCAGACCAAATACCATTCAAGGCCACAAAGCGACCAATAGGAAGTTGTTAACCGATATATCAAGAGATATGAAGATCCGAGGCTCAATAATGCAAGGCAGGACAAAGTTCGCGGGGTTTGGTGAGAGAGACTGCGAAAATGGCGCGTCGGAGTTCCCGTGACACGCATTTCGCCAAGGTTTTCGCGTTTCTCCGTTTTGGGCCATTTTCTCTTTTTTTTCCCATCCGATTGCAATAAAATGAGATCATCGTCCTGATGGCCGGTCCACAAGTTCAACATTGGCTGCACAATCTCTCAACACCACAGCAATGGCGCCATTTATTTCGCGCTACGCTGCGCGAATGTACCTACCTTCCTGACCCGATCGCTCGCACCTACATGAAAGATCATATCATCTCCCGATACCGCGCTGTTTCCTCCCGTTCCAACAAGGCTGGTCCTCAAGTGGTGCACGCAGCAAGAAATGCGTTATCGGTGCTGCGGCGAGCAAATGAAGGCTACTCACGTCCTCTTGAGAAGGTGTTATTTCTGTCATACGGCCGCACTGGGAGACGGCGACATGAGTTGCTCGCCAAGTTGTTAAAGCCCGAAATACCGAATGACTCCGTGGATTTGAAAAGGCTACTTGCTCAGCCTGCTGAGTTTGATGATGGCTGGGAGCCCCCGGCGATTGTGAAAAGCCTCGCAGCTTCTCAGATGCAAAACACAGTGGTCGCAACCGCCCGCGTCAGGCCTGTGATCAAGAACTTGGAACCCTCGATTCCCTCGCAAGATAGCTGGGGCAAGGAAATAGCCAAGTCTCGGAAGAGGAATATTCGGAAACGATGGTACAATACTACATTGAACAACCTCCTTCCACCCTTGCCAGAGAAGGATCTCCAGATTCTGGATGGACTTGTTTCAGGGACTGTACCATGGGAACCTGTCAAGCGGAGAAAGGTAAACCCCCAGATCGCCCCGGCCAAGTCTGAGGATGAGCTCTTCACGTTGCTAGCCAGAGGCCCCAAGAAGGGTAAAACTTTCACTGAATATGCCAATGGTCGACCACACACAATTACAACCAGATTCATGCGCCGTCAATGGAGACGTCTATCCGCTCTTGTGCCGCGACAGTACTGGAACCCGATATCACAAAAATGGCGCTTCATATGGGACTCGCCAAAGGAAGTTCCCAGACTGTCTGTTGATCTAGATAATAGTATTGACTCGGCGATCTACTTCAACCCGCCAACGGCGCCGAAGAAGAATCAGACCAAGGCACCCCGAGCCCCCCAATAAGATGATATCAACAATATAATAATACACTATTTGGAACTCAGTTGGGTCCCTGACATGTCGATATCTAATTTATCTGGGTAGAACCAACATCTGTATCTATGGGAACACCATCAAGGCAAAATATTACTACGGGGCACACTCCAAAGTCAAAAGTACTCGGAAATTTCAACAAATGAAGTTTGTCCATGATCTCAATAAGAATACAAATGCATAGCATAAACATAATGCATCAAGCTGTCCAAACCAGCTTGGGAGAAGCTAAAAGCAGATCGCATGCCACTGGCACGGAACAATCAACAAGAGAAACAGCAGGCGGGGTATACAAAAATCAAAGGGTAAAATAAATCACTGCCACCCATCAAGCTGGCGTAGCGATCCCGAAAGCGAACCTGATTAGTCGCTGTCAGAGCTGGAGCTAGAGCTGGAGCTGGAGCTAGATCCCTTGCGCTTGTGCTTCTTGTCCTTCTTGTCCTTCTTGTCCTTCTTATGCTTCTTATCTTTCTTGTGCTTCTTGTGTTCCTTGCCACTATTCCACAATATCAACAGTCAGTCTCAGTCGCAACAGGAATCAAAGAAATCAAACACAGTGCCTAGGAAGACTCACATCTTATCGGATACCATATTCGCACCGACGGCACCCAAGACGGCACCGCCCGCAGTACCGAGGAAGCCATGGTGGAGCTTATTGCCCATGAACCCACCAGCCGCACCACCAAGCAGTGTCGACCCAAGACCCTTGTCACCCTCCGGTCCTACAGCGCCGGGCTGTCCTTGCTGGTGCTGTCCTGGAGCCGCGCCACCGTAGTATGACGAACTTTCGCCACCTTGTGGGTACTGCTGTTGCTGGGGAGGGTAGGGCGAGTGGCCGCGGTCCTGCGGCGGCTGTCCATATCCTGGACCACCTTGCTGTTCGTATTGGCCCTGCTGCTGATACTGCGGGTCATATGCCTGGTATCCTTGGCCGCCCTGTTGACCATAAGCTCCAGGCTGTTGGCCATATTGGGGCTGGCCGTAACCTTGCTGGCCCTGCGGAGAAAGGTCAGTTACATGTGTCTGTAACACGAGTACGAGAACAAAGTTCAACGAGCGCCATGGAGCTCCGTTCTGTACAACGCTTGGGATGTGCTTTGTATAAACTCACCTCTGGGTAATGGCCCTGAGGGGGGTAATGTTGCTGACCCTGCTGATCATAGTAACCAGCACCGCCGCCGTATTGGTTTTGAGGAGGACCACCGTAGTGCGACATCTTGAGGAATGACGAGTTGAAGTGTTAAATGTTAGGACAGTTATAGATAGGAAGAATTAGAAAAGGACAGAGACGAGGGGCTGCTCTGACAATAAATACACGGAATCAGCGGGACCCGCGGGGCTGAGCGGGAAATTGAGCACCGCCTCATGGAGTTTCAGATCAACACAGCCTCCTCTGTTGACGGTGGCTTAACCTTTTTTAGTCGACTCGAGTATCCAATAGGTTTCTATATCCTTCTGTTTGTGGATCTTGGATCTTTCGGTGGCATTTGCCACGATGTTGTTGTACATCTACCGCCAACGCCAAGACCCGTCACCCCGCAGTTGATGGGCTGCAAGGAACAGCGTAGAGAAGGACCTCGGCATTCTTAATTTGCTAGTTTCGGGTTTTAGAGGAGGCTTGACAATGAAATCTCTACAGAGGTGCTCTAGACTAAGAAGGTTATATAGCAAACCCCAGTTTCTTGTCAGTGTTGGAAGATATATAAATAGTATCCCCATATTGTTTGTAGCAACAAACAACGGCAACAATCAGAAAGCATGTCAGATTTCAGCAGGTGGCTCTTAGCTGTCCGGGTCAGATTGCTCATATATACATGTAGCCTTGGAGATATTAAACGGATAGATATACATTCAGCCATAAGATGGATACAATTCTCAAGAATTTTCCTGCTGTTAGGATGTGAAGCTGGGCATTGGTTATTCTGACGAGTATGTATGTTGACCCCGAGTTGGTATACCATTAGCAATGGGTTGCTACATGTAACATGTGGTCGTAGATATCTTAATACCTGGGTAGTTAAGTTCGGCTTCCAAGGAGGTTCTCTGTTCGCTCTGAATATTCCATATTCAACCAAGGACGTCTCCACACCGGCAAAAGGCTAGGATGGCTGCAACGAAGTAACAATACTAGCTTCGGACAACTTATCAAGTTGGCTTGCAGCTGGCATCAGTCATCTCCTAGCAAAGTTGGTCGGTTCGCGAAGAGGTTGTCGGCGTGGGCATAATGCATTGGAGGTATAAGCTGCTGCGTTCTACTGGCATATGTGTTTGTGTTCGTAAAATCTTGGCGTGGAATCTGGTCGGACATCCGGATCGGGGGTAGATACAAGATGTTCGCAATGATTTACGACAAACCTATGGAGTAGACGCTTATGAGTTCGATAGCATTGCTTATATGAACTCTAGATGCGGAGTACCACCCGGGATGTATCAATATGGGCTTCAGAGTGACCGATTTGGTAGACCAAATACTAGGGTGTCACCAAGAGTCTCTTTTGCCCAAGTGAAGCAAAATAGTACGATTTTTCGTTGGGATTTCCATATTCAATATGAAGATCACCGGCTGTGGAGCGGGTTACTAACGAATTTCCTATCCACCCCTGTATTTCCGAAGAGTGGAGTCGCTGGTGGGCATATAATTTCGGAGCACCATTAGCATCAGTAGGCAATTCAAGGCAGCAAAGGATCCAGCCCGAAGGATTCCACCGAAAAATGTGCGTGGGCAGCCAAGCATCCGAGCGCGGTAACGAGAAGCTTTCTTGCCAATAGCCTGGCATTTATTGGCACTGCAGCCAAGAAAAGGCGTATACACCTGGCATCTCGGATTTTGTAAGTTTGAAGATTTGAAGATGCCGAGGAAAGACAGACATCCATTGTCCTCCTTAAAACATTCAGGACGAGAATAGATCTATATCCCGCGGACCGTGGAGATGAACATGACCACGCACTGTCCCCTCCGCACATCCCCCAAGCCACCGAAGGCTATCCAAAGTCTTACTTCAAAGAAGCCGCGCTGCCAAGCTTCTACCCCGGCTGAGTCTCGGCAGAGTTAGTTTGAGGGGTTGTGCTTTCATGATTTATAGAAGAATTGTGTAGGGTCTTGTATGAAGCAGCATAAATATAGCATGTATAGGTACTCTGTGACAGACAGGTTTGCGCTGCATTTGGGTTTTGCTGTTTTGCCCAAGGCGGTTGTGGCGGGACTACCTATACGGGGTATCCCCGACGCTCTTTTCATTTTGTTGATTCTGTCTCTCAAACTCCACACCCCACCACTGGGCAGATGTCGATCCAGAGTTGGTCATCGCTCGGGTGAAAATACCACATCAAGATGACAATGAAGACAATCCGTGCTGCCTATACTGATACCATCCGTAGATGTTGGGACTGACAACCTGCATACAGCGATCCTTTCAGCTGACCTGCAAAAGCACCGCAGGCCGGAACAGAGCCAAAGTTCTCGGCTAAAAAGGGCAAAGCCTAGCGGCGATATGAACCAATCTAGAACCCAGAACAGGACACCCTGTTTAACAATGAACAGGTGCTTCTCTCTGTATGATCTCGGTGCCTTGCATCAACCCGCAATCCTTACCTGCCAGACCATGGAAGCACCGTGCCGTGGTGGTTCCGGCTCGGCCATTGGAAGAAATTTCCAGTCCCCGATTTCCCCACGGGGACTCTGTCGTCTGGGGAGGTGTACTCCAGAAGTGTACTGTGATCGGCGGCTGAGCTTGGGGCGCTTGCATCATTCGTGCCAGACCCCGACTCCAGATTGCTGACCCGCATGGCAAGCAAATGAGATAGGCTGCGATCCCTGTATTTGGCGAGTGGAGTGTCTACCACAGAAGTCGGTGGCCATTCGTTTGATTTCCTATGGTCGTCGCGGTGTCACCCGCCAGATTCGGCCGCGATGTGCGAGCGGTTGCTCCCGCCATATTTAGACATGTGCTAGTCCCCTCGCCTTTTTGCGTTTACAATCTATTCTCTTTCTCTCTCTTCCGATCATCTGCCAAGTTCCGGCTGTAACTCTCTCATTTGCAAGTACTCCGAGGGTCTTGGCTACTATGGCGGCTGAACGACAGCCTCTCGATGCACTGGCAAGCTCGCCGGACGTCGAAGAGCACATGAGTATCGGACGTTACATATCCACGCGAATTTCCTCTTTGGTGCCTCCAATGAACCCGGCGCCCAACCCTTTCAAAGCTTTGACATTGCTCAACCGGACCCAGTGGCTCAACTTCACGGTATGTCGATTCTCACAGGGCTGATACAGAACAACCTTAGAGGACTTGGCTAACTATGGCACCTATCCTACAGGTCGCATTTGCAGGCTGGTCGTGGGATGCTTTCGATTTTTTTACTGTCTCACTTACCACTTCAGAGCTCGCTAAGTCTTTCGATAAATCCGTCACTGACATCACCTGGGGAATTACCCTGGTGCTGATGCTTCGATCTGTTGGCGCGATTGGATTTGGAATTGCCTCCGATCGATGGGGCCGCAAGTGGCCATTTATCTTCAACCAGCTGCTCTTCGTTGTCCTCGAACTGGGTGCTGGCTTTTGCCAAACATACAAACAATTCCTAGCTTGTCGTGCCTTGTTCGGCATTGCTATGGGTGGTTTGTACGGTAATGCCGCTGCCACAGCGTTGGAAGATTGCCCACCAGAAGCCCGCGGTATCATTTCGGGACTTTTGCAGCAAGGTTATGCCTTTGGATATCTACTTGCGACGGCTTTTGCCCGAGCGCTTGTTGATACTACCCCACATGGCTGGCGGCCATTGTATTGGTTTGCGGCTTGCCCACCTGTCTTGATTATCATCTTCCGGATGTTCCTAGGCGAAACCGAGACATTCCAGCGGCGCCAGGAAGCGCGGATGGAAGTACGCGGGGGTGTTGCGGCATCGTTCATGTCAGAAGGCAAGGTTGCACTGAAGCGGCATTGGATGATGCTCATATACCTGGTTCTACTGATGGCTGGATTCAATTTTATGGTATGCGATATACATGCTTTGTATTCGAAGTATCAAAGTTAAAATGCTAACGTCGAATCTAGTCGCACGGATCTCAGGACCTTTACCCAACCATGCTGGAGAAGCAGTTCAACTTCTCGAAAGATGCAGTTACAGTAACACAAGTCGTCGCCAATCTGGGCGCATTGTCAGGTGGCATTCTCTGCGGCTGGGCTAGTCAAATCTTCGGTCGACGATTCTCGATCATCGTGATCTCCATTATAGGCGGCGCCCTACTCTATCCCTACACATTTGTTGAGAACAAGAATGTCATCGCCGCTGCCTACTTCGAACAATTCATGGTTCAGGGCGCATGGGGTGTCATCCCCATCCATTTGATGGAGCTCTCCCCCGGCGCTATCCGTACCTTCGCCGTCGGCACCGCTTACCAGCTCGGTAACCTCGTCTCCTCGGCCAGTTCGACCATTGAGTCTACCATCGGCGAGCGTTTCCCGCTGCCACCTACCGAAGAAGCGAAGGATCGCTACGAGTACGGCAAGGTAATCTGCATCTTCATGGGCTGCGTCTATGCCTATGTCATCCTGGTTACCATTGCCGGACCGGAGCGGCTGGGTCGCAACTTCGACGCTGAGCATGACTCCGACCTTCAGGAGGTCGCTGCTCAGCGTGGTACGACCAAGGAAGGCTTCGGGGATGATCCCGAGAAGGCGACGGCTGCGTCGTAAGCTCTGTCTCATCTCGCCCAAGAGCAGATGTGATACCTGGTGACCCGCGCAATTGCGCGATGATTGATGATTTCTTGGGAGAAAGGGAAATTTGAGATGAGATATTGCAATGAATCCAATTTTCAACAGCTTACTTTGTACATACCGGAGGTCGAGCTTGGTAGACTGCTTCGCTTGGAGAGTCTAACTGGCCTGTCAATAATTAGAAGGAGGTTAGTAGGTCTTTTAATAGCATTGGTTCACTTTCGCTTAATAGGTAGTCAAGAATCCGAATCTGCTTAATTGGTAATGCTCATTCTGACTCGTAGGCCAGTCTTAGGGTTGAAGGGTATCGTCATATTCATGTTTGGGTGAGAGAGGGAGTAAGTAAATAGCAGAGTACCAACCTTTGATGATCCTCTCCTTATATGGTGCCGATGAGCCCTAATCCTCATAGTGCATATTCAGTGCACGCTCAGTGTATGCTCACTGAACGTGCACTATACTCTGAGCGTACTCTGAGAATACTATCAGTGTATATAAAACTATGAGTGTACTCTGACTATAATCTGAACGATCATTCAGTGAGAGATACAACTCAGGGGTAGAACAAAAACACAGTAAGCGTGAGATCTGGCGTGAACGGGGGTTGTCAAGCCTCTTTATAAAGCACGGACTCAGCCTTTCAGCCTAAACCCCGCACTTGTACACAATTCTAGCCCTGGAGCTGGGTTTTGATTAGCAAATTGAAACAAGTTGACAATAGGCTAGGACTAGGATAGTGTTAATCATGACATGGTTGGCTATATCGAGTTGTTGCGTGGATGCATCTATAGATACGGAGTCCGCTATAATGTTCTTAGGGTTGTCACGCCATTCCCCTAGATAACCGAGTGATCTGGGCTCTTGATCAACCGGAACCTGTAGCTTCTAGGGGATTTCTGTTGTTCTTTTGAGGGATTTGTCCAACCCAAGGTCCTTAAGGTGGTTTCAAAGCTATTGGACGGAATCTAAATTGGACTGATGTCAGCGCGTCCCTACATGTCCACTGGGCATCACTAATTTGCAGTATCACCACCATTAAGAAACCTTTTGACCATGATTGACATCAATAAGCACTGGCTTGGTCTGACTATGTGACATACGCGTCCTGCAGGAACATTGTCATGGGGGTACACGGTTGCCTGCTGTATCCCATTGTAGATCGGCTCTATACCAGAGCTCCCAAAGAGGGGATTTGCCCGTATCTCATCTAATCTACTGTTTCCCAGAGATGTCATATAGGCACTTGGCAGACAAGGCTTGTCTTGATCATGGCTTCCAGTATGTACCTAGGGCATATCCCGGTACTCCGTACTCCGTACATGTAGTAGGTACTGGAGGAGGGTTCATTGCCAAGGCTGTTATGCCGATTGCGTCCAGAAGCAAAAAAAACACAAAAAACAGGAAATGGGCATTTCGACCCCGGTGAAAGATTTGATTCTAATGAATAAAGCCGAATCCCTCAGTTGAAAGACCCTGACACTTGGACTATTGTACCCACAAAAAAGCCCACAGTCAGGGACACAAGGGACACTTTCTCTCCGCCAAGGCCCAGACAAACCTCCAACCGCCCCGGCTTCCATTCTTGTCCTCTCCATTCTCACCCCTTCCCTTCCCCTCCTCGTTCCTTACTCTCTAAGGGTTTCTTGCGAGGTTTAGCCCCCTGCGCCAAGAACCTCGGTTTCTCTGTGTGCTGGATGAAGCCCCGGCTCCGCTTTCTCCAATGCACAGACGCTCGTCCGGCTCCCCTGTCGAGGACGAAGATTCCTCGGTCTCCCGGACAGACGATCATGGGCCCAACGCCATTGACGAAAAAACGCGATCTCAAATAGCTAGGCGCGGCACCAGCTTTGACCTTCGCCGCGACGGCAGCGCGACACCGCGCTCCCGGAATTCGAGCATGTGGCGCACCTCGTCCTCCCAACCTTCCAACGATACCAAAACGATGCCATTGGGTTCCCCTCGACTTCCGATGGAAGCACCCTCACCTGAGGGCCGTCGTGCCCGACAATCTCGCCTGCGCAGTCCATGGTCCTGCTCCATCTTGACAGCCTTCACGACCTGTGTCGCTGTCGCGATCTTGGTTTCCATTGTCACATCGTTCGCCGGTCGGCAAGTCGGCGGAGATGGTTGCGGCGTTCCGATGATGAGTCCGACGTTTATTCGCATGTTGGAATTTGATACAGAACATACCCGCTTCGCAAGCAAATACAACCTCTTTGTGTACCGGGAGGAAGGCGTGGATCCTTACACTCAGGATAACATCGGGGTACGGTGACTCGGACTGGGTGGAGGCGCTTATGAATTTTCTTTGCTGACTCGTGTGGTTTAGTTAAATGGCGTGCCAGTTCTGTTCTTGCCCGGAAACGCTGGCAGTTACCGCCAAGTCCGCTCCTTGGCCGCCGAGGCCTCGCGACATTACTATGATGCGGTTCGACACGACGAACACCGACATGCGGCCGGAACGCGAAGCTTGGACTTTTTCATGGTGGATTTCAACGAGGATATGGCGGCGTTCCATGGACAAACGTTGTTGGATCAAGCGGAGTATGTCAACGAGGCGATTTCATATATTTTGTCACTATACCACGACCCGCGACGCACCCGCCGAGACCCAGGGTTACCGGACCCCAGCGCAGTGATTCTGATCGGGCATTCTATGGGTGGGATCGTCGCACGAACCGCCCTGACTATGGCCAACTACCAAGCCAACTCGGTTAACACGATCATCACCATGTCTGCCCCTCACGCCAAACCACCCGTCTCCTTCGATTCCGATATAGTTCACACCTATAAACAAATCAACGACTACTGGCGTGACGCATATGCGCAGACTTGGGCCAACAACAACCCATTATGGCATGTGACTCTCATTTCCATTGCCGGCGGTGCGCGAGACACGGTGGTCCCCTCCGACTATGCCAGTATCTCCTCCCTTGTTCCCGCGACACATGGATTCACCGTTTTCACTTCTTCGATTCCGGATGTTTGGATTGGAATGGATCATCTGTCGATTACTTGGTGCGACCAGTTCCGCAAGGCAATTATCAAATCCCTATTTGAGATTGTCGACACCCGACGCCCTACACAAACCAAACCGCGAGCAGAACGGATGCGTGTGCTGAAGCGGTGGTATTTGACTGGCATGGAGGATGTGGCTGAGCGTACTCTGCCTCAAAAGGAAGCAAATACCCTTTTGACACTCGAGGACAATGCAAACACGATCCTTTCACAGGGTCAGAGACTGATCTTGCGTGAACTGGGTCTACAACATGGCCCTGACGTTCGTCTTTTACCAATCCCTCCCCAGGGTGTTTCCGGTAAAAAGTTCACACTGCTCACAGACCAATCGCTCGATAAGAATGGTAATGTCGAGGTTCTTTTCTGCAGCGTGTTTCCACTATCGAACGGCCGTGTAACCAACTTCCCCTTGAATTTGGATTTCTCCGGTGGCACCGTGGGCTCGACCCGTTTGGCTTGCAAGAGCGCGGCTGAAGACAGCATTCATTTGCCTGCCTCGACCCTTTCGTCCAAACATGCCTACGATCGTGCTGCGCCGTTCTCGTATCTCCAATATGATCTGGAAGGCTTAGCAGAGCATCAATTCGTTGCTGTTGTGGATAAGGCCAATATTCCGACTTCAGGCTTCGTTATCGCCGAGTTCTCGGACAGCTCAGATGCGATGATTAAGGCCAAGGTGGGATTAGGCGGCCTGCTCAGTGCTGGCCTAAAGGTGCGGCTACCTGCCAACCGACCTATGCTCACGGAGGTGAAGATCCCCGCACTGTACTCCAGTCTGCTGGACTACCGATTGAAGATCACTCGCCATCCCCAGAAGGAGGAGCTGTTCGCTCCCTTGCTCCGACAATCCGTCTCTGACCCTCATGAATCGAAGTTCTTCGTCAATGTCAATGACGTTAACGTGAACTTGCACGGCGTGGCACCGTTCATGCCCCCTGCGATCAGCGAGCAAGCTGCTCTCGGGGGCGTTTCCTTCCATCTGTGGACAGACCCCAGCTCTGGCTCAACAGTCGATATCTCTCTCCAAGTTGACCTTACTAGCAGTCTTGGCGAGTTAGTGATGCGATATCGAACCATTTTCGCGGCATTCCCATTGCTTGTCGTTGCCCTTGTCCTCCGCAAGCAGTTCCAAGTCTACGATGAGTCCGGTTACTTCATTCCCTTCACTGATGGCCTTGACCGTGCGTTGCGATCTTCCTTCCCGCTTCTGCTGGTGGCAATGTCGTTGCTCGCCTCCTCCCTGGCTACTTCTAAAGCTCTGCCCCAAACGGACGAGACCCTCCATTGGCGCACCAACTCGACTGAGACTCCCATCGACTTCACTAAGAATGATCTCTTGCTTGGTTCGCAGGATGCATTCTTCTGGTTCCTTGTCCCGGTATTTGGTCTTGTCAGTGTTGGTGTCTGTGTGATCGTCAACTATCTTGCCCTTGCCCTCGTGAACATCATCTCCTGTGTCTACGGGGTGCTCCACAGCAAGTCGGGCTATATCCGACGAGAGGACCGGGGAAATCTCCCAATCTTCCACATGCCCACACCTCGCCGCCGTATCATTCACACTGCTATCCTCTTGGTCCTTGTCTCGACTGTTATCCCCTATCAGTTCGCCTACATGGTCGCCTGCATTGTGCAACTAGCCACCTGCGTGCGGGCACAATGGCACGCCAAGGAAACCAGATCCACTTCGCACCTGAACTTCGGCAACTACGCGCACTCCATCTTAATCCTGATGTTGTGGATCCTGCCCATCAACGTGCTAGTCCTCCTGGTCTGGGCCCACAATCTTGTTGTGCACTGGTTCATGCCTTTCTCGTCCCACCATAATGTGTTATCCATCATGCCTTTCCTTATTCTCGTCGAGACTATGACCAGTGGTGCTATGATCCCGCGCATCACAACTAGGTATGTCCCGATTCTATTTTCGACTCACGAGTCCCAAGCTAACCATTCACCTCTCTCCCTCAGATTCAGACACGTCACCTCCATAATCTTCCTCGCCATCGCCATCTACTCGGCGATCTATGGTGTCTCCTATGCGTATCTCCTCCATCACCTCGCCAACCTCCTCGCAGCCTGGTTCGTCGGGATTTATCTATTCGGCAACAATTTCTCCTTCCGCCGTCTATGGCGTATCATCGATGGCGATGAAAGTCCCTCCGAAACGGGGAGCAGTCACGTTAAGAAGAAGCCATGAAAGCTTATCACATCTGTTCTGATTCTTGTTATGCTTGTTTGAATGGCCTTTTTTTCATGGGCCACGGAGTTGCGCCGCGCATATGGGTCTGGAGTTACGAGCGTTTTGACCTTTTTGTACAGACACCGGGGGGGTTTTTTCTTTTCCCCAAGGATTAGAGGCATATCGATGTCTTCATCTCTTCCTGCCTTCCCCCTCCCAATCCTTCACTCCTTTACCCTCACCACTTTGTCACGACTGCTAAGACCACAATTCTCTTTGTGAGGAGGGACGGGGAGTTGTGATCCTACTCGACGCTCGCACTTCGACCAGACTTAATCTTTTCCTGATCGGGCTGTTTTGAAGAAGTCTTGTATATACCCCCGGAGTGTGTTTCTCTGTTTCTGCTTCGTTTTATTATTTGACCACGATCTGGACATAGAATTGCGGGATGCGAGGGTGGTTCTGCTTGGCCTGGGCGTGCTGGCGGTGTGTTTTTTGTTTCTGGTTCATAGAGTTGTGCATTCCCACATACTAATTATTCTCTTACTTCCCCTTTCTCTCCATTTACCAGTGGCTATCGTCCTTTCCTGCTATAGACCTAGCCCATAACTCTCCTCATCTGCATCTGGCAGCTCTACCGTCCGCACCGGGGACAAGCGAGAAAGAAAAAAAAGGTCGGGCACGCACACAGCGACAGGGAGCTCCTGTACGCCGTATTATGTATCATGCACGAACCCAGCCTCACCAGCGCCTCTCTATATGAGACCGATCCTCCGATAGGCTGCCCGTCGTTACCCCTTTATTTCCCTGACCTGGAAGGGCCGTCACCGTTAAGACGCTGCTATTAAACATGTATCAAACAGAAAAGCCCGCGGCCTAAGCGGGCATCCCAGCCGAAAAGGGGGTTGGGTACGGAGTACTCCGTACTCCGTACACCTGGGGCAAAAAGGGGGCTGTCCGGAGCGAGCGAAAAGGAAAAAAAAAATAACTTTACGCCTGAGAAATCGAGGATCAGATCTTCCACATGAGATGGACTCATGGAGCGTCACTGTCAACTCCCATGTTCCTACACGGCATCTACCCCGGATTCGAATGGTGGATACACCCTTCATGTCTAACATGCATCGAGCTAGGTCTTACACAGGGGGCTAAGCCTAAAGATGAAGATTTGCCTCCCCGTTTCCCCAAATAAACAACTGGGGCACCGGGATGCCAGATGGATCCACTCGACTTCGAATGTGACACTTTGGTATAGACATGCCGAGGTGATGACCTCGTCTCGACGTACCAGGTGGCCAACGCCACAGGCAAGAAAACAGAAAAAAGAAACGGAAAAAGAGAGAACGGAAAATAAATCAGATTTTTCTTTTTGTTTCCAGAAACAGCAGAAAATGCAGTCGAAACAGAATTCGTACGCGGGAAACTCGGAGTCCTAAAACGGAGCCGAGTTGGATTTGGATTTGGATTTTTTTTTTTTTTCAATTGGCATTGTTGGAAGTAAGGAACTAGAGTTCCACGCTCATTGGATCAATCTCCTTTTTTTTCCCTGGGCTTTTGTGGCTCTGTTTTTTGTAGACTTTTTTGTTTGATCTTTTTTTTTTTTTTTTTTTTTTTTTTTGCCACCTGGGTGCTTTCGCGGGGGATAAGGAATCGAGATAACGCCGAACAGGGGATTGCGTTCTTCATGGTTCTAGATGGTTACATCGCAGTACCTGTCATTCTCACCTCAGAGCAGTGACACGGAGTACAGCTTACCAAGTACAACGATAGAGCCATGGATGTGGACAGAATTCCCATTTTCCCCCGTGAGGCTGTTCATTCCATGTGCGCGATAAGCGATAAGATAAATCAAGCGGTGAAAAACATCCCAAGTACCTCTACTTTGCACATTGTATACAGGTCTCTTTCAGCCATTCCTTGAGGTGCTCGTGGACTTTGGGAACAAAGAAACCCAAAAACACCCAAATAATAAATGATTTGTTCACCTTTACCCCTGAATAGGACCATTGGGCATTGATTGGGAGACTGGAGGGCCGAAACCCGCAGATCATAGTTGGATGTAGTACGGCGTACGGAGTACAGGGCTGACACGTCCTTATTCTTTGCTTCATTTCTGCCTGAGACTCTTAGCTCGGACCTCCAGGTCAACTATCTAGTCTTGGATCAGATGTCAAGCAGATGCGTACGTCTGGGTCTGGATTTCGGAATACGGGAAACTGGAATAATAATAGGAGCCAACTCTAAAAATATTTGTCGAGGATCGATGTGCCGGGTAGGAGACTGCGCCACTCGGTCATGGGTGGCGAACGGCGATTCGCGCGCCTCGGATGCGTTTCGCAACGTATGTTTCTGGGCGACTGGCGCTAGATGGGATATGGGAGAACTCTCCCCGGATACGGGGTTCGTTGTACGGGAAGGATCAAGCAGAGGATGTGATGAGGGATGACAATCAAGTTGGAGGTGAAGATGAGGTGAGAGAATGTCACCGTTGGCAAGTGATAGAGTCTACAGGAGAGTGGTTACTATGCCTAATCAGGTCTGCAATCTGAATTGTCCAATGTGAATAGTGCAATGTACCCATACAAGTGGTACTTGCAAGCCAAATCCCAAAAAAATCAATTAAAGTAAAATGGCTGAATAAAAAAAGAAAAGCCATCGACTAAGCCTAATCCAGCCAGGCAACGGATGCAGCCAATCACTCAGAGGGGATTCGGGCAAAAGCAGGACTGGGCCCAATCAGGGAGGCGGAACACCACTACTAAGCCTGATTGGGTGTTAGTGCGGGACAATGGGCTTGAGAAAAATTTTTTTGATTGCGATTTCATAGGGTTTTGCCGCCCAGGTTTTATGCCACACGATAAATATCCTCGCCCCCCTTCCCTCCCCCCTCCTCTCCTCCACTCCTGCATCTTTTTTTTTTTGAGGGTCGGCCTCTTCTTTCTTTTTGTTTTTTTCTACTCTGCATAGACAGGTTAGAAAAAGTCTCGCTCCAATCTTTGAGCGTCCGCGTCTGCAAAAAATTTGACGCAGTTGAGTCTTTTGACCAAAAAATTTCACGATACCCCTCATAGAAAAAAAAGGAAGGATTCTTCTTTCTTTACTCTAATACCCCCTTCCTCTTTTTCCAAACGCCAACATTTCGTCCAAAATGCCTGCCGCCGCCGCTTCTTCTCCCGCCGTCATTGGCAAGGAGACCGCCCAGTCGGTTGCTGTCCTCGAGGATCTCATCAAGAACCTCAACATCTCCACCAGCGCCGATGAGACCAACGCCGCTGCTGGCAACCTTGCCTCTCTCTTCGGTGGCCCCATCCCCGAGCAGGTCCTCCCTGCCAAGGCCGCCGAGATCTTCAAGAAGCAGCTCGCCAACAAGAAGGACGCTATCGCCCGTGAGCGTGCTTGCGAGGGTATCCGTGCTATTGCTTCCCACTCCACAATCGCTGCCGGTGTTGAGCCCCACCTCGCTGCTCTCCTTGGCCCCGTTCTTGCCGCCGTTGGTGACAAGATGGTCCCCGTCAAGCAGGCCGCTCAGTCCGCCGCTGTCGCCATTGTCCAGGCCGTCACCGGAAACGCCGTCAAGGCCATCATCACTCCTATCCTCGAGTCTCTCGCTAACGCCCAGAAGTGGCAAGAAAAGATGGCCGCTCTTGAGTGCCTCAACATCCTCGTCGAGTCCGCTCAGATGCAGCTCGGCTACCAGGTTCCTACTCTGATTCCCGTCATCTCCGAGGCCATGTGGGACACCAAGTCCGACATCAAGAAGGCTGCCTACGCCACCATGGAGAAGGTCTGCGGTCTCATCGTCAACAAGGATATTGAGCGTTTCATTCCCGAGCTCATTAAGTGTATCGCCAAGCCCGAGAACGTCGCCGAGACCGTTCACTTGCTCGGTGCCACCACTTTCGTCAGTGATGTCACTGGCCCTACCCTCGCTATCATGGTTCCTTTGCTCGATCGTGGTCTTGTTGAGCGTGAGACCGCCATCAAGCGTAAGACCGCTGTCATTGTCGACAACATGTGTAAGCTGGTGGAGGACCCCCAGCTCGTCGCTCCTTTCTTGCCCAAGATGTTGCCAGGTCTGAACAAGAACTTCGACACCCTCGCCGACCCCGAGGCCCGTGAGAAGACCCGCCAGGCTCTCGACACCCTCTCCCGTGTCGGTGATGTCAAGGACGGCAAGATCCCCGAGGTCTCCCGCGCCGGTGACATCTCCACCGTTTCTGCCATCTTCAAGCAGGTCCTCGAGGCCAAGCACAAGGACCTGATCGCCACCTCCGAGGAGGCCATCAACTACGTTGCTGCCATCGCTGCCCAGCTCGTTGACGAGAAGGAGAACGACCACGTTATCTGGACCCAGAACACCCTTCCTTACATCACCGCCATCGTCGGTGCCGAGGATGCCAAGAGCGTCGCCGAGGCTCTCCGCAAGCAGGCCTGCCCCGATGCCGCCGCTGCCGATGCCGTCGCCTCCGATGAGGAGGAGGGTGAGGATCTCTGCAACTGCACTTTCTCCCTGGCCTACGGTGCCAAGATTCTGCTGAACCAGACTCACCTGCGTCTCAAGCGTGGCCAGCGTTACGGTCTCCTTGGCCCCAACGGTTCCGGAAAGACCACCCTCATGCGCGCCATCAACAACGAGCAGCTCGAGGGTTTCCCCAAGAAGGATGAGGTCAAGACCGTCTACGTCGAGCACGATCTCGACTCTGCCGATACCGAGCAGACCGTCATTGCCTGGACCCAGAAGAAGCTGGCTGAGGTTGGCCAGAACCCTCCCCGTGCTGAGCTCGAGGACAAGCTGCTCAACGAGTTCGGCTTCTCCGAGTTCCAGATCCAGGGTCCCATCACTGCCCTTTCCGGTGGTTGGAAGATGAAGCTCGCTCTCTGCCGTGCCGTCTTCGAGAGCCCCGATATTCTCCTGCTCGATGAGCCTACCAACCACTTGGACGTCAAGAACGTCGCTTGGCTCGAGAACTACCTCAAGTCCTCCCCTTGCACTTCCATCATGGTCTCCCACGACTCCAGCTTCCTTGACCACGTCATCCAGCACGTCGTTCACTACGAGCGCTTCAAGCTCCGCCGTTACCGCGGTACCCTCTCCGACTTCGTCAAGCAGCACCCCGCTGCCAAGTCCTACTACGAGCTCGGTGCCTCCGACATGGAGTTCAAGTTCCCCGAGCCCGGTTTCCTTGAGGGTGTCAAGACCAAGTCCAAGGCTATCTGCCGTGTCAGCAACATGTCCTTCCAGTACCCCGGTACCCCCAAGCCCCAGATTCACGGAATTACCTTCCAGGTCTCCCTGGGCTCCCGTATTGCCGTCATCGGTGCCAACGGTGCTGGCAAGTCTACTCTCGTTAACGTCCTGACTGGTGAACTCATCCCCACCTCCGGTGATGTCTACCAGCACGAGAACATCCGTATTGCCTACATTAAGCAGCACGCTTTCGCTCACATCGATAACCACCTCGACTCTACTCCCTCCGAGTACATCCAGTGGCGTTTCCAGACTGGTGAGGACCGTGAGACCATGGACCGCGCCAACAAGATCGTCACCGAGGAGGATGAGAAGGCCATGGACAAGATCTACAAGATTGAGGGTACCCTCCGTCGCGTCATTGGCATCCACTCTCGTCGCAAGTTCAAGAACACCTACGAGTACGAGATCTCTTGGTCTCTGGGTGACAACGTTGGCATGAAGTCCGAGAAGTGGACTCCTCTCATGTCCAACGACAACACCTGGTTGCCCCGTTCCGAGATTATCGTCTCCCACTCCAAGCAGGTCGCCGAGGTTGATCAGAAGGAGGCCCTCGCCTCCGGTCAGTTCCGTCCCCTTGTCCGCAAGGAGATTGAGGCCCACTGCGCCAACTTCGGTCTCGATGCCGAGCTGGTCTCCCACTCCCGTATGCGCGGTCTCTCCGGTGGCCAGCGTGTCAAGGTCGTTCTCGCCGCTTGCTCTTGGCAGCGTCCCCACCTTATCGTCCTCGACGAGCCCACTAACTACCTCGACCGTGACTCCCTCGGTGCCCTTTCCAAGGCTATCAAGTCCTTCGAGGGTGGTGTTGTTATCATTACTCACTCCCGCGAGTTCACTGAGCACCTCACTGAGGAAGTCTGGGCCGTTAACGACGGTATGATGACTCCCTCCGGACACAACTGGGTCCAGGGTCAGGGTTCTGGCCCCCGTCTCGACGCCAAGGGTGACGATGACGAGGACAAGTTCGATGCCATGGGCAACAAGATCGTCGTCCAGAAGAAGGTTAAGCTTTCTGGTAAGTCAACTCATCTTTTCTCACTCTCGCGTCAATTCCATTTACTAACTCTCTTCCAGGCTCCGAGCTCCGCAAGAAGAAGAAGGAGCGTGCTGCCCGCCGCAAGCGTGGTGAGGAGGTCTTCTCCGATGAGGATGACATCTAAGCAATTCGCTGAGGTGTTTATTCATGCATATTATGATTGGTTGATGAATTTCATATGCTTTGCTAGGACAAAATACATTTCTATGTTCAAACACTTTGTTTCTTTTCCCTTTTTAGATTTGTAGTGTACTTGGAAATAGATCGTTCATTATCTTCCTTCCCTCAATGTCGTACATAAGCCCCATCATCCTGTCAATCCCGTTGCTTTTGGAATTTACGCTGTGCAGTTCACAGGTTGCGTCGTTATACATACATTGCCTTACTACGTCCCCTTCGATTCGCCACCTTCACACCCATTCACCAAACATCAATTAACCCATACCTATCCCCCGCTGTTTCCTACACTTTATATACCAAACATACCTCGCCAGCCTACCCTAAGAAATCCACTCATCTCTACATCAAAAACAACAATCAAATCGCTGATTTGGAAATCCAACATATAGACCCCCACATGTCTGTTGGAGGAAATCACACGCCTCCACTCCTTGGCGCCTGATCCCAGCCAACCAGACGCGCGTCCTCCAGATAGCTAGGCCTGCAACTGGGCTTGGGCTGTGCCAAGACAATATCTTCGCGAAAAAAAACGTTTAACTTGATAGCTTGATGGCTAGAAGGATTCTTCTTGAACAGAATAAAACTTGATAAATGTATGCCGTGTCTCCTCGATAGTTGGTAAAGACAGAAATTGGAGCCCATTATCATCCCTTCCCGTGATTGCCCAATGTCCTATGTATTGGGATCCCCCAGAACCCAGCAATGTCCCACAGCCGCCCTGACCCCGGCGCCATTCGCTCCAACTCCTCGCCTCCATCTCATCCATGTTGGTAGCGCCGGCGGGTGGTTAGCGCCTGGCATTTTGCTGCATGGGGGTGCAGGAGAAGGGCGGTGTCTTCGACGTTTGCGCGAGGCCCCCTTTTTGATGGGTTGGAGGGAGGAAGGTGGGAGATGGGGCTTTTGTTGTTTCGGGTTTTGGGTTGGGAGATCCTGGGCCCTGGGTCGGGGGCATATGAAGGGAGGGGTGGATGGAGGGTGGTAGATGCAGCGGGGATAGTAGGCGCGACGGGAGTGGGAGGGGATGGATGCTGCAGGGGACTGGGGTAGGATGGAGGGGGAGTAAGTTGAGGTTGGGGAGGGGAGAGGACTGAGATGAAGATGGTGGGAGAAGATATTGGAGGAGATGGAGTAGCAGTCCGTAGCAGGAGGAGATGGACTGGGAGAGGATGAGGATGTGGATCCAGGGGAAATAGATTGAAGAGAGGGGAGATGGAGGAGAGGACTGAGGAGGAGATAGATGTAGGAAAGGACTGGGGGGAGGATGGAGGAGAAGAGGATGGAGGAGGAGAGGATGGAGATAGCACCCCTTTAGCCCTGGAACCCGATGTGAGGGTCTCAGACAGATGCTGTTCAATGTCCACAATCAAATACTCTTGGTATTGAGGTCGTGGTCTCCGGAAGATGTGATATCGGTAAGGGTCAGATCCCTCGTGCGAGTGAGACATCCCAGTCCTTCAGAGCCTGATGAATCCCCTGTTTGATAAAGCCTCGGGGTGATCAAAGAGAGTGAAGTGATGTAGTGAAGTGATAGTGTGTTGAATTGGAAGTTGAATTGGAAGTGAAAGTAAACTCAAGGTAAATCAACTCAGAAGAGGCTCCTCCAATCAAAAGCAATTGCAAAGCATCAATTCCGAGAGTATGGATATCCATGATTTCGGCAATCCAATTGCTGAAATCCGCTAGCAGTCACCTTCCTCGCAGAGTCGATTCTTGCGAAGATTCGTACCGATGGATTTTCGCTCGTGATCTTTGGGTCAACGTGCATCAAGAGACCCGATATCTCCCTATTGATGATAAATTGGACGCCGATAGGATCTTGGTTTTGATGAGAATATGCAAAAAGACTTGTCATGGAAGGTCTGTCACGGCCTCTTGCGTTGGCACCGGTTCATGTTTGAGTCGGAGCCTTAGCTTCAATAAGTGCCCTCGCTACCACATACTGGCCCTCTTTCACTGCTTGTGATATTCGCAAGACCATCACGCTCAGAGTCCTTGGGAAGAAGGAGACGAGAGAAGGCAGGAGGAGAGCAACGATCCATGGATGCTAGAACACGCGTGCGAAGACCTCGTATCCCCCAGGCGGTCCTTCCGCTTCATCTTATTTTCCCAATTGAACCCCGGCGCAGTTGGATTATATTGGCGAGAGTACTAATGGTGCAGATTTCACTCTCCACCGTGTGATCGGCCAAGTTGAGGCACCGGTCTGGTCATTGCCGGGTTCTTGAGTACCCTCCACGTGGGAAACGCGCTGTGGCTGTCTATATAACCACAGACAACAGTGTTCGACTGTTGTTGTGCTCTATATATGTATAGGAGCGTTGTTCGTGAATGCATGGGAGATAGTGGAAAGAGTCTATCGGAAAGATTTGATTAGAAAGTGTCTGAACGTGCGTGGGAGATTGATGATACCTAGAGCTAGAGCGCGGTCCATCTATTTTCTTCGTGCACATTATCCCACTGCACGTCTTATCAGAGGATATTCGAGTTACCCGACCTTACCATTTGCTCCATATGGCTATTAGATATATGATCTCCTGTTGTGGATAATGTATATAGAGGAAGTATCAGAAAAGGACGGGTGGCCAGTCAGAGGTAAGTGAGGCTTTCTATCTGAGCGCTTTAGATATCGTGAGGTCAAGCGATTCCAGAAATAAAGGAGAGACTCATTGAAGCCCAATGGGCTTGAGTGCGTGTGATCAAACGCCTGATTGCTCAGGCCCCTCTCCTCAGCAAAGACTCTTAGATAGGATGATTGCTGGTAGCTGGACAGTTTCGGTGGTCTAGGTGATGAGTTCGCTCGAATAGAATTGCAAGTACTCCGTGTAGGTTAGGTTGAGAAAGGATTCTGTATATATTGCTGACAGTTGAATAGTGAAAGCTATGCGGAGTACCCCGTATGGTTGTGATGCTTTACGTACAACAGAAGGGAATTTCCTTCTTTTCTAACCCTGCTCCTATATGTCACATTTGGTTTTCCAATCGGTCAACCGGGTATGCTTTAAAGTCGCTCGAAACTATACATGCGACAAGCCGAGTTCCGGTACTGGCAGTTACAACTTATCCCTGGATCACCGAGGCTCGTCTGGGATAGATTACCGAGAAGGCAATATCTGAGGTTTTGATCGATCTCTCGCTGGATCGAGAAGAAAATATCGCTCATTGGTCACCGAAATAGGAAGGAGAGATAGATCTATATAAGGAGGCACGCACACTATTGGCCAAAGAATACGAGTGGGTATGATCTATACGCTCACACTGTTGCATTTGATACCAGTGAGGGAGACGATTAATTTCAAAGTACTCCGTACCCCTGGAGCGGTTGTTCCTCTAAACCCGCTCTCTGTCGTTTCTGGGGAGAATCTGATGCATCTGAAGTTTACAGGACCGGCAATCTGACGGCTGCGGGCTTTGGGGTAGCTTCCGGTTCGACGATCGCGTTAGCTCGTGTTGACGTTTTTATCAGACGCGATACCCTTTCTCAATTTCTGTTATAAATCAACTCTGTTAACCGAACTAATCGCCTTAGAGCGGTGGGTTCGCAGATGGACTTGACGTGACGTTCAGCACTCCAATCAAGCTGCGTCTCTCCACCGGCTAGGGAGCCGCTATGTCGGGTCCGAAGAATATCCTGCTTTTGTGGCGGCCCTTCTAGGCTTTGGTTGCCCCGTCGATGCCGTGCAGGAGATATCTCGATATGTCCAGCTCTGCAGGATGTGTAGGCTGTGTACGGAGTACTACGTAGGGGGTCGAACGGATTGTGTAGGGGGGCCATAGGATAGTGGGAAACCACAACGGTGGATCCTGTATTATCCATGATGTTTGATTCCTCGTTTCTGATTGATTTGTTTTGTCGGCACAGACCTGCTCCGTTGTATCCCTGTCACTGGCTACCAGACTGTCGGAATGGCTAGTTCGATTAGTATCGCTTTTAGTTGCTGATGCAGTTTTTAGGGAGTTGGGAACCCGGGCTTCACAGAACACGAAAAGAACGGCCACAACGAAGGGAAAAAAGCCATGGAGAGCAGGAGGGTATAATATAGCTAGCTCAATCGACTCAAAATCAACCCCATATCCCACAATACAGAGTTAACATCCACGGATGTTAAATCCCCGCTGCACATCATCCGCTATCCCGCTCTCGTGTGCCCCCTCACACGTCCAGAGCCTAATCGGGGAATCTCAAGTAGACCTGTCACATTCTCATAGTTGAGGCTATAAAGTAATGCTTTCACTCACTCTTTTCTCCTGGTCTACAACCCCTCTGCAACAATGGTTTCCCAAGTAGACCAAGAGCTCCGAGAAGGCCGCGCCCTGGGGTCTGAGGAAAATCCAACCCCTGCCAATTGGGAAGAAACCCCGATGAAAGATCGGAGCCATGGGACTCCAAGGAATCAAAGCCAAGAGCCTCAAGCGAACCGCGCCCCAACGACGGAAGATGACACCCCGGTGATTCAAGAAGCCCCAGTGACTGAAGATATCCATCCCCAACAGACCCCAGAAGAGCGAAATCAGGAGCCACAAGAAAATCAAAGCCACGCGATTGAAGAAAATAGCAACCAAGACCCCCAAGAGAATCCCAACCCGGCCAATCCAGAAACAGAAGCAGATCGCAGCCAGGGGATTCCGGAAAATCGACCCGAACGCACCGAGGTAGATCGCAATCAAGACCTTGCAGACCTTCAAGAAGCTCAACAGGCAATTCCTGATGCCAATATCCCCCAAAATGATCACATGAACGATCCAGCCAACATTGATGGGCCAATTGCCGTCGATAATTTCAGTGACGTGCGTTTCTCCCCCTTTCCGTCTCAAAGTGATCATGCTTACCCAACGAACAGGATGAAAGTAGCGAGTTTGGCGATGATTCCGATATCACATCGCTTTCTTCCAGTGTCTTGGAGTATGAATTCGAGAATGGTCGGCGCTATCACAGCAACCGTGTTGTAAGTCTTTCCTGTTTTCGAGGTCGTCGGTTATAGTCCCAGTTGCTAACTCCACTATTAGGGCCTATACATGTACTGTATTCCTCCACTGGTATATGAAATGACCCATTAACCCTTATAGGATGCCAAACGACGAAGAAGAACAAGACCGAATGGACTTGGTAAGATACCACGTCTCAGATCACGTCTGGAAGAATGCTAACTCTTCCCGTTAGACACATCACATGTCAGCTAACCCTAAATGCTTTGACCCTCAACCCAATACTGACATTCATATTGTAAAGATGGCTTTTACTGCTGAAAGGAGAGCTCCATAAAGCCCCAGTCACCAATCCCCAAAAGATCCTCGATCTCGGCACCGGCACGGGCATCTGGGCTCTCGATATTGCCGAGTACGAACACAACCTCACTATCCATTGAATCTAGAACTAACACATACAGGAAATTCCCCAGCGCAAAGGTCATCGGAAACGACATCAGCGCCATCCAGCCAGATTGGGTAGTCCCGAACGTCGAATTCATCATCGAAGACTTCGAAAGCGAATGGCTCTACCAACCAAACAGCTTCGACTTCATCCACGCACGACTCCTAGCCGGGTAAGCCCCCAATCCACAAACGCCTTCCACCATCCCCATTCCACAAATCTAACCGCCCAAAGCTGCGTAACCAACTGGCCCGCCTTCTTCCGCAAAATCTTCGCCCACATCAAACCGGGCTGCTACTTTGAAATCCAAGAAAGCGGCTTCTGGGCCTGGAGCGACGACGGCACCGTCACCCATGAATCACCCATCAACCAGTACCTCTCTGCTCTCATCGAGGCAGGCCGCGCTATCGGCCGCGAACTCAACATCTACTACAAGCTGAAAGACTGGATGGTCGAAGCGGGCTTCGAAGATGTCCAGCAGTTTACGTATCTGCTGCCGTACTCGCCTTGGCCGCGGGATCCTCATCTGAAAGAGTTGGGGAAGTATCAGGCTCTTATGGTGCAGCAGGCGGTCGAGTCTTATGGGCTGAGACTCTGTACGCAGGTTCTTGGGTGGGGAGTGGAGCCTTCGCGGATCTTCCAGGCGATGGCGAAGAAGAATTTGAGGGATAAGAATGCACATGCTTATGTTAAAGAGTGAGTTTTTTTTTTTTTTTTTCTTCTTTCTTTTGATCTTTTTGGGCTGGTTGGAATGGGACTGACTTTTGATAGGGTTGTTGTTTATGGTCGGAAGCCTCTTAATAGTTGGTGAGTGCAGGGGATAGGAGCATTCACCTAGTAGTATGGCTTGTTTGGTTTTAGCCTTGGTTTTAGCAGAATATGTTCATTGTGCCTGGTTCCTCAGTGAAATTTGCGAGCATTCATTATGATTAAAGTGGATATTGGTAATATGATGTTAACTCTTTGGGCTTCTTCAATGAGACAGTATCCAGCCACATATCAGGTTTCAACCTCGGAAGCGGTAGATGATCCAACTAGGCTTGTCTCGTCAAGCATCGACAGGCCCAACTTTCACATCTACTCGTCTCTGCAACTCGGCCATATCACCCACTTGCCGTAACTTCTTCCGCTTCTGAACTTCCAAGTCCTTGAAGCGCTTCTTGCCCCCATGCTTGAGTTTGGTAATCATATCAGCCGCTTGGCCACGAGTCAACTCCTCAGGCTTAACTCTGCCTTCCCGAATACGAGCTCCGTTGAGCATCTTGATTTGTCCCGGTGTTGCAGCCGCTCGTCGCCAAGGTTTCCAAGATGCAATGTAATGTTCATCAAACTTGCTACTGGCATAGGTATCCGCTGCCCGAACGATGGTCTCCAAATCCTCGGCAGTGGCAACCTGCCGCGGCCGTGTAAATTGCGGCGCCTCAGTGGTCAAACTTTTGAACTTCATGACATGATGAGCTGTGAATGTGTCGCCTTGTTTCTCAATCGTTATCCAACCGGATGTCTCGTTGAGTATATATTTGTCATCGCCGATCCGGACCCAGCTGTGCGGACTGAACGATCTGATATGTCGTTCGGATTGCATGTCTCCGAGGAGGTCGTATATACTGTCGTAGGTGGTGAATTGGAGTTGCAGATCATTATCTGACCCATCATATGGTTCGCCAACATCGGAACTGGATTCCGATTGGTCTTTCTGCTCACGGTTCTTCTGCATATCTTCCACGCTGGCATTTTCCAAGACCTCGTCCGGGTCTAAGCCGAACAATGTCGGTGTTGACAAAACTCCAGTTGCTAGCGAGGCAACCATGTCAATCACATGGCAGTCCTTCTTCCCAGGGAACAGCCGAAGACCACGTCCGATCATTTGGACAAGCAGGTTTCGAGACCTGGTGGGTCGGGCCAGGAGCACGCAGTCGATATTAGGGATATCTGTGCCTTCTGTGAAAAGACCACAGTTCAGCAACACCGGGAATTCTTGATTCTTGAAGGCTCGCAGCTCCTCTGCACGAGCACCTTTTGCCGTGCTAGCAGTAATATACCTAGCATCGACACCATGGTCTCGAAAAGCCGCAGTAAGCTGCCGCGCATGCTCGACATCAACACAGAACACTAGCGTCGACTTTCTATGCTCGGCATTCGCCATCCAAGCACGAACAGTAATATCGTTCGTAGTCGTAGTATTAACCGCCTCCGAGAGCGATCCCAAGGCAAAGTCCCCAAAACTATCTTTCTTGACTTTGGACAAATTCGCCCCAGACTTGACAGTCGTGAAGACCGCATTCGCCAACCAATTCTCGCCAATCATATCCACATAGTCTTTATGATAGACAATATGATCAATAGCAGCTCCCAATTTCAGCCCATCAAATCGTGAAAATGTAGCCGAAACACCCACCAAGACCGGTCCATTCGCAGACGCCTCGTTCAGCCCGAAATGTCCCAGCGCCTCGCGGTATGACTTGGCAACAATATGATGTGCCTCATCTACAAGTATGAGCTTGAATGCACTCGGGTCGAACTTGTGGATGCGGCCCCGTGCGAGTGTTTGAACTGATGCGATGATGATATCTCCTGCTCCTGTCGCAACATTTGTGCCCATTTCGATCTCGACGGTTTTATCTGGATAGGCAAGGCGGCAGTGCTTCGCGGCTTGCTCGACGAGTTCTCGCCGGTGAACAATAATCATAGTCTTGGTGGCTTTCGCATCGAGAGGAGGGATTCGGCTGATAAGTTGTGTGAAAATGACCTGCGGATGTTAACTACATACCCCATTGAAGAGTCACATCAGCTCATACCGTCTTTCCAGATCCTGTTGCAAGCGATATTCCCAGGCGTCGATGCCCATCATCCATATATTTCAAGACAGATTGAATGCTCTCCTCTTGGTAGTCGCGAAGCACAATACTAGGGACCGAGCCCCCGGTCGTATTGAAGCGCACATGGCGCGGGACAACCGGCAAAGCCCTCCTCACCAAGCACCGCCTCGATAACCCCAATCGCGAGAAATAGCGTACGATATCCATACAGATGTTGGCAAACAGCTCAGCTCTGTTTCCGACGCTGAAGAAACCCCTGCAAACAGTGCAAACACTTATCGATAAGCGTGCGTGGTTTCGAAGTGGATCATCCGCAGCTCAACTTTTTCCCTATACATAATTTCTTATAGCTCCCGACGAACTCGACCTGGCACTTTTTTCACCAAGGGTGCAGCTGTGATGTGTTGCTACCGATCGGTCCGCATGCGCTGCGAATCCACCAGCCCGAACGATGAGCGACTCCGCCTCCGTCTATGAGCCCGACGACGACGCCGAGTCCGAGTCCGATTTCGAGCCAGCCCGTCCATCCAGGGGCCGCTCTCTGGCCCCAACTCGAGAGCGAACAGAATCCACACGTCACAATGATCGCGCAGTCTCAGCGGCTAATGGGGTCGGACAGGAACTCGGCCATGCCCTTATGGCACGCACCCCGCCGATGCGTGGACCGCTTACATTTGTCCGAGCTTACAGACACCTCCTGGCGGAAAGCGAGGAGGCTGTTGAGTATGCAACGCTGAAGGATCCTGACAATGTATACAAAGTCAGTCAACATGGCTCAGTGGTCTGGACGTCTACGGAGAAACAACTCTTTTTCAGTGTGCTAGAGCGGAAAGGCAAGGGGGGCATTAAGGAACTTGTTGCTGCCATTGGGACCAAGTCCGAGCTCGAGGTTATAGAATATATCAGATTTTTGCACAAGGCGCTCGAGGCCCAGTGTCTTTCCGACAAGCATGTGGAACGCATGCCTGTCTTGAGCGATATCCCGGCGGCCATGGAGCTCAGCCAGGAATGTTGCGATCTACTTGAGGATTACGGGGATATTCTTGTGTTTCAAGACTCTCTGCTCCAAACGAAAGCCGGAACGAAGAAACACGGGGATAACTGGATTGTCACGAGTGCTCATGCCCAGCGTTTGGTCGATGCGGAAGACACCGCTCGAGGTGATCTCCGTCTCGCGGCTGGGCTGCTCAATCTGCCAGAATGGATCCGGCTTTCGCAGACCTTGCTTATGAACTTCGGTGGCTCGAAAGCGGACGATAATTGGTGGAGGCTTGCTACACAAGGAGACAAGATCACTGCGGAGGGTCACACTGCCTCCATGACTGCGGAGGGCGCTGTGGACTTCTATTCCCTCGCTGTTAGTATCACGCGTCGTTTGGTGCAATCGTCTATCTTCTTTTCAATGTCCCGAGTCCGCAGCGCAAGTCGCACAGGCCGCGATAGAAAACGCCATGTGCGAACACAAGACGTACGGGCCGCGATCGAAGTGCTGAACATGAAGCATCGACGGCCAAACTTCGTTGATATCGCCCGTCGCAATGAAATCGTAATCGAAGACATTCTCAACCGCAAAGGCTGGGTGTCAACGGTATTCAGCTACGACGAAGCCGAGGAAATCATCGACAAAAACGAGTGGTTCCGGTACCGCAAAGATGGAACCATATCCAGGAAGAAACGCGGTGAAGAAGTCAGCGATGACGACGACGCCGAGGACGACGAAGAAATGGAAGACGACCAGCATGCAGAGCCGGAATCAGAACCAGAACCAGAATCCGAAGTCGAGCCAGAACCACTCTCAGAAGTGGAGGAGGAGGAGGATGATGAGGACGACGACGATTCGTTGCCCACGCGAGAATCCTCTGAACTATCGTCCCCAGTCGGATCGTCGGACGAGCTGGGAATGGAGATGGATCCTGAAGAAGAGCAGGCGGATATCGCCGACCAAAACATCAGCCGGAGCCACGAAGCCAATCTCCGACGCCTGATGGATCAGCCGTTACCTTCTATCCTCAATGAAATCACGAAGGCGGAAGATACCGAAACCGAGAACAAACCACAACTCGAGCGCAGGACTCGACAAGATATCTCGAACTGGCGAGATCGGACTCTCTACCGCAGCGAGTGGGAGGAGTATGGATACGATTTCGCCGATCTGAAGGACGAACTGGAAATGCCTCCACCCAAAAGGCCCAGACTCGACGAACCGACGCCAGCTTCTGTTGCAGCCCCGGGCGAGGACCCAGTTGATAACAAAAACGACCGGCCTGAACCGCAGCAAGCGACGAAAGGAGACGAAAAAGATCAAGGTCCATCTGGTGGACAGTCTTGGGTAGAATACTACATGACACAGTTTGGAAAGCCAGGCAACACACAATAGCCTGGATAGCAGACAGATATAATTTACTTTAAACAATATAAGATTCTCATCAAGGACATATGATTAAAAAGTAAACACATTGATGGAAAAAAAAAAGAATCCCCAACCACCTGTTCCACCCCCTAAGAACAATCCTCTTTCTGGAGAGAGGGTGGATCAACAGAAAAGAACTCCAGCAGATAACAGAAAAACAGAACGTGCGCCTTTTCCTAGCCAGAAAGTTCAGAATATTCATAACTCAGCGAGACAAAAAGCAGCTCCCTTTGGCCCCTCTCTTAGAAGATCCTGGGGGGATATCGTACATGTATTGAGGAAAGCTACAGGTCAAGAGTCTTGTAGTCAGCACCAACCTGGGCACTCAGGGGCTGGGCTCCGGCGCGCAGGTCTCCGCCAACGGGCTGGAAGCTGTAGTGGTTCCCAATACCTGTGGTAGCGGCATCAGCCAGCATCTGATTTGTATGTTCGTTGGGGCCCTGCAAGCTAACGGTCTGGAGAGCATCCTGTGCCTCCTTAACACGCTTCTTGAAGGTCATTCGGTCCAAGAAAAGTTGTTGGCGCGCCTGTTCCAACTCCCGGCGCTCAGCCTCAATAATCTCTTCCATTTCGTTAAACTGCTGCAACTTGACCTCGAACTTCTGCAGGGTGACATTGACTGCAGCAGAGACCAGGCGGGTCATTTCGCGCTCCTCGTGCGAGGCAAGAGCTCCAGCACGTGCGGCAGATGCGGCCAGGGCGATGGTGCCAACGGATTCCTTGGGCTTCGCAGAAGCTGGCTGCTCGGCGTCGCGCGCGGCATCCACGTCCATCGAGTCTTCGGTCTTAACTGCCTCTTTGCCCTTATCTTCTCCCTTCTCCAGTTGGCTTCGGAGCTCTTTGCGGATTTCCTCGACAGACCGGCCGGCGGCGGCAGCAGCCACTGTGGGCTCCGCCATCTGGGCCAAGAACGCCACGACAGAAAGAACGGGGTTCTCTGACTGGCTGATGGGGTCACGTCCGCCGCCAATGCGCGACTCTGGAATATCTTCAATGTATTTATCCTCAATCTCTAGCCGCAAGAACTTCATGACACACTCCTCCCGAGATCGTGTACCAACGTGGTTCGCAATTTGTTCCCAATTGTCATCGAAGTTTTCCAATCCTTCCAACAACAAGATCAATTCGGAGTCCGACCACTTAGTGTCTTTGTCGGATGGGTGAGAGTGGCCCTTGTCCTCGAGCTTAACAAAGTCTGAGGCACTGTGGCTAGAAGGCATGCGTCCTTGGAGGAAGCAGTTGGGACACAGGTCATATTTGCTGTCTGGGGTATTGGCACTCGCAGAGGTGGGGGCTGATTTGGCGTAGTGGAAACGAAGTTTGGTGCAATCAATACCACAAGAGAAGCAGTGTGCCTTCTTCTTGGATTCCTGGGCAATGTCCAAGCCATTTGTGGCTTCACCATTGGTCTGCTTCTCCTTATCTTCAGCAGGGGTGATATCCTTTCCTTTTTCGTCGTAAACGCTGCGGCGTAGTTCAAGATTGAGGTCGTCTTTGGATGCAGGAATGGAGGAGGCGGCACGCTGAGTGGCTGGAAGAGCCTTGCCTGAAGTGACACTGTGGTTTGGCCCGGGCTGGAATGGCTGAAGACCCCGTGGGGTGTCTGCGATAACTCGGAAGTGGCCGGTGAATGGCGGTCCGATGTTGGATGGCCGTGTTTGCGGGTCGACCTGTGGAGATGTGAGCAGAAGTATATCGAGACGGGGACCATAGAAGGCTACAAACCTGGTAATTGATCAAGCCCCACTGCTCAAGGAATGAGTGAACGCGCATAATAGCACACACGTCACCTGCAAGGTTGCGACGGCAAGCGGTGACAGTGAGATACTCGATGGGGTTCAATCGGTAGGTGTTAATCATAAAATCGCGGTAATCTTTGTATGTAGCAGGGGTCTTGCTGCGGTTACGGCCATTGAAGAACTCGGCAAGAGCTTTCTTCTCAATCGGGTTGATGGTGTTCATGTCGAACCATGTCGCATAGCTGGGGAGAATGATGGCGTGTGTTTGAGTGACGAGTTGTTCGCGCGCAGCAGCTTCCAAAGATGACTTCGTTGGTGCAGGTTGCTCCTCGCCCACAGCATCCTCAAGTCCGTCGGTTCCTTCTGCCGGTGGGTGCGACTCGCCCACGGCATCCTCCAAGCCCTCAGTGTCGGGCTTGGCGTCGGTCTCAGTACCACCCATCTCCTCGTCTTCGGGTTCAACGCCGCCATTTCGGGGGTTTAGGAGAGGCCGGGGCGTCCATCGGGTTGTCGGATCCAGGGGTGTGCTCAATCTTTTTCACGGGCGAATCCTGGCGCGATTGCGCTTCTACTGATGATATTAGCATTAGGTTCGATTCAACATTGAGGCCTCAAAGGATGAGCATCTCTGAAGCATCGCGAGCTGCCTCAGTTGAGCCATCCCGGCCAGTTATAGCCTGGGTATTCAGATAGGCCTCACCTGAATTGATAGAGGTGTCATCCATGATGGAAGCAAGCAGTTGTCGCGGTCGGCGGGAATGTCAACTCCTTTCCCGGGTATCAATCCGTGTTCCGTGTAAAGCGCAATAACGATATGGGATATAATAGCAAATTTCCAGCAATGGTGTAGATCAAGGCCAAGGAAGATGAAAGAGGAGGCCGAAAGTGATGATTGGACGGGTTGCTGGGGGGCACTGGGGGAGGTTGGTCGCGACACGCAAAACTCACGGGCGAGTGCCAAGAGCTATATTGCCACTAACCGCTTTAGGACTTAGTTCCTCCCCCCACGATCAGGTGATTCAATACACATGTATAAGGACGAAGAGCTCTATTGAGTTACTCTGGTGCATCGAAGTGATACTCTCTTGATTTTAATATAAATACCCCAAAATACATCGGTTTACATCATCTATTGACAATAGACACGACTCTTTGTTCTACCCAGCATTTCAGCCTACACAGAATATATACTTCTTGGGAACATTCTAACACTGAGCTGCTGACTAGTGTAATTCCTTAGCTTCCTCTAATGTTCCATCTTTATCATTAGATCGTACGTACATACATAGACTCAAAGTTGTTTATTTTTAGCTATATATAGGCGAGCCTAACAACACGTAGCCATACCCTCAACCCTGAATATAAAGTGCAAGATAAGATCTTGTATAAAGATCCACCCTAAAAACCAAGACAAGTGAGCTAGAGAAGAAGAAGATAAAAAGGCTCTTCCCAGCCAACAATATTACCTAGGACCTAATCTTCAAATCATAGATATCTACGTCACCAGGTAATATAGATAGTTCATTCAAGAGCCCCACGGAAACGCCAGATTGATCAGGCGACTATCTCTGGTGAGCAAAGCTGTTTTTATCTAGAAATTACATTTCAGAGAAAGCGTAGATGGTCATAAAAGCATATCAGCAGAATTAAAGTGGACAAATGCCACCGCTTTAAGCAGGAAACTTGCATAATATCTGTAAGCAAAATAGTTATACTCGATTGAGTTGCTTACAAAACGATTATATATACTATTATGTTAGATTTATTGTCTCCATTTCATCTGTGATAGCCAGCTCACTCGGTAGATCTGAAATATTGGCTTTGAAGGCATGTCCTTATTTCTGTCCTCCATGTCAAAGGGTGCATCCAGTCCAAACTCTTCATAGTGAAGATGCAGATGGGCATCTACGGAGACCTCTCTCCTGCATTCTGAGCCATGGGACAGTCCCAGGTATTGCAGTAGCAATAGAAAAAGGTAAAGTGGAAGCATACAAGGCACAGTGGACTCCAAAAATAGGTGGAGGTTGGGGGATGGAGGGAAATCATCCTGTTCTACGATAAGGTCATGAATCCAAAACTGAGATGACAGGTCGTTGATCACGGTGATGGTTTGAGCTCTATCCTCTTCTATGGTATTGATGTCGTAAACTCCGATGTTGTAGATTAGAAGAATCAGGCCGCATGCTACCCAGCAATGCTGAAAATATCGAGTACCTAGGTTGATTCCACGGTGGGAACTAGGTGGTTTCAGTCATGCTTGGAAACACGAGTCTTTCAGTGATGAGACTAGGGGGAAAAGCTAGCATTTGCATGGCTTCAAGGCATGGCCACATCACTGCAAATCGCTGGAGATCAACAATATTCTCAAATCCAAGGTACACAGATACTGTCCGTTCGGTTTATATATGGTTATATTTATACAGCCCTGTTTCTGGGAGAAATGGACCTGGACAACAATGATGTATATGCGGCTTTCCGTATTGCGCGACACAAGGGCGTTGGTTTACTTAGGAGTATGCAGATGGGAAATATCAGATACACGATATCTGATGATGAGTTGCGTATATAAAAGGCAGGTAGAGCCAAAAAAACAAAAAGGGAAGAAGAAAAAATTATTATCAGAAAATACCCTGTTATTTATGTACAACGCATGTCACAGGGCACAATTTGCATCAAGTCAAGTACGCCACAGCTTATGCTGCAGATTTGCGCCAATCACGAACGGATGCATATGCACTCGGGTTCTCGGCGTTCACATCTCTCTTCGCAGTCGTGGAGATGGCTTGGGCCTCCATGTCAAAGCAATCTGTCTGCCCATCCTCCGTGCAGAACGCATAGAGTGTCTTGGCCTTCATATCACAGAAGAGTGACTCCCCAGTATGGGCGAAATCAGGACCCATGGATGTATTAGATTCACACAGCCTCTTAGCCGAGTGAGACTTGGCATCACTGATGACCAGCTCGGTATCTGCCCACGCAGGCCGGGCAGGGGCCTGACGAGCACGCACGGGACCACTGCGCTTCTTCTTGGTATAGTAGTTGATGGTGTTGGGGTCATCCTCCTCACGCAGTCCAAAGTTGATATCGTTGCACATTCTTGCTGGGTTGGTGTCGTGCTCGTCGTGTTCGTCTTTGGAGAAGGCAGGCCAGCGAACCTGGAAACCGGTTTTGGGCTGGTCGCCGTCTTTGTCAATCCAGAAGCACTTGGGCTGGTAGTCTTCGTTGCTGTTGGGGTACATGTGGCTCTCGAACCATGTGCCGCCACAGGCTTCGCCATAATCGCCTGATACGGCATACCTGTTGCCGCCGCGGTCGTCACTCCAGGTGGTGGTCACCCACGCAACGCAGATGGCGTCGTTGTTGGCGGAGAATAGGGAGTATACACCTTGGTTTTCGTGGTCGATTGAGACTTCACCTAGGTTTCCGTTGTTGACAGAACCAGGGTCAGCTTTCATGCCAACGAAGGATCCGACTTCGTTCCATACGCGGCTGTCTCTCATCATTAGCCTTGAGTCCTCTCGCCCTGATGATTCAGCATCGATATGTTGGATTGACTTACATGTCAGGGAGGTCACCACCAGCATCTGTTGGTCCGCTCGGGCCATCGAGGGCTACGGCAACCTTGATGGTCGAACCAGAAGTCTCACCGTTACCGAAGTTATCTTTCCCGAATGAGACAATGGTCAGGATGCCCGAAATGACACCAATGGCATCGACGATAGACATCTTTGCAGATTGAGGATTGAACTGGAGAGTCTGCGATTGAAAACAGTTCTGGGGATGAAAAAGAGACCTCCTCTGTGAACTCCCAGGCCTTATATAGATACCTCCGAGGTCCCTCCCAGGGGCTTGGCTTTTGCTGCTCTCTTCTCGTCAAGAGCTCATTTCATTCTGCCGTGCATGATTCGGAGTCGTCTTCATCTATCCAGCCATAGATCGACACCTCTTCACTCCCGAATGGCTCTATTTGGGGGCCATTATCATCTTGGCCCCTGTGCACGATGTAACATTGTACTTTTCGTTGGCAAGATTCTGACGATCTGGACTATTGGTGGTTCTGAGAGCTGCAGCTTGTAGCCCTCTCGTAGCCACTGTGCACTGTAGTGAGATTAAATTACCCCACGCTAAATGCCGAATATCCGCCTTGCCCTGAACTCCTCCATCAGTGCCGATCGATTTGTGTCCCATGCAAGCGCAGGCTCTCATAATAACAGATCGGGGGTACCTCTCCTAGAAACATCGGTCTCGGTCTGTTTGCTCCGTAACCGGAAAGCCAATAGGAATGAAACATCCAGAAGAGTTCAAATTGCTCTGAAGGACTTTGATTAGTATTGTATTCAAGAGGAAGTAAGAATGCCGGGAATTTCCCGAGCCTTACACGATGTCAGTCAGGTACAATGGCGGGGCGTGGATCGCTACCCATTGAAGATAATGGCAGACTGATCCTGTTGCCCGTGATCATGGCAAGGCTGGAAGAGGAAAGCAGAAGCGGTAGGGATCTTCCATTTGGGTCATAAGGTGAGGTGACAAACGCCCGATGAGGAAAATGCAGATTCCTGGAGCTGATCCGACTGCCAAGAGCTCAGCTGTTACCGCAATGTTCAAAGAGCCTCTCAGAAGCAGTCGCCCCCAAGCCAAGAGGACCCTAAAGCGCCATGCCAACTAGTCGGAGTCCACTTAGGACAACGCCCCCAATCAGCCACCCGATCAGCCAAGCGTTCGTCCAAACTCCAATTGGGTCGCTGTGCCCAATTTGGCTCGGACTTGGACTGCAAGGAAACAACAAAGCCCCCAAATGACTGGCGCGGAATATTCTGTTCCCTCTAATATCACACCGTTCCCCCCATAGGAGAAAAAAAAAACACTCAGATTTAGTCTCTCTCACAATCAATCTAACACAATGTTACAGCTCAACCCAGCCAAGCTTACTCTCCTCCTCTCTCTTCTTGCCTCTTCCACCTTTGCGAAGGACGGCGACCTCTCCTCCGACCTTGTAGGATGCGACGAGGTCTCATGTCCCAAGGAGGGTGTCGATGACCGTTGCACAGTCGACGGCAACACCTTCCTGGGTATTGGCCTATCCCGCATCCCGGACGTCCCCTCTGCTCTTGACGGTTTCTCCCTTGTGAAGGGCGTCAATGTCTCTGCTGGACTGGGCGGTAAGGATAATGACAAGCCCACGCGCCCGTTCAGGTCGGTCTACTACCTTGGCGCACCCTCAGATGCAAACACCAAGGACCTGTCCGGCTGTGTTGTCATCTTCAATGATGCCCCGTCCAAGAAATTCGACGGTCCTCAACTAGAAGGTGGCAACAGAACCGATACCCGCGCTGCGAGCGGTACCTGCTCCGACGTCATTGACCAAAAATGCATTGACAAGCTTACGGAGCGGGCGACGAAGGTGGGCCAAGAAGGTGGTTCGAAGATCTGCTCCTCGCTCGAGCAGGAATTGAAGAAATTCTCCCTGAACGAGTGCAATGGGTTCGCAGGTAACAGTGACCGGCTGGGCGACTTCACTGTGAAGCAGCTTGATGATCTCGAACCGATTCCGAAATCTGAGGGTTGCTGGCCGATCAAGCCTGATTCTGATCAGTTGTTGGAGATTGCGAGTGTCAAGTCCTTGGTAAGTGGTGTTTGTTCTTATGTGTTTGTTTGTGCAGCTGCTGATAGCCTTTCTACAGAGGAACTACTCGGCAAATGCTCTTATCGATGAGGCTTACAAGATCACCCCTGTCTTGACTCTCTTCACCAAGGGCAATGACAGCCTGGTCAACACGACCGTTTCTCAGTTGACATGCTTGAAAGTCGTCACCAAAGAGGATCCCGAAGATGACAAGGATAGTGGTAAGAATTCTGCGATGGCCCTCAAGGGAAGTGGACTTGCTGCTGGCATTGCCGCGCTTATGGCAGGAATGGTTGCATTGCTGTAGGTAGCGTGTAGGATGCAGTCCTACTCGAGATAAGAATGGAATACTGAAATGATGTTATTATCTGAGTGTGCCTCAATTTGTATATGCTGGATCATTGGAGGCCAGATGGTATAATTAAGAAGGAAATTGCACATAATTGTACATAATGTGAGCGGAAGACTTCTTAATTCTCTACGTACACCAACATGCACATACACCAAAAGTACCTATCATTCCTAGTACAAGACATATGATGTGGTCCTATGTAATATCCATTCTCTACGGAGTTGTGTCTCGGTCTCCTTGGCACCCATCATAAATCAATGCAAACCCACGGTGGAGACTTAGCCAACGCCATCCCGGAAGGGTCCAGCGGGTGGCTGCTGGAGCTGAGACGGCCACCTGTACGTTAGGTGAGCGGGTTGATCATTCCTGTGTGCGTCTCCCATCTCCAGGATCTGCTTCGGCCCGTACCACTTTCTGAGTTCTCTTAAGGCTTCCCGAAGCTCTTGGATTTAGCTGTGCACTTTGAGGTCTGAAATGCATCTGAGAAATTATGAAAACGCTAGACTCCGGCAACAAACATCAATTGAACTCTCAGCCCCGTTCCCCTTAGCGCCAAGCCGACATTGCGCCTTCGCTGCGGGTCCGAATGCCCCTCAGGAGTAACATTCATCCCGCTTCTTCATCTTCAACAGCCGCAGAAAAGTACGGAATACTCCACGATGCCTGCTACCTGAGAATACCTTTTCTCTGCTTTTGAGCGGTTTTATCGTGTACCATGCACATAGCCAAGACAAGCAGATTTCCACAACGCCAATCATCTCAAGCAATCCCGACCCACAATGACTGGGACTGCCCAACAAAGCACCAACAATGCAGATCAACCGGATCCAACGGATAAGCAAAACTGGAACTACGCCCTACGAAGCGGTCTAGCTGGAGGTATAGCAGGATGTGCCGTGAGTATGACAAAGGCCTCCCCGAAAGAACAGACCCTGATCTCCAAGCCAAGGCAAAAACAGTCGTTGCGCCAGTAGAAAGAGTAAAAATCCTCTTCCAAGGCTCACATTTCCAATTCGTAAACCACTCAAGGGCATGGTCCGGCTTATTCGATGCCATGAGGGACATCCGACATATGCACGGGGTATCCGCGCTCTTCAAAGGCCACTCGGCCACACTGGTCCGCATATTTCCTTACGCCGGCATAAACTTTCTCGCATATGAACAGATCCGAGCCGTCATGATCCAGTCCCGGGAAGATGAAACCCCCTTGCGTCGATTTCTGTGCGGAAGCATGGCCGGCGCGACTTCCACGTTTATCACTTACCCGCTCGAGTTAATCCGAGTACGGCTTGCCTTTCACACGGATCGAACGGTACCTTCGTCTTGGACGATTCTCTGTAGGAAGATGTATGAAGACGGAGGTAGGTCGAGGTTGACTAATTTCTATCGTGGATTTGCGCCGACGATGTTGGGTATTTTGCCATATGCTGGGATGTCCTTTCTAGCGCATGATGTGATTGGTGACTGGCTCAGGTCTGGTCCTTTGGCGCCATATGCTGTCAAAGGAAGTGAACGGGGGGAGCGAGACTCGATTGCGTTGCGATCGCCGGTTCGATTGACTGCGGTTGCGCAACTTTGTTGTGGAGCAATGGCTGGTCTTGTTGCTCAGACGACTTCGTATCCCATTGAGACCATTCGGAGGCGGATGCAGGTGAGCGATGGTCCCCAAACTGGGATTTTGGGGACTGCCAGGAAGATATATGTTGAAAGAGGCATTCGCGGGTTTTATATTGGATTGACTATTGGCTTTGTTAAAATTATACCGATGGTGGCGACTAGCTTTTTTGTTTATGATCGCTTGAAAAGACGGCTATTGACACCTATGTAAATAATATCTGTGCAATCTATCTAGAAGAACATTACTACATAATTTGACCATTTATGTTGCCTTCAGTTATTGTTAGATAACGTCAGCGCAAACCTAGGTAGGCATCAGAATCCCACAGATATGCTCTTCGTTTTAAAAATGAATGGTTCATAAGCGATTGCATATATCCATGGGGACTAAGGTTGTGGGTGCACATCCAGCTACAGCACAATGAGAAGCAACATGGAAAGCGAGAGCAATAGCAAATCAGACCTACACAGTACTACGCATTTGTGAAAAGAGAATACATCTAGAAGACAGATATCGGGATGTATCAGAAAGATGTAGATGGAAGTAGCAACAAGCGCTTAAATAATAATCCAAAGAATTTATATTCCAATTAAATCCGTCTATATATCCAATGTATATCCAGTCTACTTGGAATTTGCAGACATCGTTTGAGGGTATTATCCAACAAAAAGAAATGAAGTTAAGATCCTCTTGATAAGAAATCTACCATGAAGTTCAAATACAGATGTGATCCATGCCCGATAAATCAAACAGAGGCTTCCAAAGCCCGCTGCCCCAGCACCTCCATTTAGTACCCAACAGTGACAGAAACACCGCCATCGGAGTGAGTGTGAACCTCAAACTGATTCTGGTCAACACAGTCACCATACTCGTACGGAGCACCAATGTGAGCAGTGTAACCCTTAGCAATAGGCTCACCGAACACGACGCTGTGCTTGGGGATATCAGTACACTCGTGCTCGTCCTTGCCATCGTTCCAGCGGAAAAGCTCAACAAAGCCAAGCTGGCTATCAGCAATACCCTTGGAGCCCGCAGCAAGAGACCAAGAGCCGATGCGAGTGCTGTTGCCCTTGACGGCATCAACCAAGGTGCCGACCCACTTGGTGCCCTCGGTGTTCTGGACGTGGAGGTAGTACTGGCGCTCGTAGGTGCTGACGATGTCAACAGCGCAGCTGACACCGGGGCCGCCGTCGGCGCCTTCATTGCAGTTCTCGTCGTCGGAGGTGGTGCCTTCGTTGAAGCTGGAGAATGCGGCGTGGAGGATGGAGAGACCGTTGATGTCAAAACGGGGCTGCAGGCCGGTGTAGCCGACGTTATCCTGGTTGATGAAGCCGAATTGCTGGGCGAAGTAGAAGCCGTTCTCGTGGGGACAGCCGGAGATGTCCATCGGGAAGATGATGTCCTTGATACCCTCGGAGGTGACATTGTCGACGTTCCAGCCGAAGCCGACCATACCACCGCCCTGGGCGACGGCGGATTGGAGGAAAGGCAGAGCGAAGAGGACGGATTGGGAGAATTTCATGGTGATGGCCTTTTCGGGAGTGAGGGTGGAACGATGATTTTAGTCGGGCTTTCCCATGCTCTTTATATGTCCTTGCTCTGCATTCAGATCCTTCGTGCCGGCATAATGTTCAGGACCTGTCAAGACGAAACGCCGAGACGTTGGTTTAGATGGTGATCTGCACACTTTCTCCTTGTTTCGATAAAGGCGGTCCCAACTGTTGTATGTTGTATATTTGCTTCCCCGTAGAAGCCCCAGTCGAGCGGCATTTTAATATATCAGGCGCGTCTTCTTCTCTTCACGGACTCTCTAATGACTTCAATCAAAATGCATCCGTTGTTAGACGTTGAAAACATAACAATGGCACTGTAGGAATAGCAACCGGGGAACCCAGGAAGTAAATCTCTGAATATAATCCCCTGCAAAGTTCGGTTCGATGAGCCCGCTCTCTTCCAGGTGGACTCGGCTCGATCGTTGTGAAAAAAAGGGGTCGCCTTCCCAGTAGTGAACCGATCTGAATCTGCGGCATATTCCGATATTGCTATAGACGGAAGCTGGGGACAGTTTCTAAACAACATCGGTTTCAGTACGCGCTACCCCGTTCGTAGCCCCGTTCATGGCCCCCTACGGATTCCCTTCCGACCAGTGAATATTGCTAGGTTCCTAGAGTTAGCGAGATCCGTTCTCTGACCTCCGCATTCCATCCGCCGATCTTACGTTTAGATTAATCCTCCTAACCACATCGGGTATTCTCGACCACACATCCACGCCGAATGTTGGAGATCGAATATTTAGATTAAACCGCCGTTTGGTCACCAATTGGCGTACGTACCCTGTGGACTGATTGTTTGGATTTTTCTCTCCTCCAAAGTTGACGCGCAACTATCTTGCTGAGAGTCTCCGAAGTACCATGTCCCCACTTTTGAATAGTGGCCCTACCTGTGTCAACAGGCCCTAACATGGTTACTTCGCACATATCTCTCTATGAAATGATATCTTCCTGATTGAAATAAAGCAAACCCTCGCTATCTGGTTCTATAGCGGCCTTAAGTATAAACCCCAAGTGACGTGTTTCTCGCCAAGCAACCCTCCGGGTGTGGCTTTAGTGAGGAAAGCCTCGTTCCCCACGGCCCCATCAGGGCGATATTTAGTGGATCCTGCGGGAATTTTCATGGACAGTGGATGGAATCTCCATCCTCAATTGAGGAAAGTAGAGGGTGATCTTGAACGGTGTTGATTAAGGGGTTGACTACGTGCTCGCGAACGGATCTGCGTCGTGTGTGTGTGTGTGTGTGTGTGTGTGTGTGTGTGTGTGTGTGTGTGTGTGAATCAGGATGCCCATAACAGGCACAGACAGAGATTTCCGTGGACATATCCGAGCAGTATCCGAGACTTCCGTCATAAATACGGAGTACAGACGTGATATATGATGGGTATCAAATAGCACCATATGCAGTGAGTGGTAGTGCGTACAACATCTGCTGGATGTACTCCGTATGCACAGCGATGTAATTATCTATAAAGTCAAGTTGCAGCAGCTTAATTGAATGCAGATTGGTCTATCGTCGATCGTACTGTACCTGACATGTTAGTAAGGGCGATCCACTGGACAATCATTAATCAGTGTAGAGCCTTCCAAGGTTGGAAATGATTTCAGCTGTCAATCCGGAAGATCGATCAGCAACTATCAACTATCAACTGCTGAGCTCCGTGACCTATCCTTTGTCAATAAGGGGTTCCACACATTTGCCGAGCCATTACTTTACTCAAAGATTCAATGGGCATGGCGAGATCATCATGATCCTCCACCGATCACTCAGCTTTACAGACAACTCTAAACCGGCCTCAACTGGCTACTTACATCGAAAGCATTCATTTCGGTGGCAAGAGGTTGATGAATGGGGCCCGAGCATGAGGGGCCAGTCGGGCAAGCGAGGTGCTCAAACTGGGGTTCAACTCGAGTTCGTGGATTTGACAAATGGAGTTGACCACAGGCATATATCTAATTACTGAGATGTCACTCTATACATCATTGCCCAAGCCCTCTCTGTATATGCAAGGCTGTTTGATGGGCTTTGTGATTGAAGCTTGTTTTGGATTCCTAGTTCTTGCTAGGTGATTAACACATGTGGATACACACAACTGTAAACAATCTTGGCTGCTTAAGGCCCTTATCTTTTACACATATTGCAGAAATAATCGATCAGGATGTGATAAAACACAAACCATCGCCAAATTGACTCACAATTCTATACAGACCAGAGTTTCTGACACTTGATGATCGGAAGATCTTACAGAAGCAACACATCGTCCAAGCGTACTTGCTGTAATAAGTACAATGAGAAACTACCGAGTCATGCAAAGACTTTGGCTATGAATGACCCTACTCACTCTGTAAATGTGGTCGATTTTTGGACCTATAGAATGTCAACTCTAAGCGAAAGAATAAGAACGAACTTACCTGATAACCTCATTCAACTCGATCTGACTTCGAGGGTCCACAATCCCGAACAGATAACATCGATCAACAGCGAGCCGTCCAGCGATAATTTCCTGTTGATAGTGCTCAGCCTGTGCAATAGCGAGGGAAAACCAACCATGGGAAATCTCAACGTCCGGGTTGAGAACCGGAAACGAGACATAAAGTTGTTCCTGGTGATGCATAGCAGTACAGTGAGTGACTTCGAATAATGAGGCTTGGAGATGCTCGACTACAATGTCCATTAGCTTTACATCAGAGGCAACATAGTCGGCCGGGGAAAGCTTCGTGGAAACCCACCATAGGTCTGGAAGCGGGCTGAGGTCCTCGTAATGAGGTTCTCCGTTCTTCAGGAAGATAGTGCGGCACTTGGTCATGGTTTCTCTGTGTGATTCGTCCATGATTGCGAGTTCGAAGGGTTTGGGGCCTAGATATGGTCAGCAGGAACTTGTAAATATGGGTAGGTTTGTTGCTTATTCTTTGGTTATGGTGTGTTGGGATGGTGTGCTTCTTCGCCTGGTTAGAGGATAGACGGGGGTTTCGAGGGTATTTATCTTCAACACAATGGAATAAGAGAATGGCTCTATCGAGGGGAGTTTCTTTGATCTTGGAATAAGGCCTTTCAATATGTGGTTGTTACAATACCTCTTTCGAGTCTTTGACTGGACACTATGTGCAGCTTCAAGAGCTGAATTTAAAATACAATGGACAAAGACATGTGGCTATATACTGCTTATAGCTGATAGTTCAAAGACCGCATAACAAAGCCCCATCGATGATATACTGGTGATATGTGTGTATTGACTACAAAGGAAGAAGACAAACCCAGAAAGCTCACCCAACCGGGGTACCAGACCGGTCTCCGAGGCTATCCCAATACATGTGTCGAACTTCGAGTCCGATCCCCAAGATCTGATCGAAATATCGTGTCAATGAGTTTGCTTGACGAAATTTGACAAGAACTTCCTCTTTTGGAAAGACACAATCAGAGAGGAAGTCAGGTGAAGTCCAAAACCCCCAAGTAACGTAACCAATGAGATCGAACAGATTCCACAGAACAGTCGTCCAAATTAGGAAGGAACGTGAGCTCCAGCTGGGTATAAAAAGGGTCGTCTCCCCCATTTTCTTTCTTCTTCTTCTCTTCTTCCTCAACCTATCTCTCTTTCCCACCATACCTCTTCCTCCACCTTCTTTCAACCCGCCGTAGGCCGCTCTCTACGTGTGATGGGCAGAGGGTTCGTGCGTACAGCGCTGTCAACATTCATTGTTGAGGGCCATGCGCCAACACCCAGATCAAACTGTCAGTTCTGGTGCGAGTAACGGCCAAGTCATGGCTGGGCATCCTTGGGGGTCACCTCGGGGAGTCCAATAGCCTTCGACGGTCCCACTGAATACATTAGAAGGATATTCCTTCTTGTAGACTTAGATAGTCGTAGTCATACGTTTATGTTGGATCTACGTACATGTAACCACATCCATGTAAACATCTCGCGTTTCATCCTTGGGACATGTACCTTCAGTTTGTTTACATTCTACCCAGGTACCTACATGTATACATAATACCGTGATTTAGTCGTGTACCCAGATTTCGGGTAATTATTGATTCTTGGAAGAGAACAAAGTGCTTCATTTTGGATAATACAACAACATTTGAAGTCAATCCAAGGTCTTAAGATACTCAATCACTCAACATAGTTTGCAGGGAATGGTCCCCGCTGCCCCCGTAATTCACCTTCCCACCAGTCGTCCGTGCTATTCGTCTTCTTCACAACGCGGATGCGGTCGCCTTCCCGGAAGACCAGATCACCATCCCCTTGACCGGCGAAGTCATATAAGGCTGTAACAAACACTGGACGAGAAGACGCCGGTGGCGGCGGCGGCGGTCTCTTTTTCTCCATTACAGCAGCCATGGAATTCTGAGATGCACCGCCCGCGGGCCTGACCTTGGCCTGAAAAGAGTCGATGTTAGGCCCAGCGGGAGATCTCACCACACCAGCCGGCATAGGAGTGGGCTGTGGGGTTGGCAGGAATGTCGGACGCGGAGGATCGAAGTAGTCGCCGCCGGAGGAGAGGGGCTTGGAACTTGCAGCGTTTCCAACAGGAATTGGATTGCTGTTATGGCTAATCGTTGACAGGGGTGGAGAAGGAGGGTATTCTGGTACACATGGGGTCTGGGTCGATGATGCTGGTGTTTGTGATCCCTTGCGGAATGAACTTCCCAAGGAGGTCGATGAGGCGGTGCTGTGTACGCGACTACCCATTGAGGGGCGCTTTTTGTTTTCCTGGTCAGCCGACGCTCGACGAAAGGTTTTGCCTTGGGCCAAGCAGCCGAAGTTTTCGATTTGGGCTTGAATTGGGTGGAAAGCAAAGTTCCAGTCCCGGACCACTTGTTCCATGGCTGGCGGCGGGGATTCGAATCCCTCTTCTTCGCAAAAGGTATGGAGAACTGTGTAATAAGTTGCAAGCATGCGGTTTTGGATCTCAATCTGTGCTTCAAGGAGGTATGGTGTCAAAGAGAAGATGAGAGCGACCAGTGTCGGAAGTCGCTGTCGTAGATCGTGGTCGGCAGCTTGGTATGCCTGGATTGAGATTAGATTTGGTTATCATACAAAGATATGATGTTGAGCGCAAATATATTTACCTCTTTCGTATTGGCGAGTTCTGCCTCTGCTTTTGCCAGGCTTGCATTTTCGCGATCAGTGCGCTTGGATTTTCTCATCAAGCTATCAACACGACCTTGAGAGATTTCAAAATCGCTCTAGAACCATGTTATCAATGACAGCTCCTGAGTTTTATTGTTATATATCTTTGCATACCTTCTTTTCATTGCGCTTTTTGATTGTCTTTTTCATTGGTGCCAGGGATTCTTTGGCATGCGCAGCTGGCTGGGTCATGCGAGTATCAACAGCACCGAGCTCCTCCACAATATCGGTACGGAGCTCATCATATTCTTTCCGCAATCGATTCGTTCGAGCCAATTTGCTAGGATCTGTATCCACGGCTTTATGGTTGGACGGTGTTTCGGAGGAGCCAACAATAGGGCCATAGAGGCCGTCGAACTCGTCGATAAGACGACTCTGGTGCGTCGCGATAGAGATCCAAGCATCGCGCCAGGCTTGAGTAGATTCCACGATCTGATAAAATTATGTGTATTAGCAAATGCGACCACACGCGCATATTTAGGGGACTAGTGCCCACCTTGCCCAGAAGCATGTCTGCATCGTCGAAGTCCTTGAGGAGTACAGCGATTTGGCTGTCGTCTGCAGATGACTTGGTTGTCATGCGGCCAAAGCGCCTCGACATGTTCTGCATCGTGGGCGATGAGAGAGAGAGAGCTCAGAAGCTCTCGAATAACAAGAGGCGGGGGAGAAGGGTTGTAGAAGAGTCGCACACGGGGAACAATGCAAAAGCGATTCAATCTGTCAATGAACAAGGATTGATGTTAGACTTAGGATTGAAAATGATGGAGAAACGAAGGAAGGGGCTGTTTCAATCCCTTATGACACATAGCTGTGGCCCCCAGTGTCTCGGCCTCTCATGCGGCTCTCTCACCACTGCCCCCTCTCTCCACGTCGACTTTTGGGGCAGGGGATGTGTCGATCTCCACTCTCACTGCTATTGCCCTGAAAGCTTCTCCACACTCCGAAGTCAGCAAATGCTATCGATTGAGTGCTTACTGCGGAGCGATCCTTAAACCGTTGGAGAAGGACCTTTGGAGAGTGAACAAAGAACATTTACTCGGTATATCGTACAGAGGATCACTTGGACTACATGCTAACCTCATTAGGGTTGTTAACTCGTATCGGTCTCCAGGCAGACAGATTTCATGAAGCCCTCGGGGACCGATGTACTCCGTAGGTATCAGCAGGATTATTCCAAGGTTGCTATTGTGATAGCCTTCAAGGTTAGTATATATCTTTTTCTTTTTCTTTTTGTTTTTTTTTCCTCTATCGTTTGACCTTTAAATTTAAAGTTAACCTCCGATGATGCTTATAGCCCTGTCAAGTGCATTGGGAATTGGAACACCAGGTTGATAGATGTTGTATGCTATATCTGATGTTTGAAAAAAGCTGCACTGTCGATGCATGGATTCTGGGGTAAAGCGATGAATTACTTAGTCTGCTGTCTTGCCTATCACGATGTTCGATGGCGCAATAGTATGTTGAAAAGCTCATTAGAAGTATCACGCAATTCCTCTGGGGCCAACTACGCAGGGGTACGATAAGAGCAAATTGCACGATCGCAAGTTTTGAGAGAACCCATCATGAGTTGAAGCCGATAGATCTGTGCGAACGAATGTCACAAAACCTCCCTTGTCATGGCACCAGGAAGCATGATATAGCCAAGGGATGATGCCCAGTTGGAGGCTGGACCTTGGGAGCCCACCTGGGCAGCCCTGGTGCGTGAATGTTAGTCATCACAAATGACCTCATTTTCGCAAAGCGGGGCCAGGAGATTATTCATTTCAAAGACTCCAAACTCCCAGTAGACTCTTTCTCCCTTTCGCAAATCATAATACCCCCTCCAATCTCTTCAAAATGTCGGCCTCCTTCAAGATTACTGATTCTCTCCCCCTCCCGAACTCGAACGTTCGCATTCCGCGCCTCGGCTTCGGTGTCTACCGCTCCCCAACAGACCAGTGCGTGAAGTCTTGCCTGAAGGCATTGGACGCGGGCTACCGACACATCGACACAGCGCAGTTCTACGGCAATGAGGAAGAAGTTGGAGAAGCTCTGCGCACTTCTGGAGTGCCAAGGGAGCAGGTTTTTGCGACAACCAAGATCCTCAGCCCCGCCGCCTCGCTCGAGGCTACCTACGATAAACTGCTAGCTTCCGTGCACAAGATCGGTGGCGCGGACGGATATGTTGATTTGTTCTTAATTCACTCCTCCAGCTCAGGCTCTGCTGGGCGCAAGCTTTTGTGGCAGGCGCTTGAGAAGCTATACGCGGAGGGCAAGGCGAAGAGCATCGGTGTTAGCAACTGGGGTGTGGGGCACATTGAGGAGATGCGCTCATATGCCCAGGTGTGGCCGCCTCATGTGAACCAGATCGAGGTTGGTGCTTTCCCTTCTATTTCTACACGTCTATGCGGTTGTTTGACTCGACCACGATCACTGACATTATAATGATTTGTAGCTCCACCCGTGGTGCCAGCAGCGCGTTATCGATCAATACTGCAAGAAGAACGGCATTATCGTCGAGGCCTATTCGCCCATCGTGCGGAACTATAAAGCCAATGACCCAACACTAGTGGAAGTGGCGAACAAGTACGGCAAGCCCACTCAACAAATCTTGATCCGCTATGCGTTGCAGAAGGGCTGGGTGCCTCTGCCTAAGTCCGATGACCCCGAACGGATCATCTCAAATGCAGACGTGTTCGGATTCGACCTCAGCGTGGAGGACATGGCTGTGTTGGATTCCCTCGACCAGGGTAGTGCTGGCGCTATTGTGGAGGCCGTGAGCAACGAATGAGCGAACCTTAGACCGTTCTTAATGAATCGGGCGGTTCCGACTCAAGCCAGGCACGATCAAGCGATGCAATTTAGTCACATTGCTCGAGGTTAATAATCCGGCGGCTGCATCAGGAAAGCATTGACAGATTGAAGCGTAGCTCGAGACGGGTTCACATCATGTTTCGACGACACGAGCCACGCTAGACGCTGTCGAATGAATTGCTTGCTGATCGCACGCTTGCTTAGCGAAGCATCGAATCTACCTGTAAAGCAAACAGTTAGTCATTTCATGTACATTCCACATAGCGTTCCAAATCCATCACCCAGACCATCCGGGAAATTCGCATGCATACCCTCGTCGTTATAGAACAGGCAAACGATCGCTAGCAGTGTTCCTGCCGAAAGATCCTTTCCACTCTCACAGGTAACCAATATCGACAGCGAGGAATCGGCCTCAAGCCGGGATCCCACAAAGTCACGCACCTTATCCAAAGATTTGCGTAGATCCCGACTCCCCAATTTCCCAGAATCGCATCCCAAATTGAGTCTCTTTGCATCGCCCTCCACCGCCGCAGCATTCCCATTGCAATCAATAACAAGATCATACCGACCTCCAGCATCAACACCAGCACCTGACAAGCCGATGTACAGATTCCGCGTGGGGGAAACGAGCGTCGCATCCGTTGCTACATCCAGCTGCTTATGCTCAGCGACAAGTCTAGCAATGAGCTCCGGTAGATCATCTTCAGGGGTGTTTTTCAAAACAGTCTGATTGGCCCAAAAGACCGGCGGCGTTAGCCCATACGCCCATCCCTCGCTGTCGTCACCCGCACCCTGGATGTATCCCCCCTCGGACATCTCGGCGCCATGCACCCGTCTCGAAGCGGAACATAGTACTAGCAGATGGTACTCATCGCCGGTGTGCAGATCTGGCGGGTGGAAATATGACCTGTTGGCCCACGCGATCTGGATGGGCTTTCCAAGTTGTTGCCGGAGGTTATCCAGGTCGAGTTTCAGGCTCTAAGTGAGGAAGAGAATTAGCTATCAGCCGCTTTTGGATATGTGTAGAGCCTGCAGTGGTTTAATTGAGAGAAAAAAGAAAAACGAAACGGTCAGGGTAACAAACATGGGATCATACCTTAAGAGAATGCACGAATCCTTCGATTCGATTCTCGATTTGTGCTTCTTCCGATGCGCCCAGGTAATCGGGTGGGAGTTGAACTGGATGGTATGCAGTGGCGGATGGGAACAGGGCTCGGTTCAACACAGCGCTCCAGATTGGGACGGTCTTTGATAATGCGTCCGGCATCACTAAGGGCTGGTTAACATGATTCCCAAGCCTTAGCCATCATTGTGATAACGTTCAGGGCGGATATTGCTCTATAGCAGGGGTCGGATATAGTGTATGCAGGTGTGTGTAGATGGTGACGGTACATACATTTGCCTCGGCGAGTCGAATCGACAATTACACAGCTACAGCATTGTCAGCTTTGCTGTTCTTATCATGGATTCCTGGAAGCATCATGTAATGCCGGAGTGACCATAGAGTCTACTCCATTGCGGCTCTCACGCTCACGACGTATGCAACAATGGTACTCCGACATCTATGGCAAATCCACAACCAGAGAGAAAAGAAAAAAACGAAACAGCCGCATAGATGTTAAACTAACCCCCCATGCTCGCTGGCTAGTGGAAGCAACTGCAAGTTCAGCCTACGGAAGCTAAAATCCCACTGGCCGGTGTGGCCATCGGTGCTTTTGAAATAAGCACTGCCGGTCTTGACTGAAGGCGGGATATACCAGCTTCCACAGCGCTCATTGGCAATCAATGGCAAGCCATAATGATCACCAACCTCTTGCACAAAGGTGGCATCTGTCTCAATAGACTGGAGTCGGTTGGAGACGGACAGCGCCGAACGACGCAGCGACGAGAGTGTCTGAGAGATAGACTGCTCTGCCGATGGGAAATGGAGAGACTCCAATGTTGGGAGAGTGTCCGAGGAACCCATTTTTAGTTCTCTCTTATTAGATCTGTTAGTGCCAAGTATATGGAATTCGCATACTCCTATCAGGTCGTACGTCGGGGTCGTACTGGGAGCGTTTCGGGTCTGCAGGCGGCTTGTACAGAATGAAGAAATTGACCTAGGATTGCCCGAGCCAAGCTGGCCAAATTCCACAGCTTGTTTCGGTGAAATGTTATGCTGCGGTGTTTTTTTTTGTCGCCGAATGTGAAGAAAGGCCGTTGTGGAATTAGCAGGGTGCGTTGGGGATTTGAGTCTGGCCAATCAAGGTGGTTGTACATGGAAGAGGTGGATCCAGGTCGGTGCAATGTATACAACGGTGGTACTACATGGTTCCTGGCTGGGTAAATTGGGTGAAAGAATGTCGTAGAATATCGGGGTGGGCCTGGTTCTGGGATCAAGTGTCTATTAACTGCTGCTGACCGGTTGTCAATCCCCCTTGGCCACAACTCTCCTCGGCGCCGAGGTGATGCTAAGACTTGACTTTCGGCCTTGCTCATAACATGAGCTTTAAGGTGACTAGACCCCTCCGGCTCATTATCCATGGATTGGCATTATCAAATATTCGGTTGTGTACAATGATGTTACGTCTTGCCTCGCCATTAGTCCGAAGCCGCCAAGCAGGATTTGAACGTCCAAGTGCATTGGGAGTACGGAGTACGTGATACTGGGATTATTTGACTGCGCTAATGATCTGAAAGACACGGGATGATGGAACAATAGGCGGAATGTCGGGCCTTTGCCGGGCGTGCTTTCAAGGTTGTATATAGTGCTCACTCATTCTGTTTCCCGGTCACCCGAAGGGTTTCTGTGCTAACTAGGACTCGGGCACCTTTCGGAGGACAATAAGTAGGCGGAGGCATGACCGTGCAGCATGTGTTTGGGCCTGGTAGGTTTATAATGACACCTGGTCCCATCCAATTAAACGGCCCATGTGCAGTCCGTGGGCTAGAATGCGGTCCACGCCAGACATCAGGCGGGGCAGGGACTAGGGCATGCATATGTAAGTCACTTGAGGAAGACTCAAGAAGACATCATCACGAGACTCGGTATATACCAAGGCATATTCAAAACATGGTGGGGGTTTCCGCAAGAAGCGCATTGAATGGAGAAAGCCGGTGAGAAAATGCGAAGTGAAACCAAACATCGTGCCTCTTCGGAGTAGAAAGTGGACGCTATCCCGTAAAGAGACTAGCTGGTCGGCGGTCTGTGCAGCGATTGGCCGGATATCTGGCCGCATCCCCAGACCGGAGGTACTGAATACCTGATTTCACGCACTGGCTTACAACCAAGTGGAAGTACTAGCTACTTACAACCCCCACCAGCCCCTCCCGCTCTGGCCCGGTTTCCCTTGATTGTGATTGCGGCGTCATGCTTTGGGGAGGTCGGCTCTTGCCTTGACTTAAATACTCCCGATCGCCTATTTCCTTCTCAATAATTCCTCTCTTCATTGTCCTCCACCTGCTGCATACATCATCTCTTCCTGAACCATACTAGATCATAGTTCGCACATTGCACTTTCTGCGCATCCACATTCCCCTGCCGATCTTCATCAACAAACCCTCGGATTTATACTCCGCACCTTCGTCATGGCTAAGGTTCGAAATTTGCGACATCCCCTATGAAAGTTCCACCGAAGCTAACTTGGAGCTCAGATTACAGAGATCTTCTTTGATTGCGACAACACTCTCGTCCTCTCAGAGGAGCTAGCCTTCGAGGCATGCGCCGATCTGGCTAATGAGATATTGGCGGAGAACAACCTCACCATCCGTTACACCGGTGACCAGCTCATTGGAGACTTCGTCGGCCAGAATTTCCGAGGCATGATGGTCTCCCTACAGGAGAAGTACAAGTTCGAGATCCCAGCAGATAAATTGGAAGGATTCGTCAAGAAGGAAGAGGACATGGTCATTGCCAAGTTGGAGGCCAAAGCCAAGCCCTGCGTCGGCGCCACCGAGGAGTTGGAGAAGCTATTCGCCTCGAAGAAGTATGGTATGGCGGTCGTTTCATCTTCCGCTTTGCGCCGAGTGGTCGCTTCCATCAAGAAGGTTGGTCAGGACAAGTACTTCGAGGAGAACATGGTCTTCAGCGCTGCTTCCTCTCTGCCCAAGCCTACTTCTAAGCCTGATCCCGCTATCTACCTGTATGCTCTCGAGCAGGTCGGCAAGACCGCTGCCGAGACTGTTGCCATCGAAGACAGCAAATCTGGCGCTCTTTCTGCCATCCGTGCCGGCATTCCAGTCATTGCCTACGTCGGCAGCTACAATGGTGAAGAGACGCAGAAGAAGATGGCTAAGACCCTGACTGAGCTTGGTGCAAAGACCGTCATGTATAATTGGTCTGAGTTCGAGGATCGTATGAAGGATATTGAGAATGGTGTCACCGGTGATGTTCAATCGAGCCTTTGAACCAGTTTCCGTTGAGAAAATCAAAAATTGATACGCCCACGATGTTATGATAGCGAGCGGGTGGTCGTTACGGGGCTTTTTATTTCTTTTTAGCAATACTCTATGTGTCATGGATTGTTTCAAATCTCTTGGTGCATTCTCTCATCGAATATCCCATCGAACTTTGTCTGACAAGCGCATGGCCAGTTGATTCGCAACTGGACTGTGTCCAGTCGTTTCTACTTTCTAGCTTGCCTAGTGCATCATTACTCAGTGGCCACCTCTGCGTAGACAGATTTCCATGAAAAGTGATATGCCAAACATGATACCTCGACTGATTCCTCCGTCCTATTAGTCCCGTTCGTAGATAATCTCATTGTCGTCATACCAGAGTTGACCTGGTTACATACCTTAAGTATAGGTTCGTGACTATATGTCTACGGAAAGCACCCTGGGTCTGTGTAGGGGATGCCAGGGTTTGACACAGAAGCAAAATGATAATCTTACTTTTCGTTACATTCTCAAGAAGCATATGTGAAAGCATCGGGGACACCACCTGCATACATTCAGAAGGCCAACAGATCAGACCGATAAGATAAGGGTTGACCCCGCCATCACTTCCGAGGTGCTCTCCGCCTTGGCGCTCTTTGTCGAGTCCAGCAACATTAGCTCAATTGGATGAATGAACAGACTTGGAGACATAAATAGTCACTTCTCTCCCCTCTTTCTATCTGAGCTCAGTATTTGAAGTGATTGCGTGACAATGTCAGCTCCCATGCAGGCCAAGTCGAAACTCCTCTCGCGGGAACCATTGGTATGTTACCCCAATTCTTTGGAGGTTTCTCATTATCAAACCTGTCTCGACCATTTCATAATGGCCTCCCGATGTGGTGGGGTGTGACTAATGCAGGACTTCAAACAGGATCCTAACGAGGCCCGCTGGGCTCGAATGGTGAAAACAACATACACTGACCCTCTGGGCGTCGAGCGAACCTGGGAATCAGCTGAGCGCACGGTAAGACCTGTCCTTTTCATCTATTGCATGCCAATCCGCAGTTTGCGCGACGTTAGTTGCTATCCAGGGTGGTAAATGCGTCACACGTGCCTCAGATACACCCAAGCCTCAATGCGTAAACCCCCATGGAGAGCCTGCCACGCAAGACATCTGCATGACAAACCAAGATCCGGTATCAGATCCAGCCCCATTTCGACCATGGACTGTGGCTGTCATTGGTGGGTCCTTGCAGCCCGGTAACCATGTGTTCTGGGTGGCATAAACCCGGGTGTTGCCCAACGCCATGTCGGCCGATACCCGCAATTGGCTGCCTTGTAAACGTGCCTTTTGCACTTTTTCCAGGCCTCATGTTCCCGTATCCAAGCAATCACCGGAAGCCTCGTTCATCTATCACTTTAGCCTTGCTGATTGGGTGCTAACCACGTTTGCCTAGACTCGTCCTGCGGGTATTGAACTCGACGGCGTCGGCATAGTTGCTATGTTGAACACGGATGCTGGCGCGGAGATTCTGCTACAGAAACAGTATCGGCCCCCTATTGATGCAGTCGTCATTGAGGTTCCTGCGGGGCTCATTGATGCAGGTGAGACGCCTGAGCAGTGTGCTGTGCGAGAACTCAAGGAGGAGACTGGCTATGTTGGCGTGGCAGAGCAGACTAGTCCATTGATGTTTAACGGTACGTGGGCTATGGCTTCTGCATTCTTTGTTTTCTTCTCTCTGTCTCTGTCTTTCTGGAATGGATAGCTAACTAAAATTTGTGACTTCTCAGACCCTGGGCTCTGTAATACCAATTTGCATATGGTCCATGTCCAGGTTGATATGTCTCTTCCCGAGAACAAGAACCCGAAACCTGAACTTGAGGACAATGAGTTCATCGAGTGTTTCACTCTTCCTTTGAGCTCGTTGTTCGACGATTTGAAGAAGCTGGAAAGTGAGGGTTATGCCATTGATGCCAGAGTTGGAACACTGGCAGAGGGAATTGAACTAGCAAAGAAATGGAAGCTGTGAGTTCATTGCCGTCCATCAGTTCCCACTACATAGATTATAGCGCAAATATCTCTTGGTGTACTCCGTACGGGGTATCCAAACCTGCATTAGATGCATAAAAATCTACAAAAAGCCTCGCCGTATCTTCTTTTTGAATACTCACGGTTGCTATCGTCGCTCAAAGCAACCCTTCCTGCTTGAGTCCCTGATACAAAGCCCAAGCAGCCAAAGTCTTCCCATCTCTCAGTCCTTCCTTCCATAAATCCGCCAACGGCACAACCTTAAGCGTAATCTTCTCCCCATGCTCCCTCAATCCCGTCAACTTCCCCTGCAACTCCTCAATCTCCTTCCGCGCCATAGACTTTTGACACAAAAGCAATGGAATAAACTCATCACTCCCACCCGGAGACGGATAAACAGCACTCTGAAGCCGCTCACCGAACCCAGGCTCCTGCGCAGCCTGCAAAGCCAGCGAAGTCATATCAATCAAATCCTCTTGCGCAACCCGTAGTCCAGTTTCCTCTTCAATCTCCTTCGCTGCGCCACCAGCAAACGTCCCACTATCATCGAGCATCCCGGCCGGAATCTCTGGGAACCCCAAGGACCCAGCCGGGATGCGGGGCTGGATAGTCAGGATAGCGCGCTTGTCATTTTCAGTCGGTGTGGATATGTCATCCGGTTGGAGAATGAGCTGTGGATAAAATTAGAAACCCGAACACGCATTTTCAAGTTTTACGAGTGGGGAAGTGTAAATCTCGCCTAGATTCCCAGATCGGGACACAAAGACAAGAAGGGATAAAATATCCTCTTCCCATCGTGGCTTTCAGAAGAGATGGGTTGGCTTTGGCTTTGGGGGCGGAACTGACCAAGATTCCCACACTGCCTCCGCGTAAGAATACGCTTCCGGGCAATGTCTCGCCTTGGCTATTCGATACCTCGGCTTTGAGTTTGATGAAGCCTAGCCTTCCACCGCCGAATCGGTCGATGGCTTGGATGTCGATTTTTCGTAGTACGTATGGGTCATGGTGGAACTCGTGCGAGGGGTGTTCTTGTCGCGTGAGCGATTGCTGGAGGGTGCTTATCCACACTTTGAAGGCTGGGAATGAGAGTAACTCGTTTTGGGATAGGTCTGGGATACTATTGACGTGGAACTTTGAGTTGGGGATTGTGAATGATGACATTTTAGCTGTTGGTTTTGCGATGTTGTGGATTGCCTGGCGTGTAGGGATGGGCTGTGTTGGTTTCAAGTGTCGCGCAGTGAGGCGGAAGGATTTCATTGATCCCGAGGGTCGGTTGGTTTTACTTGACGAGGCTGATTGCTCGATCTGGGCTACGAGAATAGCTTCCAAGGTTGATTTGTCGATTTTGGATGATTGGGTCAAAGGGTTGGAAGGGTGAACTTTCGTTTTAGAGGTCGATTCATGACGTCGTTCAGATAGGGTGTCTTGCCGGCGCTCTCTTCTTTCAACGCCGTACAATATACACACCTACACTTCACCCCTGATATCAAATCATATCTAATGCTCCTAATCTCAATTTCAGCATAAGGATATTTGCAAGTAGCAAATATATCTTTGGGGAATGCAAACCAATTTTCCTAAGATAGAGCTTATTGCCAACTTGAGACGCCCTGGGCTCTTTCATTAGAAACAGCCATTGGCGCATGTTCCTTTCAAGTCTGGCTTGAGGTAATTGGAACCGAATCCACGGGTACGGAGCAAAGTCCGCCATTGCATATGTACGGAGTACATGTATGCTTCTCATCTTTGCCTCGACGCCTTAGGCTTTCGACATTGCAGGTTCGTTGCAGGCTGGAACATTTCAGCTCTATCGGATGGCGTAATTGCAAACATCAACGAAGGATTCAGATCCATGACAGATTGTAAGACTGTCGCTCCCCGTAAATAACCCGCGAGGCTTGAGAGGCATTACCAATTGTTATGATAGGTGCGTGATACCTTAGACCACAGTAGACTCTCATTTACAGCTCCGTATATATTTCAGAACATATCGACTAGGTATTTCACCTCATCGGATTCACCCACTATGTCCTCTCTCTGTCTGCTGACCGCCGTAGATATGTACGTAGCTAATCTTCCTCGGCTGCATGAGACAACACTGGCCCCGTCACATCACATCCTCGTACCTTAGTGCTGGTATGCGGGTATCCGACGCCCGTACTCCACACTACACCAGGTACGGAGTACGGAATACATACAGAATACGTGGGTAGTATATCCGAATCGAATGTCTCCATTCTGCTATTTTCCCGTATCAAATGGGTAGCCTTTATCCGTATTTGGATCACATTTCTTAAGACAGTTACATCAATCTGCTCCATACTCCGTACCTGGAAGGTCACATCGCCCATTCCCAGCGTCAGGTAGCCCCATGCTTCCAAGGCAAACAAAAGCGGGAAGGATATCGAATACCCAATAAACCCACTCAATCCTATTATCAGACGGACAGTAGACGCCTGCGCCGCCTGGGCAATCATGTTATCTTCATGCAGCCCGAGCTACGGAGGACACTCCTTGTGCATGCACGGTATGAAGTACCTACCAAGTTCCATGTAGAAAGTTGTGGAATATGTCGATAGAGGATCATAGAGTCCGACGTGCATACAGATCACTCTGCTCTATATTAATCCCACCCGGGTGCGAATCTGCAGACCTGGGTTTCCCCGCTCCGCACCACGCTAGCTTCCTCCATTCCAAGGCCATTACATGTCTCCCTGCAAGCTTAATGCATTTGAATTTACTCCGTCCGGAGTACATGGCTGCCAGGCCCGGTAGAACCCTGCAGGTGAACAGTTTATCAGGGGTTCCATTAATCCGGGGGCTAGAACAAGACTGGAAAACCCGGGTATGAGGGCGCTAGGGGCTTTGTCTATTTCTTCCTGTGTGGCTTTTGAGGTCACATCGTGACACCCTTGCTGGTCCGTTTTGAGTGATTATCGGCGAAAGGAGATGACCCAGGAGGTTAGCCGCTTTGTCTTGGTGGAGTCCGGGTTGCCTCTTTGCGACCCAGAGATTAGTGGGTAGGACATTGTCGGGCAACAGGTGGGCAACAGGTGGGATTTTGGACATTGCATGGATTATACGTAGATATCGTATTTGCTCTGGAGATATTCAATGGGACTGACACCGGTGACTTGTTCTGCAACGCGTCGTCAAACGTGGTGAGGTTTCATGATTTCCCCGAGATCCTCCAGGCGGGTGCTTACGTGGAATGCTCAGCCCTGACGCCCCGAGCGAGACGTCTTTTAAGACTCCTCTAACGTCATTACCAAGCCGCCTCTAGTGTGGATTTAGAGTGCACTGCATGGAGGTTTCGCATGACAATGTGGCTGATAGAGGAGTGGTTCGGGTGTAGCCTATATCAAGGTTGGCTTGAATCGGTGTCTAAATTAGTGTTAGGCCCACCACTATATGGTGTATGTCATACAAAATACGGAGTATGGGGGAGATTGCAACGAGTACTCCGCATACAAGGGCTAGATATGTTTCTAATTTTGACATTCGATACTTCCTGGTATGACTGTATCTTGACTAACGCATTGAGCTGATATGAAGTTGCAAGGTTTGGTAATACCTAGAGCTCAAATCCGGTCAGTCACCTTGTCATCTGTGCATTCCCAAGACTCGATAAGCCCATGTGGTTCCTCGTGGATACCCCTCTGGCAGCCTGGTGCAATCAGCCCATTTCTAAGTTGCATGATGGCGCATCATCGCCTATATCCACTGACCTCTTGATGGTCAGGATGATGATAGTGTGTCCACAATATAATCCACCCTTCTCCGAAGGCCAATTAAAAATCCCGCATTGGTCAAAGATATTCTCGTTTTGGGCCGACGCAATGACGAAAAGTCGTGTTCTCGAGTCAATCCTAAACGAGGGCCTTGGACCTTGAGGATCCCCATCATCTGGGCAGCCGGCGAGCAGAACAAAGAATCCGGGAATCCGGGCTCGCTGGCGAGAAAGCTCAATGATCCAACTAAGCCCCGGGTGCAAAATGAATAAAACGATAAATACAAACAATCGGTGTAGTTCGTTTGGCGATGGTGGCCAAAATGGCGGGCCAACTTCCAAGTAGCGGTGACGACCAGGGTCAACAATACTCTAGCGTTATGTCCAAAGCAATCACAGACACCCCTTGACCCAAAAACTTTCTTTGATGGCATTGGGTCCCGACGCATATCACAATCACCACGACGGTTGATATTGGGAGAAAAGCAGGGCTGTTGGGCAAGGATAGGGCGAGTTGGAACGTTGCAACAGTTGGATGAGGCACCTGTCAATTTATAACCAGATCGGCTGTTTAAATACCAAATACTCCTCTCTGCAGATCGACAAGAGGCTGGTATTCATGCAATAGGATTGATGGGGCGAAAAGTACTCCGTACGGAGTATAGATCTGAGGGTCCAGGGCATATTATGCCCGGCTTGATAGGCACCGTTCTGGAAATTTCGAATCAGAGGCTGAATGAAGAGCTATTGGTCCTTCAGAAAATGCAGTTGGATATTCTTTCGTAAATGACATAAATACAGGGCGGTTGAATTGGAAGGCAACCGGGGTGTAAGCCAACCGTTACAACGATTGGCCAAGCTGTTCGGTAACACCTACCCGGGTGTCCGTTCCCAGGTGAGTTTATAATAGGTGGGGTCTTCAGATAGTAAGGGCTTCTCGACATAAATAAAGCGCTGGGGCTCTTTCGTTGAACCCCAATCTCCATTAAATGGCGGATCCTGAGCCTCATCCGACCCTTAACTCCCTTTCCCACCCTTTCCAATCTTTAGTACGTTCGGCCTGATAATGCTGTCCATAAACCTCACTAATTCCGCCCAGATAATTAGTGATCGAAATGGGTGATCCGAGTCGCAAGGAGTTGAGGCCAACTCGGCATCATTTGGACAGACTGGATGCCAAGACCAGGGTCTCAAACAAAGTTATGGGCGACGTGTCCCCGAGGCGAGTTGGGATGGATGATCGGATTCCCTGTGCTCTGATTAACGATTTCCATAGGCGATCAATGAGAAAATTAATATCCAAGGATTTCATATCTGAAATGGGTACCCAAGGGTACTACTCAAGCTGCTCAGTCTCCGGTGCTCGGCCCCATTCTACGGGCGTCCTAGCAGATGATTGCCCGTTCGAAACACTCAGTAACCGAGGTGTGCGAAAGGTTAAAGGCCCTGCTCGTGCCAGTGTCGGCAAGGCCCTCCAGGGGTCCCGCAGCCACAGTTTGCGAATGTCTCGAGAAGGTCGGCGGGTTTCAGCTTCAGCCCATCAACACATAAAAGGCGGTGTCTCTGAAACCCAAAATCAAGGTACCGAGGGACCAAGTATGGATAATAGGGTTCCCAAGCAAGAAAACGAACCGCCGCTGGTTCACGACTGTTCGACACATCCAGACTCGACAAGACCATGTTCGACACCCATGACCGTGCACTATCAAATTGTTACTGAAGTGCCAACTGCTGTTTACAACAAACAGGCGCAGGAGTCATTGGAATCGAACAGGAGGAATGAGATGGCAATCAATCAGGATGTCGTGATGGAGGATGCAGAGCCCACTATTCGTGAAATGTTTAAACAACTGGAGACTCACGTTATCACTGAGGAGCAACTAATCAACGAAGTCCGCGGGATATATACTGGTTTGGTTCAGGTGGAAAAGAAATGCATCGAAGTCGATAGGCAACAGGCCGAATCCAAGACCCAACTGTCAAAAGCTCAGTGGCAGGTGCTGGTCTCAGTGCACCGAACGCTGCTCCACGAGCATCACGATTTCTTCCTGGCCTCTCAACATCCGTCAGCGAGTCGTGTTCTCAAACAGCTTGCGACGAAATACGCAATGCCGGCTCGAATGTGGCGATACGGAGTACATTCGTTTTTAGAGCTGTTGCGTCAGAATTTGTCCGATTCAATGGAGTATATGCTCGATTTTATCTACCTCTCATACTCTATGATGACGCTGCTATTAGAAAGCGTCCCAGACTTCAAAGAGACATGGATTGAGTGCCTGGGTGATCTTGCGCGTTATCGCATGGCGGTGGAGGAGTACGACAAAAAGGATCGTGAGCTCTGGGCAGGAGTCTCAAGATACTGGTATAACCAAGATGCAGGGGGAAGTACGAGCAATGGGCGGATCCAGCATCATCTGGCTGTTTTGGCGCGTCCAGATGTCCTCCAACAGTTCTTCCACTACACAAAAGCACTGGTCAGCGTATCCCCATTCCCAAATGCCTTACACGGCATGAAACAATTGGTGGCTCCGCTTTTGAGCCTGCCGACTCAGGAGGAAACTTGGGTCACGTCGTTCGTGACCACTCACAGCGCACTTTTCATGCAACCTCCAGCCTCGGCTGAGGACTTTGCCGCCCGAGCGAATGGATTCCTCGCAAAATTACGCATGGAGATCAACCGGATAGGCAGAAACAGTCAGCAAGGTGTTCAGATGACATCTTGCAATATTTGCGCGATATTCCAATATGGAAGTCAAGATGGAGTCATGGAAAAAGACTTCACATTGAAGTCGCAGAACCCCACTGTAGAAGAACGATTATTGGCAATGCAGTGGGCATCTGGTGCGAGGACACTTGATGAAAGTGCATATGCCGACATCTCATCCCAGCTTGCCTTCCGAGCGAGCTCGCTGACGTTTCACACCCTCATCATCATGCTCGGACAAGTCGGCGATCCAAATATGTACCCCAGTGTTCATATCTCAATGGCATTTATCTCGTGTCTTACGGTCAATCCGGCTGCCATACAACGATTGGAGCCGTTGATTCCGTGGTCGCTGCTCGCGGCGTATCTGAACACCTTGTTCCGTGTTGATGATGATATCTCGAAAATCGAAAACGAATCGTTCCCGCTTGGCACCAAAGACGCTGTCCAACTGCCGGAGGACTTTTTGATCAGAGGCCAAGCATGGAGTCAAGTATATTTCCCAGCGGGATTCTTTGAGGAGGCTCCCACCGAAGATGAGAGACTATCAATCGACGCAGCTTCAACAGTGTCTCCTAGAAGACATCGATGCCTTTGGCTCGGTGTTCGCATCGCAAAGGTCTGTTATCCTCTCTTTTTGTACTCGTGCATCTAAAAAAAAGGCTGACGTTCATATACTATTTAGTTCAACCGTTGGATGACATACGATCGGACACAACGTTTTACGCCTACCAAATTAGCACACGAACTTGCGCCAATAGCAGAATCCCCAGCTTATCTCTCTGGAAAGCTTGAATCACTAGGAACTGAAATATCACACTCTGATCAGGAGATGCAGGGAGTGTGAAAGGGGTTGAGGGGGGGGTCACTCCTGGCTCTGATGCGGATTCCCTTTCATGGCATCGGATGCACCTGTGGAAGGGAATCATTATCCGGGCTGGTGGAATCCTTAGAGGTTCTTTGCTGTTCTCTATTTTTCTCAGATTCGTGCTCAAGATGGATGCTTGGGCGCGAATCTTTCCCTTGGACCTTCTCCGTAAACGCTTGGAAGGGGACCCGTGTTTTTGTTATTACGTTACTGGAAATAATGAGCCGGGCCACTACACGACAGATATCAAACCACAGATCTCTCTCTGGACCAAGGATTGCCTCCACAAGGACCCTTTTTCAAGGACTTCCAAGGACTCCCGCGACTCTGGACATGGATTTCATGAGGATCCTGTACTTGACCCCCAGAATCTCTGGCGTCGGCCATTTTGTTCCACCGCGTTTTCGGAGTGTTGAATTGCCTTTCGGATGTTGCCGGGCACTGGACTGTGGGCTCCAGTTCCATCGTGGCTGACTTTGACTTGCTAGAAACCAGGACTTCTACTTCGGTCTTTTTGTGGACTCGGATGACTGCAATTCTTCGTCAGGAAAGAACTGCTCTCAGATCTTTTCAAAGTCAGACTTGACTTCTCCAAATTGTGTTGTTCTGTACTAGATTGTTGTGTGGTGGTGGTGGTGGTGGTGTGAATGAATGATTGTGTTTGAATTGTGAAAGGAAGAGGCATCTTAATACAATGTATTGGCCTTGAACTGCACATCGGGGACAAGAACGAGGATGGAGAGAGAGCCTCGAGAGAAGGGGATATTGCAGAAACCGGGGTTACCTGGTTGGCAATGGTTGTTGATTGATCACAGGAGATTGAGAACGCATGGAGCCGTGTGGTGCTCGGGTGGTGAAAGCAGGAGAAGCTTGATGATAACTGAAGGAAAGTATTTGAATTGAAAATATGGAAGTTTTATTTCAGTCCCTTCCCATTTGGGAAGTGTAGCTAAATAATCACTTCATTCTGCACCGATGCATCGCCTACTTTGCCCCCGTGGCAGAGCGCAGGAAGCAAGATCCAGATACCTGATGCTGGCAGCGCTCTCTGATGCTGTTTCAGGCAAGTTGTGCAACCCGTTCTACTAGGGATATCCCTCGAGTTTCGCCCAGTAGTGAGTTCCCCAAGGACTTGTCTACGCATCCGACGGGCCTGTCGTGTAAGAACGACTCGAACACTCGTGAATCACAGTCTTCTGCTCATGGCTGAGCCATCTTCCCTTTTAAGGTCCCCAATCCCCATCTAGTACATGACATTCTAACAGGATGGAATCTAGATGCCCGCGTGAGGCACCCTTCACTCGAAGATCTCTGAGCTACTAGGTTCAGCTAATATTTGCCTCTTAGAGCCCCTCCATTGTTTTATCACTATCGTAATCTATACAGTCGAATAGTTCCATAAGGAGACGTTCAGCCCCGATGTCCCTGTATATACCCGATATCATAGCATTATTTATGAAGATGCACTACTATTAGATCCACGCGTATGGAGTATAGAGCGCATAAACACCATGTAAATGATCTACGTCATAGTATGCAAAATGCCACCTATGTATGTAGGTAAAACAGGCCCCCAGACTTCGTAACAGAGACCTTTGAAACAATATATGACAATTTACGAACCGTGGCTCCTTTTAGTGGTGGAGCGCAGTCTATTTCGGAGCTCGCGCGTTGCCGATAAAAGGACAAGCTGGCGATTATCAACTTGCAACGTTAACATCCCCCCTCTCTTCTCCCCTCCTACCCTTCGAATGAAGCTTGGGGATTAATTTGTACTCTATGTATGAAAGCTCTCTCTCTCAGACCTAAGTGCTTGCCATCTCCCTTCGGGCATCACTCGCGTCTCCCAATTCCTCATTTCTCCTCCGCGTCTGCCGTGTAGCTCGTCGCTCTCTCTCTCCACAATGGCGGCAGCTTTGGGGGAGGTCTGTCGCCAATGCGTCCAAACCGTGACTGAAATCCCAGTCCAGATCTTACTCGTTGCCGCCCTATCCACATTGTTGGGACTATTCGTCCTAGTAAGTCCAAGTTCGCTCGGCTGCACTTGTACCTGAACGCGCGGATGACACTCCGCACACCCGCCGACGCCGACCCCAAATTACTAACGTGTTCAATTGCTTGTGTTTTTAGTTCTTTCTGTTTATATTCTTCGTCGCACCAGTCCCGCGCGCACCCCGATCAGAAGAAAAGAAGTATAGAACTCTCGCCAAAGATGGAGCCGTTACGGACCCCGAACCCCTACCCTGCTGGCTCGACAGCCTCAACTCCAAAAACACCGATCGCAAAACACCCATAATTCACACAATCGAACCAGCCGAGCTATTCATGTCCGTGGTGGTACCGGCCTTTAACGAGGAGGACCGATTAACTGGCATGCTGGAGGAAGCCGTCAACTACCTAGAGCGCATGTACGGGACAACAGCTTCCACCGCGGAGACGATTGAGACCAGCTCAATGCGTAACCGTAAACTGAACGGGGATGCGACACCCAATACCGCCTCAGACCGCGGCTGGGAAATTATCCTTGTCTCGGACGGCTCGACGGATCGCACGGAGGAAGTCGCGTTCCGCTTTGCGCGCGATCACCAGCTGTCTCTGCACCCCAAGGGACACGCGGGTCCCTGGACGCCGCAGGCTGCGGAAGGAGTGCATATTCCGCCCGGCACGATCCGCGTCGTCAGTTTGACTCACAACCGTGGTAAGGGCGGTGCAGTCACGCATGGGATGCGCCATGTTCGTGGCCAGTATGTTGTTTTCGCAGACGCGGATGGGGCCAGCAAGTTCGATGATTTGGGCAAGCTTGTCGGGTCTTGTCGCGATGTAGAGGATGCGAGGGGGCGTGGTGTTGCTGTGGGATCGCGGGCGCATATGGTTGGCAGTGAGGCTGTGGTAAAGGTATGCTTGATATGAGCTGGGAGATGTGGGAAACTTGTGTGATTTGATACTAACACACCTTTAGCGATCCAAGCTTCGCAACTTCTTGATGCACTCGTTCCATTTGATCCTGTGGCTCATGACGCCTCCGAAGACGGCGACTGTGAAGGATACGCAGTGCGGGTTCAAGCTGTTCTCGCGCAATGCGCTACCTTACATCGTGCCTTACATGCATTCTGAGGGTTGGATTTTCGATGTTGAAATGCTCATGTTGGCCGAGTTTGCCCGGATTCCCGTGGCCGAAGTGCCTGTGGGATGGAGGGAGGTCAAGGGCAGTAAATTGAATGTCTTGCGAGATAGCATCGGCATGGCCTGGGGTCTGGCTGTTCTACGGGCAGCTTGGTCCTTGGGTGTATATAGACAGCGATAATCGGGATTGGTAAATATCTCATTAATTTTTGACAGTTTTGCATGGCGAATATAATTGCATCTTGAGTTTTAGAGATTCGGCTTCCCGGGCCTGGATCGTTTAATTCCGATATAGTGCCTCTCAGGATGTATATACCTAGTCTGATGGACCCCTTGGCCCCGCTGAACCTCGACACACTTGTCCCCATCGGCTCTAGTTTGCTATGCCACCGGGCATCGGGATGGACTTCGGATGTCCTGAGTGTCGGAAGTGCGGTGGGCGTCCCGTTGTCCAAGCCATGTTACCTGCTTCATTGGGTGTCGGAGTCTCCATCGACAACGCTAATGTTCCAGGGTTTCTCCATTCCACAGTGAATTCCGTGGCTGATTGGCCGATTGGCTACTGCTGCTCAAACGGTGTATCTATACTTTACTACCCTGCACGGCTCTTTTGCTACATGCGCAAAAGCACGAGCGATCAGTAGCCATATCGTACGGAGGCCAGATAGACAAATCAGTGACTGCACATGCGAACTTCGGAGCTGCTAGACCATACCATGAATCACTTGGCATTGCGCGTACTGATCTCCTTACTTCATGTCCAATATAGGGTCCATTCGTGGCTTTTTTTTTCTCTCCGAGTAACAGGTCTAGAGCAAAAGAGAGATTTCCAAAGTAACCGACTTTTTCCATAGAAGGCCTTTTCCGGTCCACACGTGGGTCTCCAATGGGTCTCCATATGTAACGACAGACCACGGTTCAGACAGGAAAACTTGCAATCGCTTTGAGGATCCACGGAAGAGTTCAGGAACCGGCTAATTGGACGGAACTATGCAGAAAGGACAACCGCCGATGGATTGGTGCCGATTTCACTAGACCCTGTATTCGCCGAAAAGCGCTACATTGGTATCGTGGATGTCGAAAAATCGGCGGTCTACGTGGAATGTCGATCAGATGCTATGTCGTTTTTATCTATGGCACGGAGTCAACATCGCCTGATTCTCGCATTGGCATACGTGAAGCAAGGTCATCTGAGATCCCGGTCTATTTTTACTCAGGTTTCCTTGACCCTTTCAGGCGTTTCCAAGAGAAGGGTCTGCGCTGTCCAAATTTGTGCGGTGGCAAACACATCTATATAACGCATCCGAGTGTGACCATTGCCTATTAAACGGAATTAGCAGCCGCCTTTCCAGAAAATTTGAACAATTTCATCATCCCTTTTGCAAGGTAGACATGGCGTCAACATTCAACAATACGATATCAACCTCACGCCTCCTCCAACTCCCAGCCGAACTCCGTCTCAAGATCTACGCATATGCCCTGTCCGTACCAAATGAGTACCTCGTCAGCAAACCCATGATCGTCCTGGGCGATCGTGGCAAGACCTTCACAGCCCGCGGTCAATACCGAGCCTTATCAATGAGTCCTCACTGGATTGGCGACGACGGCACAGCACGCCAGTTACTCCGTGTAAACCGCCAACTCCACGACGAAGCAGAAGACTACCTCTACTCCTCCCACACGCTCTTCCTGCGCAACTCCTTCAACCTCGACCGCCTGGGCCAGTTCCTCGACACGCTCAGTGCCACAGCCCGCGCACGCATCCGCAGCGTCGGCTTCGAGATCTTCTTCTTCGTGCACACGCAAACGGGCGTGCCCAAGCGCACTCTCAAACAATACGAGTGTGCAGCGCGGCTCTTGTCGGAGAAATTGCCGCTGTGGAATAGCGTTCTCCTTTATGTCGACCCACGCTTTTACTATCCCTCTGCCAATGTCGGGGGTCGGGATCTCACGGCCCGAGGAGTGTTCGATCTCGCCACGCGGTTCGGTGCCTTGTGCAAGGATGTGAGCTTCTATCCGTTGCCTAATGGCGATCAGCATCTGCTGGAAGAGGCTCAGCAGTTTGTTTGGCGAAGTCGTTCACCGCGTCGGCTTTCCGATGCTCGGTCGATCAAGGGATGTTCGGCTTGGTCGTTGGATTGCGACTTCAAAAAGAAAATGGCGCCAAGCCGGCATCGGCCCACTCCTTCTGTTTGCTGACCTGCTCCTTTGGGTTGCCTTTTTTGGTTCTCCGGTGGTTCTACTTTTTTTTTGGCTCCTGTTTAATGGGGGACTCTTCTTTCTGCTTTTCTGTTTGCTTTTATCTTGCATCTTTAGCCTTGCGGATCAAGGCATATCTGGTCATCTTCTCAGTTTGTTTTAAAAGCATCGTTTTGCGAGTTTTGTTAGCCCTGCGCCGTGACGTCTGAACCCCGATCATACGAAGATATCCTGGTCGTATGTCATGGAAAGTTCAGTGGGATCCTTTGGCGCAAATGGCGGGATTGGGGCGTTTAGGTTGCTTTTTGGTTCTCCCCATTCTTGTTCTATCGGTGATTACACAGTTAGAGAGTAATAGTCGTTATAATATACCCCAAGTCACTTTACCAGGTCATCCCGTTTCTTCTGTCGTTACAATACACACATTTTCTATGACGCTGACGCTGAAACCATCTTATTAATGATATTGCCCTTGACGGAGCCCTCTTTGACGTCATAAGCTCAGCTCTGATTTTGGTTTGGACTTGATCTTCCCCCCTGACACCTTCTCCAACTCCATCTGGTAACCGAAGATGTGGGGAGATTCATGATTCAAGGAAATTAAACTACAACTCCACTCTCCCATCTCCGAGCTTCCTACCTGAAGGCTACCCAAACCAAACCCCGCCCAACCTGCCCAACATCCATTCGCCGAACGCGTTCTCCTGACATGCACCGTATCGAGAAGCTCGCATGAAATCTAGTCCGCATTCAATGCCGTTAGACCGAGGCAGTGTCTCGTGATTGACCGCTTCTACTCCAGTCTGGACTCGCAGAAAGCCAACGAAGCTCTGCAGGTTGGGCACTATCGTGTATCTAATATATCAACACTCTTATATGTCGTGAGCTCATTATCGTGAAAAATTCGAAAAGAATCGAAACAATCTCAACACCATGAAGCACACCAAATTACCAGACGGCCACGGAAGTCTCTACAAAGAAGTGCGCTTCTCTCCGACCGAAATACCCGTTCGTCGCACAAAATCCGTTTCGGCCACTTTTCCTCCTGTCATTTCAGGCTACGGCCGAACCACGTTTCACGAGTCGGCATTGGTAGATTCGTTCGCCATGGATACTTCTTACATCGACCAGTCTCGAGCGCTACTCCAGAGTCAACGGGTGAATTTCGAAACGGAGAGGGCATTGTTTGCGCAGGAGCGACGACTGTGGGAAAAGGAGCGGGCGCTATTGCGATCGAAAATTATCGAGCTGGAGGAGACGGTCAGAAACCAAGGGAACAGAACAAATCAATTGGGGCCGGAATCCGCCAAATTCGTGCTTCAATCATCGCTGTATAACTCAAATGGCTTAAGAGCTCAGGTGTGGGAGGGGACGAGTCCAGGAAGTCAGCCAACAAGGGTGTTCGCGGCGCCCGATTCCCCAGACCAGAGCTATCTGCCGTCGATCTCCGAAAGCGGGCGTAATCCACCGTCCCTTGATCGGGCCCTTTCTCCTCAGGCGCAACTAGTAGACCCTTCTAGAGCGCCTGTGAGTTTGCCAGTGCCGATCGAAAAGCTTGACAGCACCCTAGATGGTATCACGCTCAAGTCCACGGCTTTGCCACCTGGCGTGGTAGCTCGAGTGATGACTCCGCCCTCCCCGTCGCCCCTGGTAACATCCCCTGGAAACGCCCCTACAGTCACTGCAAGGCCCAGTATGGAACATCGAAACAGTCTCAAACTGAAGCTGTCCGAGCTCGGCCCGCCCAATGAGAATTTGCTCCGCCATGCAGGTCATACCCCAATGGCGATCATCGACGGATTGGATGATAGTCGCAAGACCACCAACGAGTGCTCTCCCCTCGAGGTTCCTTCCCAGGCGGAAGAAGAACCTCTTGCGCCCGTGGCAACGCACGTCCAACAACCTTCTGAGAATAAGATCTCCTACTTTCCGGACGTGCCAGATGACCCCGCTCTCAAGGGGCCGCTTGGTCTCATTAATGATGAGGAGCACGATACTAATTTTCTGAATGAACTTGACCAAAAGCTCCTTAGTCAGGCGAAGAACATACTGGGTGGCTCGGTTGAATCCGTTGACCCGAATGAGACAGACCCGGAGTCTGAGTTCGCCAACCAGGACGACAGGGAGCCTGAGTTCAAGTTTAGGAAATCGAGCAATTTTGGTTCTGCATTTGGAATATCGAATTTGGGTCAAATCTAAGGATATATTCTCCGCCATCTACACTTGGTTCTTTGTGATATGTGATCTTGCTCATCATGTAGTGTGGATTTCTTCGATTCTTCTTCTCTTATTTCCCCCTTCTTTCTAACATACGACGTGCATATCTTTCTGATACGCCCGTCTTTTTCTTTGATTTTCCTTTTTGGCGAGATACCTCACGAGATTATGATATATCCCGATATGTGCAATACTATTCCACTTGTTTCAGTAGTCTTCCTGGTCTATCCTCGTTTCAGGGGTTACCTGGTCGACTTGACAGGCAGCCTTGGCCCTAGCAAGTTCCATCAAAATTTTCTTTGGTTGCTATTGGGGTTCCTTGCGTTTGACATAGGAACAATTGATCTAAATCTAATGTCTTGATTAGCTCTTTCATCGGTTCTCCTGTGGAGGGGCCACTTGGTTGTCTCTTTGCCTTCTTGTTGACTCTCCCTTGCATCGAAGTAGCCTCTCTTCTCCATCCAGCCCCACGTGTTGTCTTGTTCTTCACGGTGAGCAGCCCATCTGTCGCTCATACGACAGCGAGAATCCTGTGAGTATTCTCCTGGCTGAGTTACACTCGGAGTCGGAGTCGGAGTGGTCATGCATAAGCTTTACACTGATTCGTTTAGGGCACACCTGGACTCTGGACAAGACCTGCACCTTCTATCTAGCGAACCATGTTGCCCACCTAGGCCCATCTATCTAATTTCCACCACTTTCCTGGTTCCAGACTTCCAGGCCTCAATGTCTCTCATGATTTCTGCTCTCGGCAGCTGCCGTGACCTTGGGCCTTGCAGATCACTACCCTTATGGCTTTTCTCGAACTGCCATCAAGGACCGAGGTAGTCTGTGCCTTGCAGGAAGCTCCCTATCTGGTCTTATCTGGTCCTGGGCAAAGCCCTTGGCTCCACGATACAACTCAGGCGTATACTTTGCATGGATGTCGAAAACTACATAAGGGCCATGCTTCACGCCTCACCTGTTGTTTCTCATCACACAACAGTCTCTTGACAGTCATTCGCTCTTCTCTCTCGTTTCAAGCTCTCTTTCAATCCACCTCTCCACGATTCGCTCAGTCAGCGCTTCGATTATACTCCATCCAGAACATTCACCGTCTTCTTTTACTGCGAACCACCTACTACCATCACATCCGCAACCATGGTCTCCTCTACTATGAACGTCCCCGGCGTCATGGGCCTCTTCCTCGCCCTAGGCCCTGCCACCGTCCTCTCTGCTCCCCAGATGCCTTCTTTCCCAGTCCCTAACATGATGAACTACGGCTCCAGCAATAGCGAGACCTCCGCTGGCAGCGGCGTCCAGGTCGGAATCCCTGATGGTCCCTACGTGAATGTCGGCGCCGGCTACCATGACAGCCACCACGGCCCCTGTGGCCCCGGCTCTGGCGATTATCACCACTCAGGCGCCGGTGTTGATGTCGGCATTCCCGGCGGCCCTTATGTCAACGTCGGCGCTGGCGAGGACCAGTATAACGATGACTACCCTTGCCCTGAGCCTCCCGTTGTGCTTGTTCCCACTACCACCGCCCCTCCGGCAGAGGTTATTGTCCCTCCCACTGAAACTGCTGCCCCTCCTCCCGCCGAGGTTATCGTCCCTCCCACTGAGACGGCCGCCCCTCCCGCCGAGGTCATCACTCCTCCCGTTGAGACTGCTGCCCCTCCTCCCGCCGAGGTCATCACTCCTCCCGTTGAGACTGCTGCCCCTCCTCCCGCAGAGGTCATCACTCCTCCCGTCGAGACTGCCGCCCCTCCCGCAGAGGCCATCGTCCCTCCCACTGAGACGGCTGCCCCTCCCGCCGAGGTCATCACTCCTCCCGTTGAGACTGCCGCCCCTCCCGCCGAGGTTGCCGTTCCTCCCACTGAGACTGCCGCCCCTCCCGCCGAGGTCATCACTCCTCCCACTGAGACCATCGCCGCGCCCCCCGTTGCCACTGCCAACCCTCCCATCCTCCCACCCACCTTCACAACCCCCATGGACGTCCCCACCACCGCTCCCGCCGTCTGGGCCTCCTCCGCTCCCGCCGTGACCACCTCCATCCCCCTGATCCACCACGCCGCACCCACCGCCTCCTCTTCCCCCTCCTCCGCCCCCGTGATGCCAGTCTTCAACGCCGGCTCCTCTCTCGCCCCCGGCTCCGTCCTCGCAGTAGCCCTCCCCATCATCCTGGCCTTGTTCCACTAAACCCTCATCTCGCCATATTTCCGCCCCGGGCCCAGCAGCCATGCCAGCGACATGGCTCTCCTCTTACGCTTCATGATCGTCCTGATTGATCAGACATGTGTAATTTCTTGTCTTGATTGTGCACACCTTCTTACATTCTTCCTTGTCTACTTTTTTTTTCCTTTATAATATCTGCCCTCTGGTGTCCTCACTCCCCCAGATACGTGTATTTTCTGTGCTTATCCGTGAGGCCTGGTTTTTATTTCTTTGTTGGGTTAGCTATACTTTTTATTGGTGTGATGGTGCATTTCTATTCTGGGCGTCTGCGAGTGCGTAGCGCTATTTAGTGTTCTTTTGTGGTTATTGTTTGTTTGGTATCATATCTCATAGGAATATACCTATCTCTCTCTCATACCTTCTTCATTTATTAGTAGATCTGATATTCGCTATCTAAAACTTTGATACAGAAATGGATCAATGCTCGCGAAATCTTCTAGTGTTTGAATGATTTCTTCTATCTCTGGGGGGAGCTTTTCTATAATCGTACGCTTGAAAGAAAGCTAATGTGGATTGGTTTGGGACAATGCACGCCTAGTCCTAGATAGGCTTTATAGCTTCATATTCTAAGGCGATTCTTAATACACTTCAAGTCTTCATACTAGATTGTATACCTCCAAGGCTACAGCATGGATAGGTGATTGACTGCGCGGGTATAGGTATATATTTTGCATCTATTCCGAGTAGTAGAGTGTCAATCTCCCCCACCTGAGGGATATATATAGACAACTCGAAGATATACTGGTTGCAGCCTAATGGGCATCGACTACGTGTGGTAATCCTCCATTTTAGAGTACAGTACAACACATCATGGCTTCTGCGTTTTCATCAACCAATCATACACCAACCTTATGTATAGATCTATAGGGACTAGTGGGCCTGAGACCTGGGAAATGCTAATTTGGTCGAAGTCTAAGAGTTACGCATTTTCGCTTCCGGCGCGGAGTGATCGTGACGACTAGTCCTTATGAAGGGATTGAACCGTTTGTTCGAGGAAAATGGATAGATTCAATTAAAACTGTATTCCCATATAATCTTCTCAGGTCAACAAGATAGTGGCTGGGATCCATGTAGCCTTGTGCCCCGGCGCATGGACTTGCTCATCCCTTCCGAGTTAAATCGAGCGGACAAGGTTGTCTTCTCACCAAAGTCTGGTTTGGATGGCGCTAGGGGCTATGATATATGCGATCTCGCGATTCAATTTGTCTACCTTGGATATAAGCCCGAAGATTGCAGGAAATTCGCCATAGGGGATTTCCCAAAGCTGATAAGCACTCAGAGCAAAAGCAAACCCAGCAAAGGGGGGAGAAAGGAGGTAAAGATGATATCCATTCCCAAGGAAGTTCAACGCCAAACTCATGTCATGTCATGCATATCCCGAGGTCACGTTTAGAAAAATCGGGAAAAGGAAGCAAGTCATCAAATCCAGGCCACAGTCCAGTCTGAATCGGCTGAAGTATATAGCTCTGTAGGAAGCAAGGACTGGATAGGATTGGCCTAGACCTAAAAAGATCATACTCCCATCGTGAAGTCATGCTCAATGCCCGGTGTCACACTGGCAATGAACTTGAGGAATACAACGAGGTATTGATCCACTCGGATGGCAACCTGTTCTTCCTCGTCGTGCTGAAGCATCTCCCACTCATCACCGCTAGGTTGGGCTTGCTGCTGATCCCCAAGTGACATACGTTGGGTCTCATCCACCAAGCCCTCTAGTCCCCCGCCTGCGCGGAGAACACGGTTGGCTTCCTCGCGTGACTGTGTCTGCCGGAGCTTCTCGCGGCGGAGTTTGAGAGCAGCATCCGCACGATCCAAAAGTGTTTTCATTACAGATGCATGGCGGCATGGGTGCACACTGGCCATTTTAACGCTGTTATCGAACCAAGGGAAGTCCTCCAGCGTCACAGTCTTGTCCTTGTAGTCACCGACGATATCCTCCATCATCAGGTGTGGCTTGAGTGGTTCGGATGGTGACTCATATCCGGAAAGATAGAGTCGGGGGGTGCGGTAAAAGTTCGAGTAGGTGATGTAGAGGGTATAAGTGCGGAGAGATCTATAGAGATGATCAGTTACCGGCCAAACAGAGAACAGGCGTTTTACAAAGAACAATAAACGGAAATGCAGTAAAATTCACTTACTCTTTAGTTCCTCGAATGATGGCTTCGTCGTCATCATCTTCATCTTCCATATCTGGGATTTCATCGTCATCTTCTTGCTCGCCCAGGTTTCCTGATTCATCGACTGTTCGCACGTCACGAAGCCGAGCTTCTTGTTTATCACGGTCCGCTTCGGCATCGCGCCCACCACCAGTCCGCAACCACCCATCCTCTCCATCTCCAGATGTTGTGCCTTCGCCGCCATCACCGCCGGAGAGGAAATCCCTCACAATCTCGTCCTCGAGCCCAGCATCTCCGGCAAAGTTATCGTTAAGTCTCCGATGACACGGCACACCACGGGTTACCAAGAACTGCTTGTTATCCGGAAGATAGGACACTCGTTTCGCAGGACTTGATGCATCGGCCCATGCCCATGTGGGGAATTTGTAAACTAGATAATCTCCGGCGAGAACAAACTCCTCCGGAGTGATTTGGCCGGTGTTGCGGAAGGTGGAAGTACGCGAGACTGGAGCGAGGCGGTCCCGCCAGGTCGATAGTGTAGAATGTAGGATATTCATCGTCGTAGGTATGAGTGAAGAAAGCGAAAGCAATACAAGCGGGGGAGGTAAATGATAAGCGGTGGAGCACATGATCCGCCCCGCGTGAGCTTCGTCATTCTGAAAGCTGGCACGTGATGGCAGTAAAAACCCCTTTTACTTCTCCGATCAATAAACGTGCTCGGATTAGGGGTTAGAAAGAATTGAGATTTAACCTAGAAATATCTGAATGGGAGTGGAGAGTAGAGAGAAGCGTAGCTATGGCGGAAATATACCAATGCAATGGTCTTTTCGGGGCTATTGTGACAATGAGATAATCTTGCCTATAACATAGTCAACGTTTGTTCAGGAAAAAAGGGCAGATTACGACATGCAGTATGGCCGATTAATATATGTATATTAATACCTTCCTTACTATCTATATCAAAGGGAATTTGGCGACGAATGGTCACTCATTGCCGTATCCAATATCACCCTAAAGGATCTACTTAAGACTGTAAATTTGTTATGGCCCTAGAGTAGTTATAATAGTCCACCTATATAGTAGGCATTTGTACTGGCCTTTTTATACTTTGATAGGCCTAAATCTACGATACAGATGAAAATCCTTGAAGTCGACTATGGAAAAGCGGGTGGGTTGCGAGCTTCCATCACGGCCAGACCTGTATAGATCGGACTTTGCCACGGTGGAGCGTCTCTGTTAACAGAGTTGACATCTCCACCGAAGATATCTCTATATATACCCGATACGCACATGACGAGTAAATAGACCAGCGTCGTCGACTTTGATATCTGGGTTGTTCAAAGAAAGCAAAAATCAAATCCGGTGGATTCCTGACAGGCAGCGAACGTGATCATCACTCATGGCACCTGTCCAGTGAATCTTGTGACAGTTTCGCAACCACATCACATGGTTGGATGAGAGACGGGCTTAGTGATAAAAACCATGGAAGAAGGTACGATACCCAAATTCATTGTGCTTGAACCGAGTTAACTTATGATGGCAAGGTGGACAATCTCCAAACTAGTCTGTCTGCGTGGTGATGACTCCAATACTATGAAACCCCATGCAGAGAGCCTTGCACGCAAAATTACGTATGGCGGATCTGTTCAGGATGAAATTCACACTCCGTTGCCCGGGGTGGATGTCTCTGGATATGACGCGGTGATTAGAGCTGAATGGACCTTTAGCTGTCCGTTAATTCCCCAAGAGCAACCATGGAATCTGATGGTGATGAATGCAATGATCGACCGCAAAAAGGGATCTATTTCTGTCGAAGATCACCACTTCGCAGGGCTATGAAACCTAATTATCCTTCTAGGGTTACCTATATCAGAAGCTCAAGATGAGGAAGGGCTTAAGCATACGGTATTACAGTACTCCAAATGGGGATCTGATGCTTGATTAAGAAGAATACAAGCCCTCTGCCTATGAATATTCTTTCTACTGTATCTAGTTACGATAGATCGATCTGCCTAAGCTCCTCCTTTACATAATAGATTCAACCAGTGGGAAGAACCTGCAGTTTTCCCCCTAAAGCAAGTCCCCAATCAACTGCAATAAGAAGTCCATCCCTCTTCCAGATTCCTATTATCAAGTCAATACAGGTGATTCGATTGATTGTTCGCAAAGGCCGCCTCTCCTGCAGCAGAATAATGACTCGTAAGACATGGTGAATCAGTCTTGGAAGTACATATGTCTGCTTTCACTGGCATATGCTGGAACTTGACACACAAATTGGTGCAATTCCCCTTGTGGCAATGTCTGTTTCAATGGGCTAGATACATAATGTACAACCCTAGCTGCACCATACAAGTATATGCTAGGTAATGTTTGCTACGCGTAGATGCCTTTGTTTGATATAGCCCTTATGGCCTATAAATTGATAGCCTGCCATTTGCTTCTCTACAAAGTCCACATTCTCCGTTTTCCATCCTTTCAATCATCTACCTACTTCACGGTCTGCGGCATTCAGCTCTTCGTCCACTACATCGGCATCAAACTTGTTATTGGATACCTCATAACGAAGCAGAGTCAGATCTTCTAGTTGGATATTCACTCAATCCCTTCATAAGCATGACAGGCCGCGGAAACCGGCGGCCCCTGGGCTTTACAATCAATCGAGGTGAATCGAATGACTTCGCAAGGCAAGACCAAACCCACAAGATTTGCATGCAATTCCAGCGTGGAAATTGTCGCTATGGCTCAACTTGCAAGTTCTCTCATGATCTGACAAGAGCTATCGGATCACAATCCGCTGCGCCCACAAACAATCCCACTGTTGATGATTCGAGTGCTCGGCAACGATATTTTGACTGGAAGAAGATCCTTAGAAATGATTTCATCACTCTCAGATATTCCCGGAGAAAGGACGAGGAGATCTTTCAACTTTGGGAAGGCGCTCTTGGTATTCTTGACAGTGAAAATACTGGAGACCATCAACTTCTTGCCCGAGACATGGTTGATGATAGACTCGGTGGGCACGCGTTTATTCTGGCAACGCTTGATACCGTCGGCCAAAATGCAAACCAAACGATTCGCCCCCATGTTGAGCCATTTCTCAAGGTCATCACTCATCCTGCTCTATTGGACTGTCTCTCTGTTGATTCATTTGTTGGCACCATGTACGCAACCTTCGGCGGCCCGAATGGCGATCGAGCAATCGGCTTTTTGGAAAGCGTTTGCCGTTGTATGATCAACAGCTGCGACCTAAACAGTAACAATCAGGCCGTTGTTACTCCAGAAATGATGAAGCTACTGCTGAAAACTCTCTACCAGCTTCTGCACAGAGTCAGAGGAGCACGGTTCCATGCTGGACTTGCTCCACTGCTTGATTCTCTACATGGATTGGCCCATAAAAGCGCGAATGCATGCTCCAAGGCCGACCTTGATGCACTTGAGAACAGAATAGAAGTCATGCGCACAGTGGTTGCAAACGCAAACCGTAGCCTTCTTCCTGCCAAGGCTCCCGAGGAGAATATCAACCGCACTGGGTTACCCCAATCGTCATTTCCAATGGATGCAGAGATCCCCGGCGGCAGACACGACAATGACCTTACGGAAATCTCCCAGATTCGAATTCTTCCAACTCACGGCGAAATCGTGAGCCAGCATTCGGAATATCTACCATCCACGAACTTCTCTCTGCCGCATTTCATCAGTGACCCCCTTCTGAGATATGTCGACTCTACATTCCGGCTGCTACGCCATGACATCTTCGGTTCCGCCAAAGATGTGCTTCGAGATCTAATTCAGCAGGACAATCAAAGTCATTACCTCTCCGGCAAAGATAGTAGGGCACATATCTATATGAAATCTCGTATCCAGTATGTGTTCATCAATGAAAGAAAAGACCTTGAAGCGATTATCTCTTTTGCTGCCCCGCTAGGACTGCACAAAAGGGCATCCGCCGAGCGATGCAAATGGTGGAAGGAATCAAACCGACTAGAAGAGGGAAGTCTGGTTTGTTTTCTGACTAACGAAGGCACCCGTAAAAGGCTCCTTTTCTTTGAGGTTACAGTTAAGAATACGTCTCAGGACAACAAGGACAAGGGAAAGAGCAATCTTGTCTCTTCTCAGCATTTGCCCAGTATTACCGTGAAGCTTGCGATATGTTCCCGGGCAGAACTGGATCTGCTTGGTGAGATTTACAGCGAAAGTATCGAGGGCATTCTGGTGGAATTCCATGGTCTTATCCCTGCAACATTTACCCCTATTCTCAGAAACCTCTAACGAGTTCAGAGTGAGGGCTATCTGCCGTTCCAGAGATGGATCTTGCCCCGCTAGGATGGGGATAAACACAGCAACAATATACCCCCGCCGGCCTATGCTCAAAAGCCAGGGTTTGTATTTCCTCTGACTCGTATTACAAAGAATCAATTTCGTGAGGTTCAACTGGACCCCAGTATTCCGGAATCTCTTGACATCAAGGAACTGGAGGGTTTGACTGGTCTCGACCGAGGCCAGTGCGTGGGACTTGTTGCCGCCCTCACTCGAGAATATGCCCTTATTCAAGGTCCACCAGGCACTGGAAAGTCGTATCTGGGTGTCAAGCTTGTTCAGGTTCTACTCGCCGTCAAAGCACAGGCGAAACTTGGTCCCATTGTTGTGATGTGAGTGTTATCCTGCAGGTCCCGAGGACCACTCGACAACCTTCTCAAAAACTACTAAATATCGACTAACCTTCTCATATAACAGATGTTACACCAATCATGCCCTAGATCAGTTTTTGAAACATCTCCTCGCTATCGGTATACTCATGATCATACGCATTGGCGGCCGCAGCCAGGCCATTGAGCTTGAGGGCAAGAACCTGCGCGTTGTTAGCAAGGAGATCGGCAAGACGAGAGTAGAGTCGCAAACTCTCGGAGAAAAATACAATGGACTCGATGAATGTATGAAAATTGCTGGATATTCTATGAAGCCTTTACATCAATCTCGAAAGGGCCCAAGCTGGAAAGGAATGCAGTATTTTCTGCGCCGCAAATTGCCCTTGATACACAGACAGTTCGACCCGATAGATGAGGGGGGATATGAAACAGTGATTGTAGATCCATTGTTACACTGGCTGGGCAAGAAATCACCGAATTTGTCAAGTTCCGAGACTGAGTATGAGGTTGGCGACGAGCGCTTGGCCGAGTTGACGCGTACAGCCGAGCAAAATATCTATCAACTCACAAAATCGGAGCGCCTTACTCTTGCAACGAGCTGGTTCAAGCAGTGGTGTGAAGACGAAAACGCCTCACTTTTCGAGGCAGTAGATCAATCTGAAGGTCTGCGTCAAGAAATCAACGATGTTCATGAAGAACTCAACCGACGAGCCCTGGTTAAAGCCGATGTGGTAGGCATCACCACAACATCCCTTGCTCGACATACCAAGACATTGCGTCGCATAGGGGCCAAGGTCATCATATGCGAAGAGGCAGCAGAGGTCATGGAGGCTCATGTCATCTCATCTCTTATACCAGGCGTTGAGCACTTCATCCAGATTGGCGATCATCGGCAGCTGCGACCACAAATTCAGAATTACTCACTTAGCCTTGAGTCATCGTCTGGAAGGGCATGGCAATTGGACCGAAGTCAGTTTGAGAGACGCGCTGTCGGCGAGCCAGGCCTCGCTCCTGCACCTGTCGCACAACTGAATGTGCAGCGAAGAATGAGACCTGAGATTTCGCAACTCATCAGAAGGGTCTACCCAAAGCTTCAAGACCACGAGAGCGTTAATGGTTTACCCAATGTCGTCGGAATGCGCGATAATCTCTTCTGGCTAGACCATCGTTATGATGAGGACTCAAGGGAAGACGACATTCGTGTGAAATCACACAGCAATCAATGGGAGGTTGACATGGCTACCGCCCTTGTGCGCCATCTTGTTCGACAAGGAGAGTACACAAGCAAGGATATTGCCCTTCTAACTCCCTACACAGGTCAATTACGGAAGCTTAGGGCGTCTTTGAGCAAGGACTTTGAGATTTGTCTCAGCGAGCGCGATCTGGAGACCTTGGCAGCCGAGGGGACGGAAAGCGAAATGGCTAATACACCCCAAGAAGAGCTACGCATACCGATCGAAAGAAGGACATTACTTCAAACTCTCCGTCTCGCTACGGTTGACAATTTCCAGGGTGAAGAGGCGAAAGTGATCGTTGTGTCGCTAGTTCGGGGCAACCCGAAACAGAAAGTTGGTTTTCTACGCACCGAAAACCGCATCAACGTGCTTCTCAGTCGAGCGCAGCATGGCATGTATTTGATTGGAAATTCCGAGACGTACCTCAATGTCCCAATGTGGGCCGATGTTCACGCTCAGCTCGCTCACAAGAAGGCTGTAGGTACGGGACTGGCTCTCTGCTGCAGCCGCCATCCAGAAACACCTATCATCTGCTCCGAGCCTCACGACTTTGAGAAGAAAAGCCCTGAAGGTGGCTGCGATCTCCCCTGCACCCGGCGACTCGAGCCATGCGGCCATCAATGTCAAGCCAAGTGTCATTCATCATTCATGCACGATGGTTTCGCATGCTGCAAGCCCTGCCCTCGTATTCGACAGACCTGCGATCATGGATGTCCCAAGCTGTGCGGTGAGAACTGTGGTCTTTGCATGGTTCAGATACCTAACGTGATACTCCCTTGTGGTCATGTTAAAAAGACGCTCAGATGCCACCAGATGGGCAACTTGGCAGCCATCGAGTGTAATTTTGAAGTTGATAAGATCGTGCCGAAGTGTGGACATACAATCCAAGTCAGCTGTTTCGTGGATGTCACGTCCGAGAAGTTCCATTGTCCTCAGCCATGTACCGAAATCCTTGGCTGCGGTCACATTTGTGGAGGGGTTTGCGGCAAATGTCTGAAGAAAGACGATGCTGGGGTAGTATCGTTCGCGCATCCGAGGTGCACAACAAAATGCGAACGTCCTCACGGTGTCTGCAATCACAGATGTCTCAAGTTATGCCATGATGGTGAAGTTTGTGGCAGTTGTGAAGCAAAATGCGAGGTAACTTCGTCCACAGTCCCCCGTCTACCACTGTTGGCCACCTGTAAATGCTAACAATAATAAGGTTCGATGCTCCCACTCATCCTGTGACTCAACATGCGGAAAGGCATGCGCACCATGTATCGAGAAATGCACCTGGTTCTGTTCTCATCAAGGCTCCTGCTCCATGCCTTGCGCAGCACCATGTGACCGACTTCCTTGCGACGAGCGTTGCGATAAGATCCTAGACTGTGGTCATCAGTGTCCAAGTCTTTGTGGGGAGAACTGCCCAAGCGAGCTATGTCAGGAATGTGGTGACAAGCCAGATGCCCGCGTCGATCTGCTCGAATGGAAACTCTACTCTGAGATTGACCTCGACGAGAGTCCCATTGTCGTGCTTGGATGTGGCCACTTCTTCACGAATGAGTCAGTTGATGGCTTAGTTGGCCTAGATGGTGTGTATACACGGGATAAATCTGGCAATTTTGACGGCCTTCGGGACATCTCTGCTTCACTTGCCAGTACCATACCTTCATGTCCGGACTGCAAGCAGCCCATTCGCCAATTTGTAACAAAGCGATACAATCGTGTCATCAATCGAGCTGTGATGGATGAAACGTGCAAGCGGTTCTTGACTAAAGGACGTGCTGACCTCGGAGACCTTGATTCTCGTTTGACTACGTTGGAAAACACACTCAAAGTCAGAAGTCCGAAGATGGTACTCAGAAATAGAACAGAGGGGCTGTTCCGAGCGAGATATGGGCCACTTACTTCCCTTTCAATGGAAGCTGCAGTCCTGAGTAAAAATATGGATGCAGAGAACCAGCCAACAAAGAGGCTCATGGATGCAATCGCTTCATGTCAGAAACCATCAGGCAATGAGGATTCTTCCATCGCCAATCGACTTGATAGACTCAGAATATCAACGCCAAAATCTGACAATCAGATAACTCTTGGGGCCCGACTGATTTCTATCAAGGCCCGAGAAATCGTTCTCAGTGACAAATTCAGAATGTTGAGTTCTTCAAGGACCAGGTCGGCAATGGATAGTACCCGGCTGCCTGGTTCTACAGTTGTGTTCCTAGAGGATTCTCAGGCCTTGATCCTTCAAGCTAGGAGTGCCAGCCTCTCCCGCATCGTCATTGCAGCAACACTCGCATTTGCGAAGGTTTCCCAGCTGGATGGATGGTATTATCGCACTTATGCAGGTCGTTCAACAGACAAGCCTGCTTCAGAAACAAAGAAAGAGATAGGGTTGGAATCACTTGCGAGTCGCAGAGACATCACCCGTGGCTACCTTGCCGATGCTGAGCATCTGTGCGACAACCTGGGCGATTGTAAGGAGCTTCGAGAGAGCCTCCAGGAGATGGTTCGTCAATTTGAGGGCCCGCGATATGAAGAGGTAACACCAGAGGAAATTGCGTCTATCAAGAGCGCCATGGTCACTGGGTATGGAGGCTTCGCGACGAATTCTGGCCACTGGTACAATTGTGTCAACGGACATCCTGTGAGTTCAATTTACTAAGTTTCACTCAAATTTCCTCTCCGCCACAGTTACAAAGCTGACATTTTGATTTTCTTTTCTTCCAGTTTGCCGTTGGCGAATGTGGTATGCCGATGGAGCTGGCGAAATGCTCTGAATGTGGAGCGGGTATTGGAGGACAAAGTCATCAGCCTGTTGCGGGTGTCTCACGAGCGACTGAGATGGAATAAAAGACCACAAATATTGTCGACTGGTTCGAGTTTGGGTAGTTGGAGCTTGAATATCAGTCAGAGATGGTCCTTTGCACATGATTCCTGTTTCTCGTTGCGTGCAGCATGTACCTGCTGTCAGTGTTCAATGTATCTATCTCTTCTGGTACCCGGGGACACGCTAACACGAGGAAGCGATCAGTTACAAATAAAGAATATATGAACAAATCAAGCCGTCTTTTCAACTTGAGTCGCATGTCATTCCCGCACCCGCCAAGGTAGGTAGCCAAAGGAGATTCAGTGATTCGGGTTGAACAATACACAGCCAGCAATGATAATGGGATATATTTCATGACAACTAAACTCAATTGGATAGTATCATAGAGGTCTCAACCTAGGGAGACAGGGCAACAAGGCAGGATACGCATTTGCCGTGTGGGTTTAACTTGTCATATGTTGTTGAGCGATGAATGGTTCGATACTGCGCAAACCGCAATCTTCTAGCCACGTTCTTGTAGAAGGGACTGCGTTGGAGGTTGAGTCTGGTCCCTGAGATCTGTTCTGGGTTCCAACTTGGATCTGGGAAGCCTCCTGGTGGGCCGTTGATTTCCCGCAGTAAGCACATCTTGCTGCCCGCTGCGGTAGATGATCTAGCAATTAGTTTGGTAGCTTAAACCAGCACACCCTCTTCGAGCCGTCCTTTCAGAGGCTGGGATTTAGGAGAAAGTCAAACCAAGCTCATTCCCCCTCCTCCATCATCCGTCTTTGCTGTATTTCGGCTTCCACCTCATCTACTACCATAGGAATGGATCTGCCTTTCCATTGACTGACCTCCGCCCGCATAAAGCCTTCGGTGCTCTTCATACCTACGACCAAAAAGCCTAGCTCTTCACGATCAACGTCAAAGACCTCCCACCATTCACTGTCCACAAGCTTAACCCCCTCCTCTCGTGCAGCAAGATAGATGGCTGCCACAGCGAGGGCATTCGGTTGGTGTGTGACATAGAGAAGTTGAGGCGAGAGCAGTGCCGCGTTTAGATGTTGAATGACACGTTGAGCAACAGCGGGCTTTGCCACGCCTAAGGTTTGGAGATATGTCAAAGCAATGGCATGGGGTAGGGCGACATGTGTATCGAAGCCGAGCGTGCGGAGGATGACGGTCTCAACGCGGAGGAGAACCAGACGCGCGGACTGATAGCCGCCCTCGGACAGAATATACGTTTCGGGTGATGGAGGGGTCTCGGGAGCCCCACCATGCTTCACAAACCACAATGGCGAGGCATCTTTTGAGAGGAGGAATGTGTAGACATTGAGGACGGAACGCGGGGAGGTTGGTTGGAAGGAAAGCTTGGCTGTCAGGTACAGGGCGGCGGCTGATACATCCTGCTCCAGTTAGTAAACCAAAATGGAAAATCGAGGATTTCAGAAGCTGCGCCTACCTTAACCGAATAGATCCGCAGGCTGCCTCCATCCCCACCGAGCCAAAACCGCGTGAAGATTACGATCGCCTGGGCAATGATGTCTTGCGACAGGTGTAGGAGGACGCCGGCGGTTTGGGTGAGCTGGGCGCCCGCACAGCGAATGGAGGTCTCGAGATCAGACGGGACACCGTCAATGGAGGATGAAGAATTTGATAATTGATCGGGCGTTGCCAGGGCATTCGACAAATGCTTTAGCCCGTTGGGGAACATGATGCCGGGATTTGCAGAGAGAACGTGCAATGACGCAGATCCTCGTGCAGCTAAAACCATGCACAGCGGGAGCGGGACTCAAAGTCGACGATGACGGTATTAAACTCGGAAGAAGCTTAGTGGGAGGCGACGATATTAATTCGCGACGTATTTCCGGAGCATCAGCTTGGAAAGGAAGATTCAGTGGATCGCGGAGGTGGAGAGAGCTCCAGGCCGTTCAGCCACCGCTATTTCATTGCCCCAGCCTCTTGCTTTCTTGCACATCTCCATTATTTTTGGACTTTTCGGTTTCAAACCCCTCCCCCAAGTTCTTAGCTCGATGCTGTGAAACGCCGAATCCTCGGTGAAACTACTTCTTGTATATTGTTCATTCGACCTTGTATATATCCCCTCAGGGGCTCGTTTCGTCCGTCGTGATCGGCCTTGTACTTCTCCCTACTGCAGAACCCCCCTCGCCAGGTTGCACACCAACGCCACATTGGGCCTGAATCGACGTGGCATTACCATCTTGTCTGCTTGCTGAGTCCACAGAGCCCTCCAGAACATGTCCTCTGACCCCTCTGAGACACCTGGTACCCTACATTCCGATGGAGCGGACCCCCACGAGACCGTTGCCTTGACGCCCCCAAGACCGTTGGTCACCCTGACCTCGCGGCCTCGCTCGCATAATCCGTCTTCACATCGTCGGGCAAACACTGAATATATTGCAAAACCACCCCTAATTGACGAGGGCATCGAAGACACCCTATCGGATCGCTCAAAGAATACCCCCTGGACAGAAACCTTCCCGAGGAAGAAGTTAGAAGCAAGGGCCAGGGTGTTATCAGACTGGTTCCAGGGGAAATCAGAACCAGTGGAGTTGGGACTGAAAATGGGCACCAACGGTGGTCCAGAGGTGACGAGGATGGATTCCCGTCCAACCCCAGCATCCATGACACACAAAAGACAACATTCAACCCCAGTGATGAATCGCTTTTCATTTTTCGGCCTGCGACGAGAACCCAGCAAACCTAATTTCCCAGAGCCCGCAGATGATGAATTCCTGAACCTAGATATCACTGCCGCCCTCTCATTACCCGCAACAGACAATACCAACGATGAGGCACTGGATGCCCTACGAGATCATGTCGACAAGGTGTTGCGACGGATGCAAGAGGCCTATAAGCAACGCACATTCGCCATGCACCAGGCCTCGGCAGATAAGAATGAGAGGCAGGAGGAGCTCGAAGAAACTCGCGCCCGAGTCGATCATCTAAAGATGCAGCTGGACGGCATGGCCGCCAAGGTGCTCGATCAAGAGAAAGCCATGCAGGCCATGGCCGAGGAGTTAGAGCAAGAAAGAGAAATGCGAAAGACAGAGGAATTCCGCAATCACAGTCGGGAAATCTGTACCGTCGATGAGGACATCCCATCCATGGTGCTCCAAACTCCTCGGCGTGGTGGCAAGCGGGCTAGCCATAGCACCTTCACCAGCGACTCAGGCTTCGAGTCCGGTGATGAGAGCGTTGTCGATAGCATATTCTCACAGCGTGAGAGTGTCGAGTCTCCCACGTCCATGTTGACAGGGCCGTCTCCTAGTATCTCGCAGGTCGCCCTGTCTGCGCCGACTGGTGCGGCACCAATGCCCACAATCCAGAAGAATCTGGTTGCAGTCACTAGTGCACCACCCCCTGCACGTTCATCAACGTACGATCGGGTGCTGAAAGGTCTTGCTTCAACGCGCTTAGGTAGCTCTTTCACTGGTGGCAACACCCCCAATTGCACCATCTGCTATGGCGTGCCGGCATCCGAAGCCTGGAGTGTGATGGGGGTCCTGCAAGAGGAGAATCGGGGGCTGAAGACGCGTTTGGGAGAACTCGAGGTGGTCATTGATGATTGCCTGGGTCTCGTGGGTCCTTGAATGGGGATTTTCTTTCGCAGCCTTACACAATGTTGACCTCATGGGGTGTCTATATAGAATGCTGGCATACATTTACAGGACCAATGGAGTTAAGATATTTATTCAGGCAGATTTGATAGCCAAAACACAAAAGACTGAGCCCGAATTCTACCCCGTAAAACTGTTATAGACCCTGGGCTGTTCTCCATATGGATCATGTATTTAGTACCGTGGCCTCTGGAGTGTGGGGATAGCTTGGAGCACCGGTGTTTTGTTGGGGGTACACGACACATCGGCTCTGGAACTCATGAGAGGGAATAAAAAGGACCAGAGAATTGAATTGCAGCTCAGATCAGTGCCATGATCATTCTAAATCCATTGTTGTCCTTTTCGTTGGTTGACTCACTGGTAAAGTGGTGTTGCGGGCGAAGACCAAGTGGCCTTAATTAGCGCGGAAGCGAAAAGTGGCCAGCGAACCTCTTCTGTCTTCTTCTTCCCTCCTCTCCCCCAATCTCCTTCAACCCCAACCCTTCTCCTTTTGTTTTATTTTTCTTAATATTTCCCTTCCATTCCTTTAGCTGGTTCTCGACTCCAGCTTTCTTTACTTCTTTAGACGGATTGGGAGGAAGATAGTCATCATGAGCGGCCGTGAGTCCCCGAACCCTCGCCTTGCACGCGATCGCGACAATCCGTCTCGAATCGATCTCAATGGATCATAAAATGCTGATGGAGGATCACAGTACGCTTCCTTGACTTGATCAAGCCCTTCACGCCCCTCCTCCCGGAGGTGGCAGCTCCAGAGACCAAGGTCCCCTTCAACCAGAAGTTGATGTGGACTGGTGTACGTCGCCCTGAATATGCGCTCTCCGCGCAACATTGGCATAGGTGCTAATGAATCTACTTTGCAGTTGACTCTGATGATCTTCCTGGTCATGAGCCAAATGCCTCTTTACGGCATCGTCTCCTCCGACACTTCGGACCCCCTGTACTGGCTCCGTATGATGTTGGCCAGTAACCGGGGTACTCTGATGGAGCTGGGTATCACCCCTATCATCTCCTCCGGCATGGTTTTCCAGGTATGCGATCGCAGAACACTCTTCAGCTGATATTCGCGAGAATCGTACTGACAGGTCTTGTTTTCTAGCTCCTTGCCGGTACCCACCTCATCGATGTCAACCTTGACCTGAAGACCGACCGCGAGCTCTACCAGACCGCCCAGAAACTCTTCGCCATCATTCTGTCTTTCGGCCAGGCCTGCGTTTACGTCCTGACTGGTCTCTACGGCCAGCCTAGCGATCTCGGTGCCGGTATCTGTGTTCTCCTGATTGTCCAGCTCGTTGTTGCCGGTCTTGTTGTTATTCTGCTTGACGAGCTCCTCCAGAAGGGCTACGGTCTGGGCAGCGGTATCTCTCTGTTCATTGCCACCAACATTTGCGAGTCCATTGTCTGGAAGGCCTTCTCCCCCACGACCATCAACACTGGCCGTGGCCCCGAGTTCGAGGGCGCCATCATTGCTCTCTTCCACCTTCTTCTGACCTGGCCCGACAAGCAGCGCGCCCTGTACGAGGCTTTCTACCGCCAGAACCTGCCCAACGTCATGAACCTCCTGGCCACTCTCCTCGTCTTCGCCGCTGTGATCTACCTCCAGGGCTTCCGTGTTGAGATCCCCGTCAAGTCTTCCCGCCAGCGTGGCATGCGCGGCTCTTACCCCGTCCGCCTCTTCTACACCTCCAACATGCCCATCATGCTCCAGTCCGCTCTCTGCTCCAACATCTTCCTTATCAGTCAGATGCTGTACTCCCGCTTCTCCGAGAACATCCTGGTACAGCTCCTCGGAGTTTGGGAGCCCCGTGAGGGATCTGCCCAGCTTTACGCCTCCTCCGGTATCGCTTACTACATGTCTCCTCCTCTTAACTTCAAGGAGGCTCTCCTCGATCCCATCCACACTGCTGTCTATATCACCTTCATGCTTGTCGCTTGTGCCCTCTTCTCCAAGACCTGGATTGAGGTTTCCGGCTCCGCTCCCCGTGACGTTGCCAAGCAGCTCAAGGACCAGGGTCTCGTCATGTCTGGTCACCGTGAGCAGAGCATGTACAAGGAGCTGAAGCGCGTTATCCCCACCGCTGCCGCCTTTGGTGGTGCCTGCATTGGTGCTCTGTCCGTCGCCTCCGATCTCCTCGGTGCCCTCGGCAGCGGTACTGGTATTCTCCTTGCCGTGACGTAAGTTCCCCTGCTGCTCTCTCAAACTCGTTCTTCTCAGCTAACAGTCTAATACAGCATCATCTATGGCTACTTCGAAATTGCCGCCCGTGAGGGTGACATTGGCGCTGGCCTTAAGGGTCTCGTCCCCGGCAGCTAAACGAGTCTGTCCGTATTTTCACGAGCAGCATGACATAGGATCATGGTCCTTTGCAACCTCTGTTTAGTTTTTCTATCTTTTCTTTTTTTCTGACCATTGTTTCTTATACTCTGGGGGTGAATGGATCGGTTTCCTCTAGAATGGTTGGATTGGAACACTGTTCGCTTGATCTTCAATCGTGTGGATTAATTCCCCGCCGATGAACTTCCCGGACTCCGGGGTCCTCTGCATGTTGACAAAATCATGTCAACATTCTATGCCGACGGGCCAAGCATATAGGTCCAATCCGACTCGATAGATGGTACCGAGTGATGAAACGTGCCCCGTTTAGGGTCTGTAACCATATCTGTCTAGAAAAACCAAAATCATATATTCAACTTCCCATGGTCCCCTATTGCTCGTCATAGAGGTACTCTTCTCCCTAGTATTATCCCGTACTACGTTATTATAGACCTGTTCGCTCTCAAGCATCTCTAAACCCGAAATAATCACTTTGATTTAACAATCCTCCGAAGTCATGCTAATATATATCTTTTAAGTACGGTAGTCACCGTTGATAGTCACATACTCGTGACTGAAATCACAGAACCAGTAAACAGCATCCTCACCACCGCATCCAGCAGCACCCTTCTCACCACCACCGAGATCAATCTCGATCACAAGATCTTCATCCTGCAGAATAGTGCTGGCCCGCTCCTCATCAACAGTCTCAGGCTCACCATTGACCAACAGCTTCAAGTCAGCACTTCCATCCACAGGACGGAAGCTAACAGAAGTGCGCTCAGGAACGACAACACCGTCGGCAACACCCTGGGTATAACCAACCGCACACAGAATACGGCCCCAGTTAGCATCCTTGCCGTAGAGAGCAGTCTTCACAAGCGGGGACCGGGCAATGGTAGAAGCAATCTGGCGCGCAGACTCATAGTCAGGCGAGTTGCGCACGCGCACAGTAACGAACTTCGTAGCGCCCTCGCCATCGCGCACAACCAGCTGCGACAGCTCCTGCGCGAAGTCAGTCACTACGCCCTGCAGCGCGGTGTAGTCGGCGCTGGGGGAGGAGCCGGGCGCGCGCACGGTCTCGCCGCCTGCGGCACCGTTCGCGAGCACGGCGATCGTGTCGTTGGTGCTGGTGTCGCCGTCGATGGAGATCGAGTTGAAGGATCGCGACACGGCGTGCTTCAGGATCGACTGGAGCGCGGCGGGCTCGACGGCGGCGTCGGTGCAGAGAACGCCCAGGAGCGTGGCCATGTTAGGGTGGATCATGCCGGCGCCTTTGGTCATGCCTGCGAGGCTGTAGGTGCGGTCGGGGGAGGAGGGCAGGGTGAAGGTGCGCGAGAGGAGCTTGGGGAATGTGTCTGTGGTGCAGATGGCGCGGGCGGTGGTGAGCCATGCGTCGTGGGAGGAGGCCAGGGTTGAGTGCGCGGTTGGGATGCGGTCGATGATCTTTGAGATCGGGAGACTGGGATTACTCGTTAGTGACGGCGCACTCGTTTTTCGTGGATTCGCTTCTAGATGGTGAATCGTGCGTAGACTTACCGCTGTCCAATGACACCGGTGCTCATCACCAGCGAGCTGTCGTTCTCGACACCATTGCACTCATCCACTTTTCGACCCATCTGCACTGCGTCCTCGAGGCCGCCCTTGCCGGTGACGGCATTGGCGCATCCGGAGTTGATCACGACTGCCCGGATGCCACTGCCTTTGCGGCTTTGCAGGGTCTTCTTGCTGACCTGCACAGGCGCAGCCTGGAACTTGTTGGTTGTGAACACCGCGGCGGCAGAGCATGGCGTCTCGGAGGCGATCAATGCGAGATCGGGGAAGCGGGTGTTGGAGGCCTTAACGCCCACGTAGGTGCCAGACACCTTGAATCCCTTGGGGTAGGTACCGGTTGTGGGGATGTAGCGCTGCTTGGAGGCCGGAATGGCCATGTCCAACGGTGCGGAGTAGCATCGCACTTGGCCCTTGAGCATGCGGGCAAGGGAGGTCGCCATGGTAGCGGATTGAGTGGTGGGAATCATGTGTGGGAGTTGTCTATGGCAATTGCCAGCTCAAAGACACAGCGGGACTTATAACAGCTATTGAGGTGCTCTTGTGAGTCACTTGGGAGTCACTTGGAAGGGAAAAAAAGTACCCGGCTTCGGAAGCTCCCCACTCGGCAACTCAGCGCGCAGGATGAGCCCACTCGGAATTGCAATTGAGCTGTTGTAATTTAGATGAGATGGCTTGTATTTACTCAAACGAAGCTTTAAGATCTAGTTCGATGGGCACTTTATATACATTCTTACATGGCTCGAGCCAATTAATGAGCCAAAAGTATTCTGGACGTAACACGCGCACGCTAGATATATTCTCATACCAATTGATGCGATCTCAGAAGATCCAAGGTGGAGAATTAGCTACTACCCAGTTACGAGTATTGAAACGGTTAAACTCAAGTGCAAAGAGTGAAGTATGTAGTCGATGCTCGTCGCTATACCTCCAGGGCTGGAACTGGCGGAGTCGGAGAAACCCATCCGCTCCAACAATTTATTCCCTTCGACGAAGACCTCAAGACCTTCGATAATTAAGCCCGGAGCATTCATTCCAGTGTCAGACCAGCACCTCCCTGCAATTCCAACGCGACCTCGAATTTATCCCCAGCAAAGCCTCCCCTTGCGTCCCGACCCTGTACACATTCTCCGAATCTGATGGTACTGTTGATTCCCTTCTCTTTCGCGTCTCCGCGACTCTATGCTGACTAGATCATCATGAAGCGTAAGCTTTCAAACGCTGGCGAGCAGCCGCAAGTCTCGACCCCAAAGAGAAAGCGATCGGCCCTAGAACAATCCGATGGCGCCGTGAACGGCCTCGCGCCTATCCCCGAGAGCCCGAACGGCGAGCTTTCCCCGTCGCAACAGGACCACTCAACACCACAAAAGACGACAGGGTTATCCGCGACGCCATTGCAGCAGTCTGGTCTCAAGACGCCTACCCATAAATCCAAGGCTCGCGGCTTGTTCGCTACGCCTACCAAACCAAAGTCCGCAATCGCGTCAACCCCATCTCGAGTGAAGAATGCAGACCGATCTGCACGGAAGAAGAGTGCGCGAGTGCTTTTCGAGCAGGACGAGGATGCTGCATGGGATGGATCGGAGCGACTAGCGGAAGAGATCCTACGTGGGGAGGAACCAGACAATGACAAAGCAGATCAGCCTCTGGCGGAGAGCATAGAGCCCGAAGGTGCGGAAGATGCCCCAGAGAAGGGGGTAAAACAACCTAAGCGCCGTGCTGGACGACCCAAAGGCGCGAGAAACAAGCGCTCCCCAACACCCGAAGGCGAGCTTCCTGCACACGAACGATACTTCTTCCAGAACCGTGCCGGTCCTGTCAAGACCTCGAATGCGAACCTCAACAAAGTAACGCTGTTAACGCATGAGGAATATTTCGAGAAACTTGGTCAATACGTGGATCCGTGCAAGGAGGAGAAGGAATACTTGCAGTCTTTGCATCACCGATCTTTCCCACAGTGGGCGTTCGAGTTCGACGAAGGCTTCAACATCTGCTTGTTTGGCTATGGCTCTAAGCGCAAGCTGACTGACGAATTCGCGGGGTGGATTTACGAACACTATCTCTCATCTACTACGACTCCCGCTATTGTTATGGTCAATGGTTACACACCAGGCATCTCTATCCGAACAATCTTTGCTACGATCGTTGCAGCCGTGATGGGTGATGATGCACCGTCAAAACTAGGCGCGCAACCAACAGAAGTTCTTGAGCTATTACAATCCGCGCTCAATTCGCGTAAGGAGCCCGTCACGGTTGTGATCAACTCGATCGACGCTCCGCCTTTGCGCCGCGCAGCGAATCAAGCGCTCCTTGCCCGTCTGGCTGCAACTCCGCTCATCCGGCTTCTCGTCACAGCCGATACTCCCAACTTCGCTGTTATGTGGGATATCAGTCTGCGTGATCAGATGAATTTTGTCTTCCACGATTGTACGACCTTCTTACCGTTCTCGGCTGAAGCCGATGTCGTCGAGGAAGTCAACGCTCTTCTTGGTCGCAAGGGCCGCCGCGTCGGTGGTAAAGATGGCGTGGGCTTCGTGCTCAAGAGTCTTCCTGAGAATGCACGCAACCTATATCGCGTGTTGCTGACAGAATTGATTACTATACTGGACGACGGTCACCAGTCGGACGACGAAGGCGCAGCAGAGGGCGGCAAGCCTGGCGATGATGGTGGTATTGAGTTCCGTCTCCTTTACCAGAAGGCAACGGAGGAATTCGTTGCTTCGTCAGAGATGATGTTCCGCACTCTTCTGAAGGAGTTCCACGACCACCAGATGATCACATCACGCATGGATGCCAGTGGAACGGAGATACTCGGTGTTCCACTCTCCCGAGATGAAATGGAGGGCGTGCTGGAAGATCTGGTACTGGGGTAGCGTAGATTCCCCCTTATATTTGGTGTGGAATAGATCAAGACTCATGATACCCCTGTACGAATGAACTTTTTACCAATTTTAATCGAGCATCCAACAACCATTTGTGTCCTTCACACATAGGAAAAACCAACATTGTAATGTTTGAGAGTATACACAGGCAGCATCGGGGTTCTATCCAACCGGATAAGATCTAAAAGTTCGCAAACGCCGCCATCGCCATCATAGTACCAAAACTCATCTTGAACGTCCGGTGCTCACTCATAGCACGACGCAGATCAACCCGCTTAACATATTTCTGAATTCGGTTGATCGGAAGAATATTGTATCCCTTGGATGCGGCGTACTACGCACAATGGAAACAAAGAGTGTTAGCGCCGCCGTAAATATAACTATGACCAATAGCGGATCCAAAATCCAATCCTGTCGCAGAAGCTTATACTAACCTCAATAAAGACCACTCCCATGCCCAAAATTACCACCAAGGCCTTGGAAAACGCCCGCAACCCAACGCCGGCGACAAGCCCCAACACACTTCCCAAACTGACCTGGCGCATTGTCTCGGCGTTTAGCATCCCAGTCCGCTTGCTCCGAACCTGCTGCTGCCCCACGGATTCGGAAGGGTGCGCAGGGTTCACAGTCCACCCCGAGTCCTTATCGAAGACGGATTTTTCATACACTGGGGGTGGCTCTGCATAGTCACATCGCATTGGAGGAGCGCGGAAGGGTGACAAAGGGTGCATGGTTGCGGCAGAGAGCCCGATGCCTACGCCTAGACCGAGGCGGAGAAGCGTTGCAGGTGTGTGTGTGAATAGTTTGAAAGACATGGTGTCTGTTTTGGCTTAGTATCTCTGCGATTGGAGTGTTGGAGGCTTGGAAATGGGAGGTGTCTGCGGTTGCGGAGGAAGCTCTCTTGGTTTTGAAGCCGATAAGATACGTGACGTCATGGATCGCCGAGGGCATCCATGGCCCTCACCTAGGCAGGGTTTGAGGCTCTTTGAGAAAACCCCGGACCTAGCGGCTAGCTTATTCTTGTTGAGACTACAATAGCATCTACGATGCGTGGTTCACTGTGAGACATGCAGGTGTATATAAGGGCATAAAGAGATCCATGTATCTTCATGTGGTTAGATTGATAAGGACATATATCAATGCACTGTGTATGGGATCCTTGCTCTTTCAAGCTGCAAAAGCAAGGAATAGACGCAGGTAAGTAGGCAAGACGTGCATAGGGCTGCTATATAGCCTGGCTGTCTTTGATCAAGCGTCTCTCCTGCCCACTTGGGATCGAGTCAGGTATCAGTTATGAGTCATATTAAGAAGATGAGGTCAATGTGGAGCCTTTCTCTGTTTTGTACACTACGCAAATACTCATTTAGCTATACGATCGGTTCGGTAGAAGGGCATCTCGCCTCCTAGATTAGGCAGTTATCTCACCCCTCCATGCCAAGGGCCAAGCATTCCAAGGTTGCCCGTATGTAACAAGGTGACCAATAATTACAACCCAAGCCCCGTCCTTCCTGAGAAAGCAGGCGGTCTGCTCTACACCGGAAATCTCCTCGGAAAACAAGACGATGCGGAACTGGCGAGGGGCACTCCGAGTGTGATTGGCCTGAGGCAAGTAACTTTGGGGGAAAGTGTATTTCTTATCCAAGACTGACTCACTTTCGGGACTTGGTCTTCGCCATTCTTCTTTTTCTTTTTTTTCTTCTACTACTTTCCAATTCACTCTCTGTTCATACTCCCTTCCCTGCTTTCTCCAGCTTTTACACAATTCACAATGGCTGCTCCTAACGGTACCACCGGCAATGACTTCACTGTCAAGGCTGGTCTCGCTCAGATGTTGAAGGGTGGCGTGATCATGGATGTGGTGAACGCTGAGCAGGTATGTTCTCTCCTAGCGAGCAATTGATGCGTTTTGAACATGAAAAGCTAACGGAGTGGTTCATCAGGCTCGCATCGCCGAAGAAGCCGGTGCCGCCGCCGTCATGGCCCTCGAGCGTGTCCCCGCCGATATCCGCGTTGAGGGTGGCGTTGCACGCATGTCCGACCCCGGCATGATCAAGGAGATTATGGAGGCCGTGACTATCCCCGTTATGGCCAAGGCTCGTATCGGACACTTCGTTGAATGCCAGGTATGTGATCATCACCTCCATGCGGGGAAGAGAGGGAGGCAAATGGATGGGCATGACCCCGGTGGCGGGAGAGGCGATAAATGTCACAAGGTCACTAACAATTCCCATATAGATCCTCGAAGCTATCGGCGTTGATTACATTGACGAGTCCGAGGTCCTCACTCCGGCCGACGATGTCTACCACGTCACCAAGCACGGTTACAAGGTCCCCTTCGTTTGCGGCTGCCGCAACCTCGGCGAGGCCCTGCGCCGCATCTCTGAGGGCGCCGCCATGATCCGCACCAAGGGTGAGGCCGGAACCGGCGATGTCGTCGAGGCCGTTAAGCACATGCGCACTGTCAATGCCCAGATCAGCCGTGCCCGCGGTATCCTCCTCGCCAGCCAGGACCCCGAGCCTGAGCTGCGCGCTTTCGCCCGTGAGATCGAGGCCCCCTACGAGCTTGTCCGCCAGGCTGCTGAGCTCGGTCGCCTGCCCGTTGTTAACTTCGCCGCTGGTGGTGTTGCAACCCCCGCCGATGCGGCACTCATGATGCAGCTGGGCTGCGACGGCGTCTTTGTTGGCTCCGGTATCTTCAAGTCTGGTGATGCTAAGAAGCGCGCCCGCGCTATCGTCCAGGCTGTCACGCACTACAAGGACCCTAAGGTCTTGGCCGAGGTCAGCCAGGGTCTTGGTGAGGCTATGGTTGGCATTAACGTCAAGCACTTGCCCGAGGCGGAGAAATTGGCCGGCCGTGGCTGGTAAATGTGCTTTCCATGCTTTCTCTTGTTTCTAGCCTTGATCATTGTGTCTAAAAATTTCTTGTACATGAGCCATGAGTAGATGTCTAAAACGACATACAATTTATACGATTTGATACATTTTGTCCTTGTTGAGCCAATCGGTGATTTCGTATTAGTATATCCCGTGGAAAGTGGTATTATTCTCCTACGCGACAAGAACCTGACCTCTACACGGCCCTGCTGCACGATCTAGTAAGCCCAGGAACTAATCAACGTTTCGATAAACTCATAGAACGTTTGACTAAAGCATCTGATAATCTGCGGAACCCCAAATAAACTAGATCCCCAATCCGCCATCTGATAGGCCACCGCCGCCGAGTCACCGAGAGTCCGGGGAAGAGTGCCAGCAAATCTTACCCTTGGGGCGTTTTTTTGGTCGGCCAACGACAACAAGCCAATCGGGGCGTCGGCTGTCATCGTCTGTCACTCCGTAGCTCCGTCTTCTCCGACGACGGCCCGTCGACGGGCAATCGCGGAAAGATGAGGTATTTTATTTGTCCTCCCATTCGCGGAAACGAACTGCAGTATGCCTTTTCTGCTATCCGATATTGATATGTTAGAGCTGCGAATTGTCGACAAGGAGTGCACCTGGGGCTGGCTTTGAGTCTTTGACTTGACCCCCACATACGGGCAAGTAAATCAACTGTCCTTTGTTCTATTACCCTGAGATATATCTAATACCTGTGATCTAGGACAGCTGCGGTGCATTACCATAATGGAACGGTTATTGAGATCGCTAAAATTCCGGCGGAGTACCGCGAACTCATGGAACGTCTGGCTACCACATATAAGCCCTTACCGAACCCAACCCTTGGTTGGATAAGTGGGTTCCATCACGCCTGGTCGATAATCTCCTGCCGGACATGTCCTCGTCGTGGAGAGACTGGTGGCGAGGACTGGACACAAAGCTCGATCGTTTAGTAAAAGCAGATGATGCCGCAATCACCAGTCAATTACTTCAACAAGTCAAAGCCTCCACCGAAGGAACAATGTCCCAGATTCTCGATAGGGTCGCGGTTACAGATCCCGGCTTCCTGTCACTTACCCCAGCGACAATTAACGCTGTACCCGAAATAGTAGATCTTCGCACATGGGTCGGTGATAGCATTTATTACTCCTGACGGCTAATAGAAGCAGATGCCGTCTATAGGGCAAATGGGTATAGGCTATACATTAATAACCTAGATAACTTCCAATGTATAGACGAGATTGCAGACGCACCAGCCCCTCCTATACTTTTCGTTTCCTTGAGCAACGATATGCTCTATACTAGCATTATACATAGTGTCCCCGGCGTTGCGGCATAGGTTGTACAGATTACGAGCTTAGGATACTTCGTCTTATCAAGCAAGACGACCTATGGGAACGCCGTCAGAACTCCGCAACCTCCGTCGGGAATACGAACATCCTATTACGCATATCCTTTTAGCCGGTGAGAGCATAACATACTATGAGTTCTTTACTATCTTAAGGGAATCTATATCAGTTCTCCCGCTTCGTCGTATCAATATCCAAAATACAATAGATCCGAGGCACGCAGCGGCTGTTAGTGCAGCACTCTTCGCCCGAATACGCCAGGAAGTGCAGAGTGACTATATAAAAGAGGGCCGATACGAAGAGGAAAGGATAGGCGAGAGATTATACACTTCCACACAAGAGGAGCTACGCTAAAAGGATGAAATCAATACTATACTACTACTCGCAAAGATCTACAATACCTCTAGAATTCATAAAGTGATAAATGTATAAATCATTGCTTCTCCTCGTGTCTTTCATAGATTAGTTATGTTAGCTATGAAAGCCCTGATCATCATAAGGCTCAACGAAATAGCCTCATGAACCTACCCCGCATCTTTGACTATACTAGAAACGCCTCACGTTAGGCACTAAGAGACCACCATGGAAACGATGAGTGATATACTACTCCGCACTTGCCAGCTTGTCAAAAGAAAAGAACTCATGGCGATGCGCCTTGTCTGGGCGGCTCGAAAACACAAATCATGAGGCAGAGGAAAGCGCATTGGACATAGTCATGCAGCTTCCCTTTGCTTTCCCAACAAGCCACTTCTGATAACCGCTCTCCTGGGTCTCACCATTCGCTAAAAACTCCTAGAACCCAGATCTGCAGCCCAGAATGAAATCTCTGGACGTGGCAGCACGCGGTTCGGGGTCTGACCGTTCACTTCAGCTCTTTGCTTCCCCGCAAATCAGCGTCGACGAGTCAAGCTGCATCAAACCGGTTTGATAACAAGCCGCCCAGAATCGGGGACTGGGCCTGGATAGGACCCGAGCTGCTTTCGATCACTCGCATCATAGCCTTAATCCAGTTGGCTTCGATCCAGCAGTGCATAAGCGCCGTTGGACCCATGTTCGATAATATAAATACGCGTCAAGTGCAAGCAGATGACGTGTTCTATGTACTTTGCAAAGCAGTTGGCTCATAGTCGCATATCCCCATCTTTCACACCCTGAACGTCTATATAAGAATGCATCGAACGTTGGTTATATTGCACTGCTAGAGATTCATTCCTACTATTGCTTCCAGCATTATCTGCGAAAATGGTTAAGAAGATTAAAAAGAAACTTCGTAGCAAGCGTCTGAGCTCAGAAGTACCCGAGGAGCCAATGCTTGCCCAGGTATCTCCAAAGATTGACTATCACCGACCGCTCTCATCGTGAGTCCTTTCATTGACTGACTTCAACTACGTGCTGACCTTCTTGTTGGCCTTATGAATCAACAGCAGTTACTCTCACTATTGGGAGTAAGAATTATACCATACCGGAGCATTTTCTTCGTCAACGCACAAGCATCCAGTACAGTTTGACTTGGTCTACAACAATTGAATTGCCTGATCTTGACGAAGATTGCGGTCACACTTTGGTACATTTCCTATATTCAGGCCAATATGAGACAATCAATTCGCCCCTCGAGGAATGGGCCTCCGACATTGAGAGAGAATATCAGAGAGGCCTTCGCATCTACCAGGCATCCAGAACCTATGATATTGTTGACCTTGAAGCTCTTGCTATACGTAACATCGAACAGCTAGGAGAAGAATTGTCTATCCTCGAGATACTTCGGGCAACGAGGGATGTGTATTCAAGCCTGCCCGAAGGCGAAACATGGCTTCCGAATTATATCGAAAGCAACTTGCAGCTCTTCTTGAATACTAGACAGTCAGACTATGACTTGAATGAACTTTACACTGTCCTTGGCACGAATCATCAATTCGACAATGCAGTGATGAAAGCTTTGGTCGGTATACTGGCCAGTCGTTTGATCGATCGTGGGAATACCTCTCAGAATGGTCAGTCTCGCTGCCAAGAAGATAGATACGATAATGAGGGTGAACAAGTTTGCTAAACATTCTCTAGACGAGATACAAGTCAATGGAGACCACTGCATAGCAGAACCTGCCTGCGAGTCTGTTTCCGATGAGCCTGCTTTTGATGCGTCTCCTGTTGAGGAGCCAGCTGCAGAGGAACCACCTCCACCCGACGAGGAACCATGTTTCATTGAGGAAGAGCCACCGGCGGAGCCACCTCCAGCTGAGGAGGAGCCATATTCACCTGAGTATGAGCTAGCTGCATCGGAGCCATGTCCACCTGGTGAGGGGCTATATCCAATTGAGGAGGCGCCAGCTGCGGAGGAACCTCCTACCAATGAGCCTCTGACTGATGTGTCTGCGGCTGATGTTGAAGAGTGGAGCATTCCTCAGCCGCCATCCGACGTTGATGGTTGGCCAAGTGTCACTGTCTCTCCGGGCGATGCCCCTCGTGCTGAAGAACTCCCTGATGCCACAATCGCACCGCCTGAGCCTTCTACAGAAACTCATCTTTCTCAGGCCACTGTAGCAAGAGCCTCAGTTAAAGACATGGTTTTGTACGAAAATTGGGCTGCCCTTTCGACTAAAGTAAGAGCGAAAAGAATCCGTAAACTTGTGAGACGGAAGCTTCCAATCCCGGATGAAGATGGATTCATCCCATTGTTGTCAACTTGATATCTAATAACCCAACATGTCGTTTTCCCCCGTGTTTAGTCTTGCAGTATTTCGAGGAATAAATGCAAAGTACTGATGGTGATTGCCACGAACTACTATAGCAGTAGCACAGAACCGAACGCGCATACGTATGCCCGCGCTACCGGTTATGGCAGTTGAAGCCCCCGGCGTCAAACTCGGTGGCTCTCATTTTATAGCTCCTGTGAGATTTTCTGTAGTACTTGCAGTCTCTGTGTGAACTGCCGCTACGAGGTATTTCTGTGACCGAATCAATTGATAACGAGATGACTTTTGAGAAAATACTGCGAATGCAAATCTAGATATCTAGTGCACACCCGTTTGATAGCGCTCTCCGAAATAACAACGTCTTCTTAAAACGCGCTCAGAAGTCATCGCCACGACTAATGACCTCTTTGACGTTTGGTCGAAGCAAAATAGTCTTACACTCAACATTAGTAGCTCTTCTCAAGTAGAACCTGGAACGGCAAATGACTCACATGTTCAAATTGAGCCGTGTAAGTCCCTTGTTTCTCAACCAAAGGAGGATAATCTTCCACAATTCCGGACTTCACCAGGTGATTTAGCTGTATCTTTGTCAGTCAAAAGCTCCAACAAGACCGACGTCCGGAACGGAAGTTCATACCCCGAGAAGATACTTTTCTTGCCCAATCCTATCCAAATAGCGTCGACAGAACGGAATTGTGCTAAAGTTCTTCTTGATAGCCCCCAAGACATTCTTGGCAGAAGTCAAAGTCAAACTTTTGGGATTCACGGTCTTATCGCGCATGGCGTAGTGCGAAACTTCGCCTGCTTCGATGAATCGGCCGCTACCGGTACTACCGAAGGTTTCGATAGCGAAGACGTCGCCCTCTTCCATCTTCGTCATATCATCCGTCTTGACGAAGGGAACATTCTTGGTGCCGTGAATCGAGTACGGGAGAATTGTATGGCCGCTCAAGTTACGAATCGCCTTGATCGGGTAAGTAGTGCCGTTGATCTCACACTCGTAACTCTCCATCGCTTCCTGGATATAGCCACCTAACTCCCCGACGCGGACGTCGATACCAGCTTCGCGCACACCGGTATTCGTTGCGTCCTTAACGGCCTCGAGTAGGTTATCATATGTAGGATCGAATGCCATTGTGAAAGCACTATCCACAATCCGACCGCCTACATGAATGCCAATATCGACTTTGAGCACATTGTTTTGCGCAAGCACGGTCTTGCAGCCGGCGTTTGGGCTGTAGTGGGCGACGATATTGTCGATGTTCAAACCGGTGGGGAATCCCATACCGGCGATTAGCGAATCGCCTTCGGTCAAACCATCATGTCCTACTAGACGTCGTGCACTATCCTCGATACCGTTGGCGATATCGAGTAGGCTTTGGCCTGGTTTGATGTTTTTCTGTGCCCACTGACGGACTTGACGATGGGCCTCAGCTGCTTGGCGGTAGTCAGAGAGGAAATCACTATTAAGGTTGTCGAGGTGGCGTTTCTCCTCGTCGGTCGTGCGATATCGGTTGTCGTCCTTGTATTCGACCTCTTCGCCCTTGGGATAGGTGTTGTTTGGGAATAACTGCGAGATGGGAATAGATGGCGGATCGGTCTGCACCTTCGGCTGCTTCTTCTTAGGCTTCCTCTTTTTGTTCTTCTTTTTCTTGGCGCCGCCTTCAGTAGCTACTGCGGGGGTGTCTTCGGTGACATCGTCTTCTGAGTCTGCTGCTTCATTTGTAGTCCCGTTTGCTGCGGAATCAGGAATGTGGGCTTCATTTGCACCGGCATCTGGACGTTGAAAAAAGGGATTAGCTCGTGTTACCGCTGCGTGTATACATCAGAACCCGAAGACCCTTACCACTGATCTTCAGCTTCTCGAGAAGCTCTGGTGGGTCGATAGTCATATTTAGCGTAACCTGTGGGTTGTATCCCGCACGTATAACAGTTGTTAAATCTGGAGTCGAGAGGGGTCACACATGTGTAGTCCTAGAGGAAGCCAACTAGCGCGCGAGATTGGCCACACACAACCCACCAAAAAGCACACAGAAAAGTTTGCTCGGAGTATCCGACGGACCGTCTGGGATTTGGAGAAATCGAGTTAATTGTCATCAATTATCCTGGTTTCAGGACACTATCCCCTTTCGGGCTCATGTCCGGTGGCTAGGGGCCAAAAGACGGTGTCAGCCTCTCGTTGAACAAGAACTCCGCAGTACAAGTGCCTAGATCCCAAAGGGAACGTACATATCCCGGGTATGGCCCCAGTACGGAGTAATGGTCAAGCCATAGAGATGGCACCTACAAAATCAGGTGTCTCGTACGGAGTACTCCGTACTCCATACGAGACTAGCAAATAAGCGCCTTCCAAGACTCCCCCAAGTGGAACCCAACCAATCCAAACGGTCCAGCGCGAGACCAACCAGGTCTCGTAAAAAGCAAAGTAACTGCCCGTGTTTCTTTGTCTCAGTTCGAGGGCTACATGCACGGTCACGTGGCAGGGGACTGTACAAAGTACGTCTGGTTTCAAGCCATCGTCCGATCTCATCCTGTAATTCGGAGTACAAGCCTCAAATCACCGCGACGATGTCCGATTCCCAGATCAAGTGCTCGGGGGCTGATTGCGATAATGAAGCCGGGACATTGCAATGCCCAACGTGTCTGAAGCAAGGCCTCAAAGGCAGTTTCTTCTGTGCCCAAGACTGCTTCAAGAGGAATTGGGTATGTCATGTTGACCCGGACGTTCTGACTGCGAATCTGACGCTGATCATATCTACCTAGTCCGCACACAAGACGATACATAAGGCTCAAAATGGTAACTATTTCACATAGGTGACTTATACTCGTTACCTATGCACTCAGAGCATTGTTTTCTGTTTTTCTAACGGCAATACAGTTGGCCAATTTTACAACCCATTCCCGACATACCCATACAGTGGCACTGTCAGGCCAGTATACCCATTGTCCCCGCGACGAGCTGTACCCAAAACGATTAAACATCCCGATTGGGCTGAGACCGGTATTCCAAAACGTGAGATGCGCCTAAGCAGGTCGAAATGGGATCTCTTGGATGCAACAGGCCAGGAAGCAATGCGCAAAGTATGCAGACTAGCTCGGGAAGTACTCGACATAACCGCTGCGGCAATGAAGCCAGGCGTAACGACAGATTACCTTGATGAAATCTGCCATAATGCCTGTGTGGAACGAGAGGTGAGTGAGGCTTATACTTACGAAGTTTATACTTATGAGTTTTATATTCATAAAGCACTATTAACATATTCGCTAACCCGGGAGGTAGTCATATCCTTCTCCACTTAATTACAACCACTTTCCTAAGTCATTATGTACATCGCCCAATGAGGTCGTATGCCACGGAATTCCCGATCAGCGGGTTCTTCTTGACGGCGACATTCTCAATCTCGACATTTCCCTATACCATGGTGGATACCATGCCGATCTGAACGAAACCTATTACATTGGTGATAAGGCAAAAGCGGATCCGGAATCGATTAAGCTCATTGAAACAACGCGAGAGGCCTTAGACATGGCTATCGAGATCATCAAGCCAGGCACACCAATTCGTGACTTCGGCAAGATTATTGAGAAGCATGCGGCCTCTAGAGGCCTTGTCGTCATCAAGACTTGGGGCGGTCACGGCATCAATTCGGAGTTCCACCCTCCTCCCTGGATTCCCCACTACGCCAAGAACAAGGCCGTGGGGACATGTAAACCGGGAATGACGTTCACGATTGAACCTATCTTGTCTTTGGGCGTCAACCGAGAAGTCTATTGGCCGGATAACTGGACAAATGTTACGGTGGATGGTAAACGGACAGCACAGTTCGGTGCGTATAAACCTTTCAAGGAGCCAGTTGCAGGCATTGGATACTAATTCGGAATTTATAGAGCATACTTTGCTTGTTACGGAAACAGGCGTCGAGGTTTTGACAGCGAGACTGGAGAACTCTCCAGGAGGGCCGATTCCCATACCCGGAAGTGAGGATGGAAATGCAAAGAAATGATGATCTTGGCAATTTAACAGGTGTCATTCTGGTCTGTCCATTGGAGGAACTCTTGCATCTGGAGCTGTGCTACTTCTTGTCATGGGGCCTTATCTGTGTACATTACAATGGCTCAGTTGTGCCGCCAGATTTGCAAGATACATGCGTTCAGGTTGTAAGACAGGCTCTTCCTCCCAATTCCTTGATGCAATCTTGCATGTAATGGGTTGCAACTCTGTCTATCCGATGGTTGGGGCACAGGAGGTAATCGTGCCACGCGCCCAACACCACTACCGTGGGTTCAGCATTTGATGAACAAGAGGAGGGAGAGTCAGAAAGGAAATATCAAGCAATAGGAACTATTCGAATGAAATCTTCAAATAAAAAAAAAAGAAATAGGCGATCGGGTCCTAACGGTCCTTTCTCGGTAGAAGACTGCGCGAATCAAATCTGGCACCAATCCGTTTTATTGGACAGTGCTTTTTGGAACATAACCTTCTAAGAAAGGCTAGGATATTTGAGCCAGGACAATCACACAGCCACTGGTCGGATCTGTCGACAGGGAAGGAGTTGTCCTTTTACTGAAGGGAACCAGGGCAAACATACTTCCCAATCGGGAAGGTGGTATCACGTGACTATCCGGCTCCTTCCCTTCTTTCTCTTTGATCTTCCCATTCCTAAAGTACCTGTGTAATTTAATACAACTCGTCTACTGTTGACTACTTGAGACCTCCCATGAGAGCTGCCTCTCCAACAATGAGAGCCCCTTATCGGGTGCTTTTCGACAAGCCTAACACGCAACTATATATCAACATGCTCAAGTATACATACGCAAGGTTGACACTTCCGAGATATGTATATTCCCAGCACTTTAGTCTTTTCTATTAATCAATCAAGCATTAAATTGCCGTATGAAACGTACATGTATATTCTCATTGGCTTTAGCAATCTGTAACCAATATAGGCGGTATAGAGTGACGCACACTACATTGTGACCACGAGGGGGTACAGACAAGCCTTTAGCCTAGAAATTCCACTGATAGTAAAACTAACTGCAACAAAGATAAACCTTAAGATGAAAGGACCATGCTGAGATAGTCTTAGGACTCGGGCCCAACCCCAAAGTACATAGCCAGGTCCCATCCATTGCCTTTCCCGGATATACATCTTCACATTCGGCCGATCTACTTCCGCATAGTACTAATCACACCAGGATTGAACGTCGAGGACTAGTCGTCGATGTACTTTCTTCTGATCTATCCAGAATGGGGTTTTATCCCGCATCTCCACATTAGAAGTTAGTCTCGAAAAGAAAGGTGAAATAGCCTCACTGGCTTGGTCTGGTCCTCCGCGATACTGAGAAGTAGACCGAGACTTAAGGCAACTTGCTTCTCAGTGAGTTCAAGAAGCTGTGAAAGTGAGGTAACTGAGAGCGGGCTCTCAAGCATTACGATTGCGCCCACGATTTCCTGAAATTCCTGGACTAATTGTTCTTTCTAAGTTCTTTGAGCTTCTGGAGGACGCCTTCAAGGCCTGCAATCGTCTGTTTTAATGCCGTTTTTAATGCCAGGATGTCATCCCGTGACTCTTTTATCTCCTGGATGTAGCCTCCGCAATCTTCAAAACACTTCCCGTGAGTTGAATGATCGCGATAACACTCGCAGCTCCTTCCATATTGTACAATGTAGACGCGGACGCAACCCTTGGCCCTCCTCGGGATAGAAGCGACATAAGTATGATGAGACATCTGAGGAGTGTAGAGATATTGCTGAAGAGATGCGAGGGGTAAGTCCAGAAAATGACGCGCAGGCGATGATAGTCATGCTCTCTTCGTGCCCAGGTGCGATGGAGTCAAGACGGAAGCCTATCTTTGTCCTATTATTCAAGCTCGCCTGTATAGACTATCTGGGGACCAAACAACCAAGCCCACTGCCTGGAATAGAATACAAAGCTTATATGCACTAGCATGTTATGGTGTGCGCTACGGATATAAGATCCCCATATGTATTAGCTACTTGCAGCGTCTGGTTGATCGGCGCGCATCGAACCCACCCCCATTGGCCCACGCTTCTTACCTCTACTTCTCAGGTAGACCGTGCGATAGACACGGTCGGGGTGCTTCGACAGGCACTATTAACGCTACAGCTGGTTCGCGGTATATGGTGTCGAGCATGGGCTGTCTGTATGCTTGGCCATCGTAGCCTCACCCGCTTCCCGTCACCCGCACTCACCTAGGATCAGGTGTTGTTAAGGACATGATCTAAAAGAGGATGGAAAAAAAAGCGTGTTCAATTATGCCGCTTAGAGAAAAGCGGATGGAATCTTGGAAATATGATCAAATCAAGCTACACCGCGCATATCATGCAAATGGATATCTAAATGAACGAACCGAAGTTGCAGGGCCCATCAACTCCAATCATCAGGTCATGTATCAGCCATGCAAGCTTCATTATTGGGCATAGTCAAAATTCATCCCACGGCATTTCAGCCAGAAGGAACGCACAAGGTCCAGAGACTGCTTCTGAGCACCTCGAGCAATAGCAAGAGACTCCAGGAACCGTGATTTGTCTTGCGCTGACAGAAGCGGTACTTGCTGTCCGTTTGTATCTGTGACCTGGGCATTCAAAGAATTGAGTGCAGCGCTCAGAGCCGGGCGCGCCAATGCCATCTTTTTGAAAATGGTTCGGCGCAGAGTATCGTTCAGAGAGATCAAGTCTGATCTGGCACACCGGCCGGCAATCTGCTGGACTATTGTGTAACACAAGCGAGGAACAAACTCTTGATGAACGGATTCGATAATGTGCATTTCCTCCGGAGAGCTTCCACGGAGATCGATTAATGCAACCCAGAACGTAGAAGCAGATCGAAGAGGGAGTGGCTCGGGTCGTGTTAATGCGTGCATTGCGAAATGGAGTAGGACGGCGAGGGGAGACTCCGCGCTCAGATCTGACTTCATTGGTGTGAACAGAATCGGATAATACTTTGGCAAAAGACGTGCGAGGAAGTCAATACCGGCATTGGCGGTTTCCGGATCATAGGTTTCCGGGTTCTGGAGCATCGAAGAGAAGAGCTGGGCAACATGATCGATGAGTGCCTCGGCCTCATTGCGAATGTTCATCGCATGCCGAGAGTGCGATGCCAAGAAGGATGAGGCAGTGGCCATGATGACATCTGTGCCAGAGATACCGAGTGGGAAGCTCTTGATGAAATCGACTGTCATGGAAGGCGGGAAGACAAAAAGCCCTGCACGCTCAGTGTAGCCAGCTCTCAAAATATCACAGGCTGCTTCAATGATACTGTTGTCCACAGGGAAGTCGACAACCAGAAGTCTCATAGCCTCCATGATCAGGCGTTGGGCTTCGGCGCCTGGTCCGGAGTTCCAGAAGGATGGAGGGTACGGGTCTCCATCCTTCAAAGTATCGATATCGATGATGTCGCTCTCCGACCGAAGGCCTTTTCCAATACTGGCAATGCAGCTCAGCACAAGGTGCCCACGGAGGCGACCAGGTTCATGCCCATGACTGGCAACTTCCTCCCGTGCGGTGTTGGCCTCCTGAACAAAGAATCCCAGAATCCTCTCGAGGGTTTGTACTTTTTCTTGGTCGCTGGGCAAACTTTGAATTATTGTCGCGATTCCTTCTAGAACCTTGGGCATTGTAGAAACAGTTGCTGTCGGCTTGCTTCTGAACTGATCTAGTTGGTCTAAGAAAGCTGGGAGGTCTGACGTCAAAACGCGAGCGCACGACTTTGAAAGAGTCAAAATGGACCTTGATGCCGCTTGTGCACATAACTCGAAGTTGAGAGATTCGAACAAGATGTTCAAGACACCAGGAAGTAATGAACTGTGACGCTCAAAGTAGGATTCGTACTTTCCGAAGGAATCCACGAGGGTCTGACGAGCCTTGAGCGGAATTCCAGTCTCACCACCGGCGCAAAGACGGGAGAAGGCATCGCTGCTAAAGATAGCATCGAGACATTGATCGGCATGGCCATTTTCATCCACAGCTTCTGAAAGCTGAGCGATACAAAACATAGCAGTCTCAAAATTGCGCCAATCCAGGTCTTGTAGGCTGGATGTGGCGCTTCTTTGAAAGACAATCACCAGGTCAACACCGAGGACTGGATATGCTGAAAGTAGGTAATCACATGCCTCATGACGGAAGGCATTGAATTCACTCCGCTCTTCATCAGTCCAATCTTCCAAATCTTCGGATGTTGGGTATAGCAACTTGTTGGAAAGAGATAGCACAACTTCAGCGAGATGCAACTTTACCAAATCATGCCGGGGGCTACCCTTTTCGAGTTGATCAGGGACGCTCTCTGCGATCTCGTTCCAGAACTCCAACACACGCGGAGTTCCGAGATCGTCAATTGCAGCATAACCAGGAGTTTTGAGAATAGCATGAATAAGGATGAGAAGATCTGCATTGTATGGGACCTCGGGGCCGCTGAAAACATCCAAGTGCAAATGTGAGACATATGCAATCAGGAGGTCAACAAACGACATACTCTCAGTTCCTTCGGTACCCTGGCTCACTGCAATAATGTGGGATTTCACAATTGAGTTAGTAAGATATGAAGCAAGCATCTCCAAGGAAATGCTGTTGAAAGCCCAGCGGCGAGTTTCGAAGGCCTGGGTCAGAATAGAAGCTGCACTTTCAGTCAAGCTGTCTATACTCAATGCTTTTAAGATAGTTTGGCCGCATTCCACGGCCAGTATAGTAATATCTTCGGCAGACGAGCGTTGGCGATTTCCATGGACACCGAGCCATGTCTACAGGGCAGTCAAATTAGTGATTGCGTGCTTTGAGTTCCCAGCTTGGAGTGACTCACTTTCCATGAATTCATAGCTTCAACAGCCAAGGCTACGGCAACCGAATCAACCTCAGCTGCTCCGGCATGCTCCATTATTTCCATAAGAACGAATCGGCCCAGAAGCAACCCATCTTTGATGTTCAATATGGCTCGCTGGATAGCGGATGAATCTCCGACTCCATCCTGAGGTTCGGAGTCTAGCCGGAGAGCCTCCTCGGCAAGAGCAATTGAAAAAAATAGGAGAGCGCCTGATGCATTTTTGTTTAACGCTGGCAGTATCTTTTCCTGGAAATCCACCACCTGTGATTGTTCTTCGGATATGTATCCACCATGAATGAGGCTTGCAGCCAGCTGTTGTATAGCTTGCTTCCAGGGTGTAACGGGGTGCCTAAATATGGCGACCAAGCTTGAAGCAAGCTTTCGCAGTACCATTGCTTGTTCACCATTAGTAACCAAGGCGACGAAACGATTTATCAGATGCTGCATGATCTCCGAGGCCGTATTTTCGTTAATTTCGCTCCTGTTAATAGCTATAATCAGCGATTGCTCGAGGGAAAAAGGTGAGTCGAGTTAGCGGTTGATCCAGGGTGTTGACCCTACCATGAGACATTGATTTTCACTGTGAAGGTGAGTGCTCCCATAAACCGATGCTGGACGGAGTAGTGGTTTTGAAGGAGCGAATCCGCAATTGCCCATGCATTGTCAGTCTTCTGAAGTTGCTGAAGACGCGTCTGAATCTCATTAATCCTAGTGGGGTCTCGTTGATTTCCTGGATCATAAAGGTCAGTGACCAGCTAGGTCTTTGTTAGCCGCTGGATCTCGAAGATGGACATTGTGCTCATGCCTTATGAGCTTCTGAGATAGACTCTCTGGCACCAAGGCCCTCGTCAGACATCCACGTTGCCATGTTGTCTCAGCAAGCGCGTGTAGTTGGGAATGTGAAAAAGAGAAGTGTACATACAGGCCTGGGGGGCTTTGGCGGGCAGAATCTGTATGTTTGTATCATTCATCCAATCATCAGTAAGGCGGTCTTGTAGGCGGTCAATGCGGGGCATGCTCAGGATATGGGGCGGATATAATAATATAACGGTGTACACAGCTTGACCTATCCAACCTATGTTGACCGAGGGGGAAAAATCAGTCAAAACTCAGATTATCCTACAAGTCTTACTGATGATGATATATCAGTACCGTCCGATTACACAATATATTACGACCTTGACTAACAGTCGCTTTTATGGTGGGGACTACCTAGGTATGTACATAGTAATTAACATTGTATAACTTTGGGACTTTACGACATGTACTCCATCCGTGTGACACCAAGTAGTCGGTGCAATAATAAACTTCCCATCACAGCAATCTTGCTGCTTTCGTCAAAAGTACTATCTTAGATATCTACATAATTGGACACATATAAGGTCTGGTATAAGTCCTTACACAAAGGAATCAAGGCAATTATATATAGATAGATCTGTGGACGATACAACTATCCATGGCATTTAAAGCCCAATATCATCAGACTATTCAAAGACCTACAACAGTTGCAGAGTTGTAGATAAAGTCATTGTACGGAGTATATACTCAATGTTGACAAGCCCATAATAGTTAACAATAGAATGCAAACATGACAATACAAGTGGGCCGTGTGTAGCCGCGTCAGAATTCCGGAGATTGCCCTATCACCTCTCATCAGTAAAGGCCACTCACGCCATTAACGGAACTAGCTCGCTGTCATCCACTTATCAGGCCTCCTCAATCCCGACGGCGCTCGCTTAGCTCATTGAGAAGCTGAACAACTCGAGCACTAGGCATCTCTTGCAGCATTCCCGTGCCCATGCTCCTCCCCCGTCCAATTCACCTTCCGTGGACTTCGTTACGATCGCTAAGGCCCCTCTCCCGCCCAAGATTCTTCTCTGTTTTTGGTCCACGTTATACAATCGATATGGAGACCGTGAATACTTCTGATCGCTTGTCAAAGCTGAGGCAGTTGATGCAGCAGCACAAGGTGGATGTTTACAGTATGACATCATTTTTGTTTCCCCCATGTGTTGTTTGCATGTTTATGTCGCGATTCGTACTTATCAGGTTCATATAGTTGTGCCCTCAGAAGACAGCCACCAATCCGAGTACATTGCGCCATGTGATGCCCGTCGAGGTTAGCGATTATCCCCTTATCGGCCTGCCGGTGTCGGCAACTAAGATTTCCATACGTAGAATTCATTTCGGGATTCTCGGGCTCCGCAGGCACTGCTATTATCTCTTTGAGCAAAGCAGCTCTCTCGACCGATGGACGATACTTCAACCAAGCCGCAAAGCAACTAGATAACAACTGGCAGCTTCTGAAGAGTGGAAATGAGGGGGTGCCTACATGGCAGGAATGGTACGATATAAGCCTAATGCGGGGTATCCAATATGGGGACTGATATTTTTCTTAGGACCACGGAGGAAGCCCAAGGTGGAAAGGCCGTTGGTGTCGATCCCTCGCTGATCACAGCATGTAAGTGTAGCTATTTGGAAAGTGGAAGTGGATGGCAGCGTTGACTTTTCATAGCTGGTGCCCGGAAACTGGCAGAGACCCTTGAAAGAAATGGTTCATCGCTTGTGGGCGTCCGGGAAAACTTGATCGACTTGGTTTGGGGTGAGGGTCGCCCCGCGCGTCCTATCGAGAAAGTGCGCGTGCATCCTGAGAAGTATGCTGGAAAATCGTTCCAGGAGAAGGTCACCGAGCTGCGGAAGGAGCTTGAGCAAAAGAAGAAAGCTGGTTTTGTCATCTGTATGATTGTCTTGCCCATATTCCCGTCCTGAAAAGTCACTAATCCCTGGTAGCCATGCTTGATGAGATTGCTTGGCTATTCAACCTGAGAGGAACTGAGTAAGAAAAACGCCTTCCACATGGTCCATCATGAACAGTTAACTTACTACGACCAGTATTCCTTACAACCCTGTCTTTTTCTCTTATGTCATCATTACACCCACCACCGCTGAGATCTACGTCGACGATGAAAAGTTGACTCCGGAGGTCAAGGCTCACTTGGGACAAGATGTTATTGTGAAGCCATACGACTCTATCTTTGCTGACGCTCAGGCTCTCAGCGCCAAAGGCCAGTCTGCAACTGGGAACGCCGGCAAATTTTTGCTGTCAAACAAGGGTTCCTGGGCTCTCAGCCTTAGCCTTGGTGGCGAGGGACAGGTCGAAGAGACTCGTAGTCCAGTCGCAGATGCCAAGGCTATTAAGAATGAGGTTGAACTCGAGGGAATGCGGGCTTGCCATATCCGCGACGGTGCTGCATTGACTGAGTACTTTGCTTGGCTTGAAAATGAACTTGTCAACAAGAAGACTGTCATGGATGAAGTTGATGGAGCTGATAAGCTGGAGCAGATCCGCTCTAAGCGTGATCTGTTCGCTGGTCTCTCTTTCGATACCATTTCCTCGACCGGACCTAACGGAGCTGTCATTCACTATAAGCCCGAGAAGGGACATTGTTCTATAATTGACCCCAATGCCATCTATCTCTGCGACTCTGGATGTCAATACTTGGATGGAACGACAGACACCACGAGAACATTCCATTTTGGTGTTCCTACTGATTTCGAAAAGCGTGCTTTCACTTTGGTACTCAAGGGAACTATTGGAATTGACATGGCCGTGTTCCCCAAAGGCACTAGTGGCTTTGCAATTGATGTCTTGGCCCGCCAACATTTGTGGAAGGAAGGTTTGGACTACCTCCACGGAACTGGCCATGGTGTTGGCTCTTACCTGGTAGGCTTTGTCTCTGAACAAATGTCTTGCATCTTACTAACTTATAACTAGAACGTTCACGAGGGTCCTATTGGCATTGGAACTCGTGTTCAGTACACCGAAGTCCCCATTGCGGCCGGAAACGTTATCTCGGATGGTTTGTATCATTTCCCTATCCATCGAAATCTCAAACTAATGATTGGCATAGAACCTGGATACTACGAGGATGGCAAGTTCGGCATTCGAATTGAAAGTGGGTTATACCGTCTATGGATGCGATTAGAAAAAATACTAACCCGGTTTTCCACAGATATTGTCATGGCTAGAGAGGTCAAAACTGCCTACAATTTCGGCGACAAGCAGTGGCTAGGCTTTGAGCATGTTACGATGACTCCCATTGGTAGAAACCTGATTGAACCGTCGCTTTTGAGCGACGCCGAGCTGAAGTGGGTGAATGATTACCATGCTGAGATCTGGGCTAAGACAGAGCATTTCTTCCGGGATGACGAACTGACACGCTCGTGGCTCGAGCGTGAGACCCAACCTATCTCCAAATAAGTACCCAGGGATCTTGTTGGGCTGTTGGCTGGGAGAGGGGGGTTGGTCATTGATTAAACTCCGCATTATATAGTTCCATATGGCCCGGAATATACACATTTAATGCTGCGTTTGGATCAATTGCAGATGAGAGCACAGATTCTAATAACAAAGCTAACCAAAAATAGAATAAAAACAAATGACACTCTTACCGCAATGAAAAATGTAGCGTATACATACAGCCACCGATGTGACTGCCAACTGGCCAGTGGAATGCGGGAAGGAAGCTCTAGTGGAGCCTGACACTCGGCCCGGCCTGTTTCAACACCATCATTCATACCGGCCTGACTATTACTTCTAGGGCTTTCTGCTTTTCAAAGCTAAGAATGCTCGTTGATCCTCGCCAATTGTCGCGCGCAAGCCACAGGACCTAAACTCGAACTTTCCGGTTAATAGCCCCACGCCAGCCCCTTGTCGCAGCCCACCAACCCTTTCAGATCGAACCGGATTACCCCGTAGGTAGCGCTCATATTTCAGAATGAGCGGCAACAGCGGTTATGGTAACGGCCACGGCTACTCCGGTGGCGGCCGGCACGATGCCAATGACGGGGCATACGGTGGAAACAACAACCTCAGTGTGAACGGATACAGTGGGCGAGGTGTTGCGCCCCCAAGCGGAGGTGGACGCTCTGATCGTCGCCCAGGCGGATACGGTGGCTTCTATGCCGATGGGCCTCCGACTCCAGTATTATCGCCGGGCCAATCTCCCTCGCCTAGTCAGTCACCCGAGCGGCGGCGCGATCGATCGAACCGGGACTGGCAGCAACCTTCCTCGCACCCCTCGGCGCATTCTTCGTCGCATCCCTCCTCACAAGCCTCTTCAAAACCCTCTTCGCGGTCACGGACAAGAAATCAGGAGCCCGACAGAAAGTACCAGGAAGAACGGTCTAGAGATGCAAGTCGGTACGCGGAGAACAGCGACCAAAGAGACCAAAGGAAGGCGAGGAATGCGTCACCTGTGGTTCAACATAGAAATGAGTCAGGAGAAACCCAAGCCATCGAAGGTCTGTATTCCTGTTCCCTTTGTTCGGTCATGGGCTAACCTGGCTATCTTCTACAGCGATTCTACAGTCGATCCAGCGTGATTGGGATTTCATGACCGATGCCGAATGTGTTCCTGTACACGTTGCTTTGAGTTTGATGGACACGAGTACATTGGGTAAAGCAGATCGCGAACCGGAATTTTTGCACATGTACAACGATATCCAGAAGACATTGAAGGCAATTGTGAATAGTAAGTTTTGTCTATGGAGCAGGCCAGGCCCATGCTAATATTGTATGCCCTAGAACACCATCAGGGGTTCAACAGTTCTATCGGAACATATCACAAGATCCAATCCAATATATCTTCCTCGCAAAATCGAGTGCGCAGTCTGAGACATGCCCTTGACCAGGCCAAGTCCGGGCTAATATCGACCAAGCCCGAACTGAAAGGGCTGGCGACGTCTTCTCAAAACTATGATGATATTGTTCAGCTATTCACTCAGATCGAAGAAATCCAGTCTCTTCCCGAGAAGCTAGAAACCCAGATCTCCGCTAAGCGGTTCCTCGCAGCTGTGGATGTGCTTCACACGGGTCTTAAAGTTCTGCGCCGCTCGGAGCTGGAGGACATTGGTGCTCTATCTGATATTCGTGCTTATTTTCTAAACCAGGAAACGTCGCTCACTGACATCCTGATTGAGGAACTACACGATCATCTATATCTGAAGTCACCCTATTGCTCCGATCGATGGAAATCCTCCATCTCGGAGGGCGAGGTGCATACATCAAACTCCAGTTGGGCGAGTAGTCGCTCCTGGGAACGGCCCATTTTTACTTTCCTGGCGAAATTCGATCCATTGACGCCCATGGTTGAGGATGCCTCCCGAAACCCCGAGGCAGATACGTTTTCTTACATTCAGTTGTTGATCGAAGCACTCAATAAAATGGGTCATCTGGATATCGCTGTTCATCGAATCGAGCAACGCCTTCCTGTAGAACTATTTGCTGTGGTGGATAAAACGAACGCAGAGGTTGATACTCGTTACCCTGCACCAACCAAGAGCTTCTCAGCCCAGGACAATTACAAACAATCAAGTCTCCCCACTGAGATTATCGAGAAACGAGGCCATGTGCTTTCTGAGTTCTTGTGGGCATTATATTCCAAGTTTGAGGCAATCGCGGAAAGCCACCGGATTCTTCACGATGTTGTCGCTGCCATTGTACAAAGAGAAGGTATAACCAAGAGCGAGGCGCTTTCTGGTGGATTCAAGGAGTTGTGGAAACTCTTGCAGAGTGAAGTAAGACTGCAAATCTTTCAACTGATATGTCTGAATATTAACCTCGCTAGATACGATCTCTTATGCACGACTATCTTGCAACTGATGGGGACTCCTCTGTTCGGTCAAGAGCAGATGAAAACGACACTAGGCGCCAGGTGTACACAGGCCATCGTGATAAGAATAAGGTAAAAAAATACTGCCATTCATTATCATGCTTTTCATCTGACTGACTCTTCACGTTAAAGAAAATGTTCAAGTTGTCTGACAATGAACAAAACTCCGAGATGAAAGCCGAGCAGGATGAATTGGACGAAATCCTCAAGTCTTCCGTGCCAGGTCTTGTTTCCAAATCACGACAAAAGACCGCAACACATGATAATACGCAATCCAATATGGGCAACTCAGGAACCGGACATAAGATATTGCTTGAGCCAAGTGTCTTCAACATGGGGATCCTTCTTCCGCCATCCTTATCCTTCATTCAGCGGCTCAAGGATATCGTTCCTGTTGATGCAGAAATTTCCATGGGCACTTTGACCTCCTTTCTGGATGACTTCATGGTCAACGTCTTCCTACCTCAGTTAGATGAAACAGTAACCGATCTTTGCACACTCAGTTTCATTGCCGCGGATGCGTTTACCGAGGACCCCCAATGGGCGAAGGTCTCTCCTCGACCTATCTTTAGGGGAACGGTCAAATTCATGTCTATTGTCCGAGAATTCAGTAAGATGTTGTCAAGCATTCCACATGACCAAGCATTTACCCAGCTTCTCATTGACCAAATCGTGACCTATTACGACAAGTGCTGTGGATGGTACAAAGCAATGGTCACAAAGGTGTCTGCACGGCACCATGGAGGCGAAGTCCGATTGAAAGCCGCTGCATCCTTTGCTGAGTCTGGTGACATCCATGATGTTGTTGATGAACTTTGGAAAGGAGCTGGGGACAAGAAACAGACACTCATCGATACGGAAATCGACCTCCTTCTCAAGCGGACAAATGAAGTGCCATTAGAGCCGTACGACATCATATCTGACCCAAAGACTGTCATTTCCCTTTCGCTTCTGTACAACAGCATGCAATGGCTTGCAAGTCACCTTTCCCAACTCCGGCTCGTGGTTGAACAGACTGCGGATGCCGAATCTTCGAGTTTGACTGCAACCGGTCGGCCATCCCGCAGATGGACACTGTTTGGATCCATGAAGCCCAACCGTGATAGCATCAATAACCCGGTGCACTTGCCACTCAATCACGAGACCGCTGTGGCTTTTGATGGGACAATCCAATCATTACATGGGCTCAGTGCTACTGCAATCCTGACGATGCATATTGACATCCGGTGCGGCATCATCCACATGTTGACGAGGACAATGGCTGGGCCGAATCCCCCGAACTTGCGGCACTCTGAACCCGTAACGCCATCCCCCAGCAACATAGATAACTGGTGGCACATTATCATGAACCAGCCAACCGCTGCGTCTCCCACGATCCTCGCGCTGAACAATGATCTCATCGCATTTGACACCAACATATCGACGTACCTAGGATCTGTTGAGCGCTGGTTTATCACATCAGGTCTAGCACGAGTCATCGACCGGGTCTTTGTCGCTTGTACTCATTACATTGGAGCCATGAATGAGAATGGAGCCTTGCGCCTACAGCTCGATGTGCTTGTCCTCCAGCAGAACTTGAAGAACATTATCATTGATCCAGTTGGGAATGCATCCGATTCAGGAACGGATTTACCCGTGCCGGCTTCTCAAGAGGTCGTCGCCTTGCCACGCAGTGCCAAGTTCTTAGATTGGTTCCTGGAAGGCGCCGAGAAGGCCCTCGACTACGCCAAGGACGAGAAGGACGCGTTTGCGTCCCAAGGAGACAAAGCCTTGGCTGCTGGTAACGGCGAGCCATTTACCTACGACGAGTTGCGTATCCTCGTGGACTTGTGCTTCTCTGAAATTCTCCGTGGTCCGCGTGGCGCAGAAAGCCGCGAGGACTTCATGTCGGCCAAAAACGCCAGCGCGGATGCGCTACTGAGACTAAATGAGATTATGTGGGATGCTCGATAGCCTGTGCAAGTGGATAGAGACTTGGCAATTTTATTTCTTTTTTGTGCTCCGGTTCTTTTATCCTGGCGCCCAGTCCACTAATAAGAGAGGCAGAACCGAATCTCATTTCGCCTTGACTCAGTGTCATTTCCTCTTTTTTTCCTCTTTAATTTAAACAATATCCACTAGCCCTAACCCGGTATAGTGACCTGGGGCACTTGCCCTTTTCGGCTTCTCCGGAGCATCGGCACTGGTTGGTGATCCACGCTATGTTTCAGCCTTTGAACGTAGTTCTCACGGTGAAATGATCAGACTGCTAGTTCGTCAAGCCATATCAGCATGGATTCTAACGGTAGCTAGACCTATAACTTTCCCTGTCCTTTCCTTTCCTTCCTTTTTTTTTTCCCTCATCCCTTCGTTCTTTATCTAACTTCCTGTCTGGAACAGTATCTTTGTTTCTCGAATCTGGCATTCGCTATCCAGACGTCCATTCTTTTGAAGTGCAACCTGCACGTCCTGTCCTTTTGAAAAGTCAATCTGTGACTTGAACTCGATCAGTCAATCGTTGATACATTCTCCCACAAAACTTCTTCATTCTTCACTTCACTATACAACCCCAACAATGAAGTATATGCGCCTGGCCTCTGTGGCCGCTCTTCTAAGCGCCGCCACTGTCTCCGCCGGTCCATTGCGCCTCCGCGGACATGATGATGGATACTGTCCAAAGGGCTACACTATGAGCGTCTACTACAAGACCGTCCTGGTGGAAGCCGCCCCATCTGCTACCTCTGTGGAGTCTACAGTCGCCCCTTCGCCTACCCCGGTTACTGTTGAGGCTCAGCCTACTGCAGAGCCCGTAGTGACTTCCTCATCTGTCCCTGCTGTTGTGGAGTCTGAGACTACCGTCGCAGTGGCCCCGATTGAGACTTTGACCTCTTCAATCATTGTTGTCGAGACTCCGGCTGCTGAGACCCCCGTGGCCGAGACCTCTGCTGCCGAGACCTCTGCTGTCGAGACCGCTCCTGTTGTAGCTCCCCTCCCCACTTCCTCGGTCGAGGAGACCATTGTTGCCCAACCCACTGCTACCCCGGTTGTAGCTCCCCTCCCCACTTCCTCCGTCGAGGAGACCATTGTCGCCCAGCCTACCGCTGCCCCGGTCGTTGAGACCGCTACCAAGGAAGCCTCCACTACGCAGGCTGCCACCACCACGCAAGCTGCTGCCACTACCCAGGCTACCGTCAAGGCCCCCGAGGTTGCCAGCACCTCTACCAAATCTGCTGCATCCTCGTCTTCCACCTCTCCTGCCTCCACGGGATCTACTGGCGGAAGTGCAGGCGAAGCCACCTTCTACGGCGGCAACGTCGGCGGCGGAACCTGCTCATTCTCCGGCTACACACTGCCCAGCCACCTCTTCGGCACAGCCCTCTCCCTCCAGCGCTGGGATGACGCCGCCAGCTGCGGTAGATGTGTTGCTGTCACTGGCCCAAGTGGTAACTCCATCAAAGCCATGGTAAGCTAATATTCAATCCCTTCCATATTCCATCAGTTCTAACATCTCATCAGATCGTCGATCAATGCCCCGAATGCGAAAGCAACCACCTTGACCTCTTCCAAGAAGCCTTTGCCGAGCTCTCGGATATCTCCGCCGGCATCATCGACATTAACTGGTCATACGTGCCCTGCGAGCTGGACGGTCCCCTCAAGCTCAAGAACAAGGAGGGTACCTCCGAATACTGGTTCTCGATGCAGGTCGTCAACGCCAACGAGGCCGTTACTGCATTGGAAGTCAGCACTGATGGCGGTAGCTCGTGGCAGGGTACCACTCGTACATACTACAACTTCTTTGAGAACACTGCCGGATTCGGAACCAGCACTGTCGATGTGCGGATTACCGGTGCCAGTGGAAAGACCGTTGTTGTTAAGGACGTCGGATGCGAGTCCAGCAGTGAAATCACTGCCACGTCGAACTTGTAAACGTCGGCTTGAAGCTTTTTACACATTTTCTTTCTTTTCTTTTGATATATTCGAGGGGGGTTTGGTGAAAGCGACAGTGGTCCTTTGCAAGGTCTAAAGAGATGTACATCTATATTCATTTTACAGCGCTGATATTGATATTTCGAGATTTCGTTTCGAATCAAATAATTTCCTGTTCGCTCTCTATCTCATGAACCATCAAATGTATACACAACCCAAGGAGGCCATGATATACAAACGCTAGTGACTGTCGTCATGCTATACATGGGTCTCAAACTCAGTGAATCATTACTGCGTGGTCACTTTGCCGTCGGCCTCGACATTCTCGACATGCGGGTGCGCATCCAGGGTTTGGACCTTGCCCTCGGGGAAAGTAACACTATAAAGACCAAGAAACAACAATTAGTTCAACCCCGAGAAGAGACCTAAAGAGCGTGGAAAGGACTCACGCGAAGCCCTTGATCAATGTGTATTCGTGTCCGATCTCGCCGCCTTGCTCCTTGGCATTGTCCTTGACACTATCCATGTATTAGCAAGTTGTATCGCGAATAGGGAAGGAAATGCTTACGCCTGGACCTCCTCGGGGGTTGCGTCAGGCTTGCACGTAATCTACAGATGGTTAGCAAGCGGTGGATATGGGTGTATACGGCATGTTGCGCACAATATAAGAAGACATAGTGAGATATCGTTATATGAGATGATAGAGATGTATGAGGAAGAAATCGAAATCGGAGAAGATAAAGGAAGGAGGGAACGTTGACATCATAGAGGGGTAGTTGGTATAAGCTGATCACGCTGTATCCCCACACCCTAATTGGGACGAAACCATGGGAGCGTCCAATGAGACTCCAGTGATCGAAACGGAGATATGTATGGTTCTCCGATCTATGTGATCTGCTTACATTCGCCTTCGGTGAAACCCGGGCGAAAACGCCTCATTTGCGATTATGACACAGTGTCTAAACGGAAAGCTGTAAAAAAAAAATGTATTCGTATCAACCTGCAGCTCCATCCCAAGGCAAACCCATCCCAGCCGTAGATTCGCCAGCCCATCCATTAAGATGAAAGATAAGAAATAAAAGCACGAGTAGCGTACAAAAGCCGCAAATGTTTGAGCAGAGAACGATCAAAGGGGGTGAAAGATAACAGAAAGTTGAGCGGCAACAGCAGTGGCAGCGCATAATAAAAGCAACTCTCAGAATGCCATAAGGGGATTCTGGGCAGACCGAATCATGAGGATATCGAGGGTCATGACAGGTGTATGGTGAGGTCACATCAAATGAAAGAAACATGGCAGAAGGAGAAGAAATCTGTCAAGAGCAGAACAAATTTGCAGAAACAATGAAATGAGGGTATGTTCAAGTATCTTAACCTCCGAAAACGCAACAATCGTAGCACATAGAGCAGAACAAGGACCAATGCCTTAATCCATCTCCAGTGTCTCTAGCTCTTTAGACTCCTCGTAGTCGTCAAACTCCAGGCCGGCATCCCGACAACGTGAGAGCCACTTCAAGGCAATGTTGTTGCGCCTGGCAACCTCGCCCTTCAACTTGGAGTTAGAGCCACTGATCTCAGCGATAGCGTGGTTGGCGGTGAGACTGTGCTTCTCAAACTGCTCGTCGATGTTCTTCTTTTCCTCCTGCAGCTGCAGAATGTATTCGATGGCACGTTGGAGGATCGCACCCTTGTTCTTATCACAGTTGGGCACGAGACGAGCAATCTGGTTGATACCTTCATTAATAGCCTCTCGACGGCGACGTTCAACTAGGAGAAGTGGTCAGTAGAAAGCCATGTATGTGACCCAAAAGTATCCTTACCTTCTTTGTGGTTGTTCTTGCGAATCTGGTGCCATTCAGGAGAGCCAACAGTAGGCTTTTGGTTCATGCTCTGAGCCTCGCGCGCGGCATAGACGGCAGCGGCAGTCGAATTATGGTTGTGGCCACCGCCCATGGGGGGCTGATTCATCTCATCGGCGAAGGAGAGCCCTTGAGTGAGGTTGCTCGCATCAAACCCAGGGTCGGGAGGAGGGGGGGTACTTGTGTTGAGGGGTGTGAGCTGCCAGAGCGGCTTTGGCATTGGCGGTCAGAGCGTTATCGTCCGACAGGCCATTCTGCGGACCAACGTGTTGAAGAATCTGTTGATCAATGTTAAGTTCGGCGCCGGTGTTGGGAAGGCCGTGATCGTAGTTTCCAAGGCCCCCATGGCCGAAGTTGTGTTGGTTGTCCATGCTGCCGTTGCTGCCGTGGGAAGAACGGTTCATGCGTTGTGGGTCAGGACCCAAATCCTCGGAGCCGGTTCTCTTGCGCTTGTGCGAACCATCGTCGGGGCTGTTCATGGTGGGATCAGACATACTGAGCCGGAAAATATCCGTACTGTTATTGGTAATGGTTAGTCATGAAGTCCATGAGCCAGTAACTGAAACAAGTCTCGGGTGCAAAGACAGCGATATGATCAGAGACGCCAATTCAGCCAGCAGTAAGCTGGTGCCGCTCCGATCATGTCACTCTCTGGAGGATCAGTGGATACCCCACGAAATGGCCAGACGCGTGGATCCGACGCGTTCTTCGGGCATTTCAGCGAGTTTGGACACGTCAGATCGGGCCATCACCGGTGACTTCGTCTAACATTCGGCAAGGCAGTTGAGACGAGGTTTGCACGACAGTGACTCTGTCCAGCAAGCGAAAGACATTCCGATGCCGCAAAGCATCCGCGGGGTTGAGGACATCAAGAACGCGTCATGCTGCTTTGCAGGGAGCGGCGGTCACACAAAGGGGTAGCGTCGCAAACAGGCACCACTCGGGATGAGCATCACGACGCGATGCGCAATAACATGGGGGGTCTGGATGGAGATGGGGTATTGATGGAGCCGTACCTTGGGATGATCTCTCTTTATCACCTGACAGGAAGTCACCTGCCCGACAACAACAAGACGCAGGTCACGTTGTCTGCGAAACCCGAAATCGAAATTGGGACGCTAAAAAGGGAAAAGTGAAAATTTGATGAAGTGGAGATAGCGCGATATGCAAACGATTTGACAATCTGCCTGCCGGCAAATTTCGATTAAAGAAAAGGCGGTTCTTTAGGAGGTTGTAGAGTAGCGGGCAAGTCAAGATGGACTGCTCACGTGGCAAGGAGGTGGTCAAGAAGAGGAGTCGCGCGGGTTCCGGTGAGTCAGAACCACCAACAGCGCAGAAAGATCACCTGATACGTCTTATGTAATCAGGTTCCAAATGGATACGGTCCGGGGAACTACATGGAAGGCCGAAGCTTGGTCTAGACGAGTTTGCCAACGCAGTTCAATTTCAAGGCGTTAAGAGCTGGAGATAACCACTCAAGTGCTCCAATAATACATCCTACGCCTCCATCCCTCATCGTAAGTCATGTGCAGCCATCCCGTGCCCCTCCGCTGCACACCTCATTTCCTGTGCTGTGATTGGCTGCCGGGCCCCGGAGGGGGATCCCTAGATCACGTGCCATGGCGTGCTAGGAGCCAATCACAGGGGGTGTTCACCCACGACGAGGGGGATCGGACCGTCGAGGAGAGGAACCTGGAACTTCGCCAATTCACAGAGCAAGTAAATGGGCGTTGTCTAGACACTAGCGTCTACTAACGACATGCTACAGCATATCACCGGAATTGATCCGGAGTACCCCCGTCCTAGTTTCCCTGCAAGTTAGCAGGCTATACCCACTAGTGTATGGGAACACCCTTCAACCCAATCAGCAAAACCAGGAAACTCAATACGGAAACATCTCAAGGTGATAGCAATCGGATACAAGGATGTGCATCCTCTAGGGGTTGTATCGGTCTAGATCTCCTCGACACAAGACGAATCTTCTTTACAGTGCAACTTACAACTTCCATGTTGTAGTGCTCGCCAGTCTACTTCTGATCCCCTCATTGGAGTGGGGGAAGACGAGAATCACATGTTTCAGACTAAAACATCCTAAATTTGAACTCACCAAGCGCTTCACACCACTATCGCTCCAAAGGGTTGCATCGAACATCCAGAAGGGTCCTCTCTAGTACTTCACCCGCATGTCGATGAGCATCAAGAGCGAGTGATCATGCGACCTTTGCATTCTACTGGGATGCAAGAATGAGATGTATATGAGCATTTCGCCTGTACGGAGTAGTTTGCGGCGATCTCCATGATCTCCGTCTATGTCATCGCCCGCTGAGTCTCCTGTCACATGGATCATTTGCACATGATGCGTCACTGGGGGAGTTTCAACTCTGGCAGAGAGGATCGCCATAACAATAACCAATATACCATATCGTATACCATGTCTGATGTATATCGAAGTATTCTGCGATTACAAGGGTATCACAAAAACCCGGGTGATCGAGGTGTCATGTCTAATGTCAACTCGTGAGCACATTCGATCTATTCATAAAATCCGCTCTATGTACTCCGTATAAAATAGCCAAATGTATCCAGTAAGCCTCCTCACTCAGACGCCTTTTTCAGTCCAAACACCATTCGTGGATCTGCCGTGGTATCTGCGAAACAAATACCTTCCTCAGACGCGCCTAGCATGTCCCAGCAAAGTATCTTCACATCGAATGGGTTGCCTACGTCCTCTGTCTCACTTTGTTCATCAGGGATCTGCGCACCTGACTCCGCCTCTTTTTTGGTGGCATTTGGAGGGGCCCGTTGCGTCACAGCAATGATAGTGCTTGTGCCCGCATATCGCGCCGGTGGCTTGGTATCTTCTGTCGGTGGCTCCTCGCCCGACCGATTGGCAAAGACGATGATGATCTTCTTCGGAGAATCTGCCGCCTCTCCGCCGTCAATGTCTACCTTGTGCTCCATCTTCTTTTGTAGCAGGGGCCAGAAGCGCCGAAGCCAATAGTTGAAAGTGTCCATCTCGGGTTTGTTTTTGAGGGCATCAAGTTCTTCACGGCTGAGCAGAGTCAACCAGGCCATAGACAAAATTACAAGCTGGGACTTGGAGTCAAGGACTCGTGTTGCGAATTCCCATTTGTCAAAAGGTGCCTCAAATTTGTACGGATTGATATCCATGCAGATACCAAATGAAGTCGCGACCCGCTTTTCTTGCTGCCCGGATGATATTTGCTGGTTTTCTTTCCCGAGGCTTTCCGAAGTGGAAGCTTTGCCCTGGGAAGAAAATTCAAGGTGATGGAAGCCTCGCTCAGCTTGACCCTCAGCCGCCCATGTTTCGTCGGTGTCATACAAGAAGGTTTTGCGATAGTTATGGGTGAAGTCTCCGTTCTTGTCGATAATAAGAAGCGAATTATAGTATGTGACTTGATCAGGCTTTTCAGAATCCCTTTCGATCTCTGGATATCCTACGCAAACCTTGCATTGCAGGCGCTTGGCGGTTTCGCGAGCCCATGAGGCAGAGGGGCCATCCCCAGCTGGCTCAGCATATGCTTTGATCGCTTCCAAAGACGGGAAGTTATAACCTAGTTATTTGTAAGCCAATGGAATTATGGCCCGGGTTGAATTAGCGGCGAAATGCCGGGAGGGAAACACGAATCGCGCTGCTGCAAGATGCTACTGTGGAGTGGCAGTGTGGACAGTTTGCTAGTACGTACCCGTCAACGCCAACTCAGGCAGTACCAATATATCAGGCTTCAATAGCTCGGCTCCAATCCCAAGATTTTTTCCATTCACAGCAAGAGACTTGCCAGACTTTAGTAAAGCATTTGCTTTCTCAATGTTGCCCTTGACATCGCCCAGCTTCGGCGCGAACTGGAGGGTTGCAATCCTCATGTCGTTAGACCGGGATGTCGAAAAATATCTGAGGCCCAGACAAGGTGCGCTGAATTTGAAATTACGTTCTCTTCTGACTGGTAAGATATATGTGTCTGTGATCAATTGTGTCCTGTGGGTCGCTGAGATATGAAGCCCGGATGTTCTGGTGCCCACGCGGACACAGCGGGCCAAGGATTTTGCCAGGATGACGGCGAATGATCGAAATCCTTGGAAAATATCCGGATGTACCCACGATGATTATATCCCAAGTGTGGATTTTGAATTCAATCCAAGAGGAATCGGTTCCAGGGCGCGGTTGTAGCTTGGACGAAAGGGCGAGATTCCGCTATCAGTCATATGCATGTTGATGCGTCAGGGAAAGTATGTGGATCCACCACAAGCCAAGGATATTAGAGAGGATATTGAGCAAATTGATGCGTATTGAGAAAAGTCAGAGCTCAGGGTGAAGCTTTCTATGTAAGTGTACGGAGTACATGGCAGGATGCATTTACGCATGTATATACAGGACTCAAGGAGAAACCCCTGCAGAGATCTAGTGATCCCTGTACTCCGTTCTGCATGTCCGAAGCTCATAAACCCGGCAGAAATCAGATTGGATGCGGCCGCCTTCGGGTAAGTTGTCAAAAGAAACCACACCGCCCGCAGTCCTCGTCAGAACTTCCCCCTATGAGCCGACTGCACTACAACGTAGGAGAGAAGGTCCGGGCAGAAAGCCTTGTTCTTGATCACGTCGAGAAATGGGGGAAAGCCCCCTGGCCACAGAATGCTTGGTCTGCAAACATATACACTCAAGAAACTAGGCAGGCACTTCGAGGCCTCGCAACACCAAGCGTTATAGAGACTCTGAGAGGCCTTATCGTGGCCAACCACACCCTCCAGGGCTAGGTTGGCCCGTGACCCAATCCTCCTAGCATAGCTTCAACATCAAGCTCATGCTCAAGATTCTCGAAGATATCCAGAGACGACATGTGTTCAAACAGATTCGGATTGTATTGTTGATTAGTTTTGGCAGTTCGAAGATAAGATCTGAGATAGTCGAAAGCCCACTGGAACTTCTATTCCACACCACTTTGCATTGCGAAACCATGATGCTGGGAACTACTCCAAAAGCTTCCCGATTCTAGATGAAATTTCCCCTTGGTCTTACTCTGCCCTCCAGCGAGCCTAAATCCCACGGCTATTCGCCACTGTAAACTGAACTCCCAAGAAAAGCCGAAGCCAACCTTCCAAAATGGGAAGCTCCGTCCACGTTGCGGCGCGGCCGTCACCAAAACTTCATGCAGGGACCCCACGGGGATACGAAAATTTTCCTCATAAATAGAAAGAAATCCCGTCGATAACTGTTCCTGGCATCTGATTCCGACTTTTCAAACTGCGGAATGGCTATCCTCAACATCGAACTCGATTGGCAACGCCACAAATGGCCAGTTTTCTACTGTTTCGTGTCTCTATTCGGAGCTTTCTGTTATGGTTATGACACAATTTACTATACTGACATCCTGGACATGGTACCATTCATTCGTGACTACTGAAACATGCCTGAGGATGGATCCTATTCCCTCGGAACCAGCGTTTTGTCCGTGACTAGCTCGGTGGTCTATGTCGGTGAATTTGTTGGCGCCCTGATGACAGCTCCAATCAACGATGCATGGGGTCGCAAAGCAGTCTTTTACTGTGCCTCGGCTTGTATCATCGCAGGAGCTATTGTCCAAGTATGCTCGTTGGACGTTTATGGCGTCTTCCGTGCCGATCGAGTCCTCATCGGATCAGGTATTTGTCAATTCATATCTACTTGCTTGATCTACATCAAAGAAGTTGCTCCCGTTGAGATTCGGGGCCCCGCTCTTATGTCCTTCCAATTTATGCAACTCATTTCTCAATTCGTCGGAGCTTGCATTACACAAGGCACACAAAGCATCGATGCCCCCTCCTTTTATCGAACCCTCATGGGACTGCTGACGGTCTTTCCGGGTGTCATGATAATGCTCGTCCCTTTTGTCCCAAAGATTCCTGTGTGGTATGTTTCGAAAAATCGTCCTGAGACAGCTGAGGCATCTTTGCGGAAGATTTGCCGCATGGGAGGTTATGACCCGGCCAAGGATCTTCAGCTTATCCAGGAGCAAGTGAGCAAGGAGCGCGCGCTGAAATCCCAATCTTCTTGGTCGTCATTGTTCAAGGATCCCGTTGAACGACGGAAACTTCTCTACTGCTGCGGTGCCACATTCGTGCAGCAGATTAACGGTATCCAGTTCTGGTATACCTACGGCGTGGCCTTCGCACAATCGACTGGTATCGGTGAGCGATTCACCATCAACACCATCATCTACGTCTTGCAGATCATCACAGGTAGACTTTCGGTCGCGCTTGGTGATAAGATTGCGCGCCGCACGAACCTGCTCGTCTGTACCGTCGGAATGCTGTGTTCATTGGTTGCAGTTGGCGGACTAGGGACCACCCGCTAAGACGGTGTATTCACGCACGGTGTTGGTATTGCGATTGTGGTATTCGCTTATATCAACATCATCTTCTTCAGTTTCTCCATCGGCATGTTATCCTACACCATATCTTCGGAAATGGCAGTCGACCGGAACAGAAACCACTTTGATCTGCTTGGTATACATGTGGTTCTGTGTTGGCAAAACGGCAGGTCGCACGAACAACGATATCGATCGACTGTTCCAAGAGAAAGTGCCGGTTCGTCAATGGCAGGATTATGTTCTCGATCAGGAATTGAGCGGTGCGGAAGATGGGTAAAGCTCATCGACGGAGGAGATCGAATACCGTGCTTAGATTGTTGGCGGTTGCTTTGCTTGATCCCGCTTTTTGATAGACTGGAAATAGACTTTACTTTATCCTCAATTTGCTCCGAGATCTTTGTATTTGGACTGGTCTAGAGATGCACAATTCGAAGTTTATAGGAAAATCCCCGTAAAAATCTTAGGACGTAAGACAAACTAGAGGTATAAGAACAAAGCAAATGGAAGGGTTAAATAATTCATCATGATTGATGCTCGTTGAAAGTAAAGATGATACATGAACATGACTCCACAATATGCAAACATGAATGAACCTAGAGGCCCAGGCATAGCTGGGAAGAAAAGCCAGTGAGATACACTGTAAGATAATCATAAAATGAAGGGAAAAGGTAGCATATTGCACTTGCTTAAACACTTCGGGTAAATCCGTTGCGTTCTTCTTCGGGATTTTTGCCTGCATCTCCGTTTTCCTTGTTTTCCTTGTTTTCGCTCTCAGCCTGAGTCCTCTCCTTAGCCCTCTCCTTTCTCTCGCGCTTGTAGCGTTCAAAGTTTAGCGGCACATGTGCAAGACCACGAGCACCAGTCCGTCGGATCCGCTGTTCGGTGCGGGACATGGGCCGGTCCGGGGTATCAGGGGCGTAAGCGACTTCGTATCCTCTGGCAGTGCGATTAAGTGTCAGACGAGGGGGTACTGGATAACGAGCGGGTGGGGGGATATTTCGGGCGTGATACTTTTCTAGGATGCGGGCAGCGGGGTTCCAGTTAGGATCATGCCATGGCTGTCTGATTGGGCCAGTCCAACCATCAAAAATTCCAGGACCGGTCCGTAACTTTTCGGCTAGGATACGTGCTCGGGAAAGCGCGATCTCGTCTTCGTCAACTTGGCGGGAGCGTTTCAGTCGAGCCTCTTCGATGTACTGAAGTTGTTCTGGGGTCAAAGGCTTTGGTTCACACAGGGCCTTGGCGCGTGCAAGCTTCTCCTCGAGTTTTTCCAAAATTGGAAGCTTCGGCATGGGACGATTTTCTGCTTTGTAGACGGAGAAATTGAAAGGAACGTGTTCGTCAGCTGTGGGAATCTTAGATAGCTTAGCACTTGGGCCCTGTTCACCCGACTGCGGTTCAGCCAGTTCCTCCAGGTCTCGCTTCTTTTTCTGAACTTGAGAGTCATTTGGCAAAGACTGTATCGCCTCATGGTTGTCTTCAAAGCGCACGGAGCGTTTGAAAGATCCATCCGACGATGTGAATGAAGAGCTCCCTTTCAGTGAAGAGCGCCTCTTTTGCTGATGGGTTGTGTCTTCATCTGTAACCTCATGGTGACGTTTCTTCGGCCATGTGTGCCCTGGTTCGACTGGAGAATCTGTGGTTGGGAACAAAGCCTTTGGAGGCTGAGATGCAGTCAATTCATGGGAGTACGTATCTGACGTGGTATCAAATATTTTAGGGCGTTTCAGTGCTTCGAATAAAGTACGGGGAGGTGAGGCGGCAGCGAATGAAGCCCGCGAAACAGAAGCGGGGCCACTGACGGGGAGTGGAGCGGACTTTGTAGAGGGAAGCTGCGCCGTTGTTGGCGCGGAGACACTGAAGGTCGGTGTTTCACTCGGCTTAGTTGGAGCGAGACTGCTTAAAGGTGCAGATATGATCGATGATGGTTTCTCGAGCGGGGAAGGAGCGCTCGCCGGGATATCAGCTTTCTGGCTTGGCTTCACTACCTCGGGGCTTGCAAATTTAGAGCTTGGAATTACATCCGCATTCTTCGTTTGGAAGAACGAGGGTGTCTGCTCCGGCGCCGACACAACTGCAGGCTCCTTGGCTTTCACAATTGTCTCTGGTGCTTTGAACCCCGTGAAGGGAGACGAGGCAGCAGTTGCGGTATTGAGACCGAGAGCCGAGCTTGATGAAGATAGCGGACCGCTTGGGAAGGCAAATGGATTCGTTAGTGCAGATGGCGCAGGAGCTGGCTGTGGCGTCTCCGTCTTCGAATCGACTGGCTTCGAAAATGAGAATGAAGACGGAGCAGGAGCGAATACCGAAGCCTCTTTGTCGGATGTCGATGTCACAGACGATAAAGTGCTTGGTTTAAATAGCGTGGACGTCTCAGGGGTGGTTGTTGTAGTTTCCGTCTTCTGGATGGTCTCTGCTGGCTTGGAGAAAGAGAACGAAGATGATGCGGGGAAAGGGCTCGAGCCGGGAGCGAACACAAAGGCAGGTTTGTTCGCAGTCGATGCCACGGGAGAAGTGATGGGCTTGAATAGTGTAGACGCCGCAGGGGTAGTTCCTGGCAAAGTCTCCGCCTTCTGAGCTATCTCTGTTGGTTTGGAGAACGAGAATGGAGAAGGTGCGGTGGATGAAGTCGAGCCAGAAGCTAGGATAGAGGTAGGTTGGTCCGAAGTTGATGGCACAGAAGGAAAAACACTGGGCTTTGAAAGCGCAGGTGGACTTGCTGCAGGCGTCTGTGTCTGGAGACCTGTGGCAGCTGGCTTTGGGAATAGGGTTGAACTAGCGGAGGCGAATTCGGATGGCGACGGGCCGGGAGGACTGGTAAAAGAGAACGGCGGTTTGGGAGTTTCAGTGTCAGACTTGGAGGGAGGGAAGCTTGTCTGGAAGGGCGAGGGTATCACATTGGCGGTTGCTGCGGGAGCCTCCGCCTTATTGCCTGACTCGGTTCCTTTTGGGAACATGAATGGATTTGCTGCAGGGGCAAAAGGAGACGGCGCGACGGGTGCGACAGAGCTCGAGGTAACCGAAGCTGCAAATGGATTCGTGGAGGGAGGGAATGTGGAGGGAGGGTTTTGGGGGGAAGCCAACGGAGATATTTTCGATGATTGCAACGCCGCGAATGGGTTTGACGGCTGCAGGGCGGGAGATGGGAAGTTCGGTGTGGTCAAAGAGGGCGAAACTGCAGGAGTAGGTTGGAAAGACTTCTGAGACTCAAAGGCGTTTCGAAATTCAGAAGCAGACGTGTCCGGGGGAAAGATGTTCTTTGTTTCAACCACAGGGGCGGGTGTCCCATTGTCAGCATCACTCACAAAGAGGTCCCCATCTGCTGCATCAGTTTGCTCCCTTTTCTGAGGTAATTGGGTGCGGTCAATCATGCCCATTCTTGCGGCTTCTCTGATGTTCATGCCAAGAATGATAGCAACAAGACTTCGTCCTGCACGCTTCGACTCCACGTAAGTGTCCGAGAAAGCGTGCTCAGATGAAGGTGCAAAGTCTAGAATATTGTTATTAGGAGGCCATTAAGGAGAAAATGTGATGGAAGATGCCGGTTGAGATGACGAGTGGGAGAGTTTTGAGATGGAGTCGAGAGATGAGGGAAAATAACTTACCGATGGAATCGACTGGTCGGTCCCCCCAATTGAGATAAAGCACACCACTCGCGTTCTTTGTAAATTGCAAGCTTTGTGCATTGCAGTATTCAATTGTCTGTTCGTCATTGTCCATGTGCAACACTTTGGTCAGTTCCTCCACAGTCCAATGGTCGTTCTTGGATTGCTGGGACAGCGGAGTCCGGCAATAGGCTTTCCAGATGGCACGAATTGCTGTCTGGCGGATGTGATTGAAATAAACCTCGGCCACACAGGCCATCAGATAAGAGACGCTTGGGGAATTGATGATGTTGAAGAAGCGGGCATAGAATCCCTGGGCAATGGCATTCGGTCGGCGGGCATCTAAGGCACCCTGAGGCTCCCATGTGTTACAAGCAGCAGCAAACAGTTCCAAAGCTACCCGCACTCGAGGTGAAGTGAGCAGAGAAGTTGGCCATTTCGAAACACGGGCCTCCAGATCAGGCCGCTGGTCGTGAATCGAGAACAAGATGTGATAGGCGCGGAATTCGTCCTCGTTGGGGAAGTGAATGCGATCACGATTGTCGTCATAGTAGTACATGAGAGAAAGCATGGTGTTATTAAGCTGTTCACGCTCTTGATGACGGTCGAATGATTCCGTGTTCGTCGGGCTAGAAAGAAGATGCAGAGACACTATGTGGAATCGCGCAATTCTTTCTAGGCAGGTCACCGCAGTCTTCACATCTTCTTCGTGCGTAAGTTGCTGCACCGAGAAATCATTTCGAATTGAGCGTGTTCGGTTCCAGACGAACATGTGCACAGCGGCCAATGGTTCACCACCATTGATAACATGACGGATGAGATAGTTCATGGTCTGCAAGAGTGTCTTTGGGGTTCGGATATCCGAGGGCAATTGCTCGTCATTTCCAGCCGCTGCACGCCGGAAGCGTTTGACCATCTTAGTTTCCATGATCTGAAGCTGGTTTGTTGACGGGTCCAGATGCTAAACTAGTGTGTCAGCAAGAACGCAATGAGAGGCAATTGACCTTATCTACCTTTTCACATTTGTCAACTGCCTTTTGCACAATACGCTCCACCCTCTCGAACTCAGGACACATGCTGGTACAGGTACCGACAGGTGTGATTGCCTGGTTCAATGAGGTCGGCTGGTTTGGGTCAGCCATTTGCCCGTCCTTGATTGCTCTTTCGCGCTGTTTCACTTGATCGATTTTGAGCTGTGTCGCAGGTTAGTTCCGTAAGATTTGGAGTCATAATTCCCGGGTTCGAGAAAGGAGCAGACCGACCCTATCAAAGCGTTCTTGATAACTGCCCATCATAGACGCATTATCCATAGACGCCACGGCATGTGAGCCGCCGCCAATGATCTTAGCCGGAGGCTGCTGATTCATATTGGCTGTAGGCTGAGCGAATGGGTTTTTGGCAACGTTGGAGGAGGAAAGACCGTTTTGAACTCTGGAAAAGGGAGACGCTTGAGCAGGTTGAGCACCGAACGGGGAAGGAGCAGATTTTTGTTGGTTGAGTTGCGCAAAGGGTGAGTTCACAACAGCAGGCCCGGAAGCTTCTGTGGGTTGGTGTGTACCATTCGTGGGGTAGTTTGCAGCGCCTGCGCCGCGACCACGACCACGAGCCGTCCACGTCGCCGATCCTCGTCCACGTCCTCGAGCTCTCCCTGCACGAGGCGCACCTGATCCCCTCGCCACATATGTCGAGTTGCCTGTACTCGCGCCTCTTCCCCGTCCCGAGCTTTGCACGCCTGGCGCGCCTCCCCTGTGGCCGCGGCCAGCAGAGGGAACAAATGGGCTAGCCATCCTGCCCGCAAAAGCGGAAAAAACTGGATAGGCCGCCGCCTCTTCAAACAGCCCCTCCACTCACACCCTCGTTGGTTTTCTTCCGGGTTTTCGACAAGGGTTGTTCAGATATGCGATGGACACGGTAGAGTCGATTGCGCGAAAATTTCAGATGCTGAATGCTATTATCGGATTCAATACGCCGAGGCGATACCGAAAAAAGTCAGCCCATGTTATCAGATCACAAACGGGCGGTGCGATGGCCCAATACTGCGCGAAAGAAACGATGGATGGATACAAAGAACGACTGGCGGATAAAACTGACGACTCGAATGGACTCGGGGATGGAGATGTGTCCTACCTGTTAAGAACACACAAGCCCGTTTCTTCAACAAGCTGCCTAAGCAGCCTTACACGGTTGTCGGCTTTGATGTTTGCGACTGTTCGGGATCGTTGAGCTGGTGAAGCGTGCGCGTCGGAGTTTGCCGCAGTGGCGCTTGATATTGAACGATAGGGGCGGCGCCTGTTAGTCACCCATGCAACAAAACCTGCAGGGACAAAACGCCGGAGGGCAAGCACACATCAAGCACGGAGCGATTAAGGATTGAGATGGAAGTTCCGCCGCGAGCTTCACCTAGCGGAGTGGCTCCGCTTACTCCGCTGACCAAGCGCGCTGCGGACCCGCGCGCTTGCGTCTAATTGGCCGCTGGTCGAGTCGCTAATTTCTATATCGAGCATCACCTCTTACTCAGGGCCAGTGAGATGGAATCTCGCAGAATCAGTGCAAGGGATTACATGGCTATGGCTGTATACTCTTGCTGTACAATCGTGTATTCACTGAATCTCTCTTATCTGGTCCTGGAGCAAATGTTGTCACAAAATATTGGTAGGATCACAGTGGCAGGAGATGGAGATCCTCAGAATCCCACATAATGGCTACATTTTCAGCCATCTGGCAGGATGAAGCCATAATTCGGAGACAGTTATCTACCAGCCCAGAAAATTCATCCGAGGTAGCGAAACCTCATTCCAGCTATACAAGTAACAAACTTTGGTAATCTACACTACTTAGTAGGACTCCAGGAATACCCCTAGCAAAGCTATTTGACGGGAAAATATAAAGAGTTATTTGAGAATGCATCATATTGACAGAATGATTTCCAAGTATCTACCCAAATCTCGTTTATCAACAGCTCCAAGGCATCCAAGCTGGAGGGGGGAAAAACGCATATAAACAACGAAACCACCAAAGGCTAAAGCAGATCAACAAAAGAAACAAAGCAAAAGAAAAAGCCAAACCCAGAAGAAAAGAGAAAAAGAAAACTGCGAAAGAGGGGCGAGGCCAAAACAGAAGATCCAAGAAGACAACCCCACAAAACAAAAGCAAAGACCGGAATGTGAGAATCGCAAACCACAGAGCAAATATATCCAAAAGAAAAACAAAAACGAAACCCCCCCAATGTGTACCAGCTCCTCTTAACATGACACCTCCCAAGTTTTGAAGTCCACAAGAAATTCCAATAAAAAGTATACCAACTCCCCGGACAAAGCCCAATGATAAGCGCTAAGATTGTGTATCAGAGCCATCACTCGTTTATGTTCATTAATGCCCAGACCCATGCACCTTTTGAATCGCCATCTGTAAATCAACGTCATTCGTGACAACACCCTCCAGAGTAGGATCGAACCCAGTCATTTAGACAACGTGGGAGAGAGGCATCCCATTGGGGTGACCGAGTGATCCTGTGCGGAAAGGCAGGGATCGTTGGTCCATGTGAGACTGGGCGTGATGGTGGGACATGTCATGCATGTGTGGTACCATGGGCATCTGGTAGGTCATTGAATGCTGGGGCACACCCTGAGTGGTTGCGGGTGTAGTATAATCGACAGAACTGAAGAGATTCTGTCGGAAGGAGGGAGTCCAGGGGTCGTAGTGGGCGGCAGCTCCTGCGCGTTGATCAGAAGTGGTGCCCGAGAAGGAGCTGTGAGCGGAGTAGTCGAAGGCCGAGACATCGTGAGGGCTGATCATCTCTGCCGTCACAGGAGTGTTGAGCATGGGCTGTGAGAATGAGTCTGCGTATTGGGGTGGGGTGGCATAGTATGGGCGGTCCTGGCGGGCTGGGTTTTCGAAGGTGAGAGGCTCTGCCATGGAAAAGCTGCCAGGGAGGGAGCGTGCGGAGGAAATGGCGTCGATGGGCGTGGTCAAACCAGCGGACACTTGCTCAAATGTAGAGATAGGGGTCATCAATCCTTGGTTGGCGTGCTCGGGCTCCTCAAGGGTCACTGAGGAGGGTGCGTCGGCAGAGTCTTCCTCCTCATCACCCTTGGGGCTAGGACCACGGTTCATGGTGTAGACGACCATATTAGCATCGACTTCGCCTCGTTCGAAACGCTCCTCCATCTTGCGGACCCGGAGGATCTCGTAGATGATCTCAACATGTGACGCGTGCTTCAAGCTCCTCTTGGTGTCGCCAGCAACATCCTTGAGCTTATCGGCAGTGATACCGTAAGAGCTGAGCTTGCGGATAATGTGAAGCAAGAGCTCGATGCGATCTGTAGGGAGCGAGTTAGCAAGCTTCTTAACAATGACACCGAAGGTGCAATCATACACTCTTTCCTCAAGTGATCAGGCTCCTTGTGCATGACACCAGGAGGCCACCACTCGGGCTTGGTCTTTTCTGGGTCGCCAGTAGTACCGGGAGCGGATCCTGGTGGGGGCTTGCCACCGTTGTATGGGTGTCGGACCTGCTTGCGAGGCTCGATGAATTTAATGAATGCCTTAGCAACCATGCGGCAGTTAAGCTGTTGGAAGTGCTTGAGAGCACCCTCGTAGTAGCTCATAACCTTTTGGGCATCTCCAATGCGGAGAGGCACCATTTCAGTGGACGCATTAGAGAAGTCCTCGTTGTCAGAGCCTTGCTCATTCAGGCGATCATCGCAGACAGAAAGACCAGAAGCATTGCCCTTGCGACGTCGCACCCGACGAGGAGAAGAGTCCATGGTCTCTGTATATCGATATTAGTATATACTAATGTTGAGGAGCTGGAATATGACGTACGGCGAACGGGAACATGGTAGCCAATGCGTTCACCCAAAATCTCAAGGAAGTTCTGGCGGACTTCCGGGGTGAAGACAGTGGAGTTGTGCTCTTGAATAGAAGCTGATTCATCAACCTTAAGCTTGCCGTCATGGTCGAGGTAAATCATGGCAAAGTGAGCATAAGGAGGACGGAATGATGAGCGAGAGTGGGTCATCATAGACTGGTGCAGCAAGTCAGCGAGGAACCAGAGGCTCGGTTAAGAAGAAGACATACAGGAACAACGTCCCATCCGGGAGGCCCTTCAAGAGCTGAGGCGGATCTCTTCATGGCTCCGGAGGTGGGGTTGGGTTTACTGTAAACCATTGCGTCGTGTAGCGGAGATGTCGAGGTGGAAAAGGTAGAAGATGACGCAATCGTCTTGAGAAGAGTAAAGTCTCAACCAATATAGTGCATACAGATATCAGAGGCGATATAGAGAGAGGAGTTCTGGCTGTGCTCGAGGAAAAGTCGATCTCTTTATAGATAGTGTTCCTCGGGTGGCGGGGTTGTGGGTTAGGTTGGTAGGACCTTGGTACTAATGCTATCGACAGATAGTCAGTTCACGGCTCCTAAACGTCTTCGGCAGCATCAACCCGTCCCCGGGGAGGGAATCATGGACAACGAACGGCGGGAAAGCCCTATCCGCTCCGGAGCGGGAACAGGTAGGACAAACGCCGTCCACCCGACCACGAGTTCCAATCACGTCCTTGCAAACAGCGGGATGTACTCACACTCTTCAAGACGACAATGTGCAAGTGTCTCAATGGGGGGATGACGGGTGACTGCAGTTACTGCTGGTAGCCGGGGATGCAGGAACGAAAGGAAGCCTCCGGTGTTCTTGTGTTCCCAAGTAAACGAACGGGTTGGGATAGTTGGAAATGAAATATGAAGTTCAGAAGATGGGTTCAAGGTCTTTAAATAAAAGAGCCGGGGAAGTATACTTTGGGAGAAACTGAAATAAGAAGGGGATATGCAAGCCTTTTTCAGTTCCAGACTTTAACGTGTAGAGTGACAAAAGCACGAGAAAATCCCCAAAAAATCAAAAGAAAATGTAATAATCAAAAAAGAAAAATCAAAAAGACAATACCTGGATGATCCCAGAAGGTCTCTGATCGTATGCATGCAGCGAGATTGGCGCACTTCAAGGACGTGCAGTAGCTTAGTCTGGAGGACCCGATCCAGGATCCCTGTTCCCACTATTTGTAGATCGCAGGTATTGATTATTTGATTTGATTTGATTTAATTTGATTTTATTATAAGGATTATTTGAATTTCGAATTCCGTTTTTCCCTTTTAACGAATTCCTATTTATTATTCCCAGTGGCGCTCATTATCGACCCTCCCCACAACCCTCATGGCTGGTCACCTGGGCAGTGAGCCCTAGGGGATCAGATCCCTGGGCCTACTATTGGTATACGAGGCATCCGGGCTAGACCCTAGATTCGCACATCGTAATGTCCTCCCAAATGAGTTCCTAATAAGCACTCGCGTCTAGCTGTCAGGCACCCAAAACACCCGGGGAGGCGCACAGGCCGAGTTGACGCCGTGTGGGTGCTATTCTTAACCTGCAGATCCCAGTATCGTTTCCCAGCGATTCGTCCGTCTTCCCCTTGGGTCCGGGGAAGATGATGCCTACATTATCCTATTAGATTACATATTGCTGCGAACCCATTACTTCAACCTTTCCATGGATTCAGATATTATCTGTAACATTTGGTGTTCTCGATCATCGGATCTCAACGCAAATGTGCCCCGGCACTAGTGTTCGCAACCCCAACCAACCAAAGACATGAATCCACCTTTCTCCATTTCTGTGTGAACCTATCAAGGTGCGGCTTGTGCAGGGCCCAATATCCTGGATCCTGGGAGATGACTCGCCGATAATCTGTCACTGTGTTTCTTTTTTTTTTTCTATTTATTTTTGGTCTTGAATATTCCCGGAGCTGTCGATCTCCGTTGACAGCAACGTCGGGGTGGCAAGCCAAAAGCAGTCCAATGACCCGCCAAATGCATATATGACCTCGGGCTTCAGCTGAGCAGAGTCCAAACCCCTGAGATCAACCGTTGCAAGTCTGCAGTAATAAAAAACCAAATCGAAATCAGTTAAGCAAAGCGGGGGTTGAACAAAGTACATATTGGTATACGACCGTCGCTCTCGCCTACAGTGAAATAAGAGAAAATTCGAATGTCAAAAATTAAAAAATAATAATAATATAAATATAAAAAATATAAAAAAAGCGCCCTAAGACGAATCGAGATAATAAACAGTTTGGCATATCCCAATACTACGGCATGATCTACCTCGGGGAAGAAAAGTGGTCGCAAAATGGTTCGAGTAATTATCCCACGGTGGGTTAGTCGTGGTACTTTTTGACGTTCGGGGACCTTTTGTGACAGCCCAATCAGAAGCTCAGTTACCACCGGTGTCTTCCCCCTGGGTCTGTGCTAAGACTCCAGGGGAAGGGGACACTCCACCCAAGATCCTGTCAACGCGTCCATCTCCCGCCTGGTGGACTACAACCCTGGGTTTAACGCCAATTTACCATCTTGAAACTAAATGACCGGGCCCAAATTGGCTTGGAAGATAGCCCATTCAATAATGTCGGAAAAGGAGAAAGGAGCGCCAATGATGGCGGAGTTTGTCTACTGTCTCCGAGCTTCCGACATACACCGTAGCACTATCTTAACGACGTAACAGGGGAAACATCCTCTCGATCTCAAACTATCCATATACAACATACGCTAGATCGGGGAAGCTGCAAGAGGCCAAGTTTGCTTTTTGGGGTTTGTTTTTCCACTCCGTAATGCACGATCAACCCCCGCTGTGATGGTGTACTTTGACTATTGTCTCCATCTGATCAGTCCGATCAATGCCATTTACTGCCTACGGTAACCTTGAAATATTCGAACTGCCGAGCCGTCTTCTCCGTACGAAGTGCTCCATACCTACAGAAGCACTAACAGATCGGAACTGCATCGCCTTGCAAATCATTGCAGGGAGCAGCGTACGCAAAAGCCAATGGGGCAAAGTAGATTCCCTCGGATGACCGCAGGGTGTAGAACAAAGCAATCTCATCGAAACGGAGTACACCGATGATCGATGCAAAGAAGCTGAAGCCCTCGATACACTGTCCTTTTTTTCCCTCTCTTTCTTAGATCCCTGGCAAAATTAGGCGTAGGTATACGGAGTACAACATATATGCGAGAAAACGTCGCAAAATCCTTCCCGATTTGTGGAGATGTCATGGATAGTGTCAAGCCGTTGGCTTTTAGTGTTCGGGGATGATCACCTACTTCTTTGTTTGTGCCCCGTTGACCCATGCCACTTTCCAGGTTGTTTGCTTTGTCTGATTAGCCGCCGCGCTATCTTAGCCTGTCAATCGAGTCAATTGGAGATGGATGTTGGATCGGATAGTTACCCAAAAAATAAATCAATACACAAAAGTCCTAGTTACATTTGAAATCGCGGATTACTCCGAATGTACTCCGTACTCCGTACTCCGTACAGATTCAGATTCAATATTCCATTTCAATTAAAAAATGGTGGAGTCTAGACTTATGACGCCCCTTTTTTTTTTTGAAGGAACATGCCAGAGCGATCTCCAGCATCTGCCACCTTCTCATTGGGCGTCCCGTGGGTTAGCCACAACGTGGCTCGGCTATTTCGAGCACCGCCACGAGCCATGCCAGCTGAGAGGGGTGCTCAATGAACTCTCTCATACTTAAGATGCAGCAAGGGACTGCGATCATGGATGTTCCCTGGGGGAAAAATTTAAATCAATCTGGAAACCCCCGACAAACGTCAGTTTGACAGCGCTTGGCACTGTCAATTCTGGTCACGCTTGGTCACGCTAGTTTCAAAGCAAACAATTCACCCTGATCCTACCAGCGCCGAATATTAATCTAGTGACCGCTATTGCCGCTATGCTCGGAAAAGGGTCCGGGGCTGGTTTGCTGATGCAATCAGCCTGAAACCTCAAAATGAGGCGCGGGCTCGGCGGATATGTGACAGCGGGTGTGCACTGGCGGGGGATGAAAATCACTGGGTGGGGGGGGCTGGTCGAAAGGATGAGGATGACTTCAAAAAAAAAATGCCTCGATTGGGGTTGGCTAGGGTTGGCATTGGGAGATCTACATTACAAAAGAACGTCAGTAGTGTTGGTGTCGCACTCCCACTTCTGGAACGCTCGAGAAAAGGTCCCCGATGGACGTATGGAGTATTGATGTCGTTTTTGGGTTCGGTACACCGCTACGGGGAGAAAGGAGCTGAAAAATTGTATAAAGGAACCTTCGACAGGGTTCTGGGCGTCTTTTGACAAATTGTGTACTTCATGTTTACGAAATATAGCGCGCTTCAAAGCTCGATTGTCCAACAGTCGGCCTAGATGTCATCTCGATCGATTGAGCGAGTTGACGTGCAGTGAAAGGGGGAACCTGTGAGCAGGGGGTAATAGTGTATACAATGTGTGAGTTTGATCGTACAGAGAGTATCAGGCGGAAGAGCGAGCTGGCTGTTCCTCAACTGCATGTTCCGTGTGCTACCAAAGTACTATTGAGAGGCAACCGGCTCCCATGACGGATAGATCTTCGAAATCAGACAAGCAGACCATATTCCTGGTCAGAAAATAGACAGTTGCGTCCGTAAAAGTATCCTCGTATTGCCTGAAAAACGTTAGGGCCTATGAATCCAGTAGGATGGTCAGGACACCCAAACAGACAGACCAAAAAGGCACACATGCATTTTTTTGCGCAGATCCGAACGGTCGCAACCCCGATCGATCAATGATGCATATCGATCGAGCACGATCGGACTGACAAAAGGCAGGTTCTACGTCATCCAGCGTCCACCTCTTTGTCGGGGCGTTTTGGGGCCGTAGCCGGGACCCGCAGCGCCTCGGACCCCCAGATCAATATTCTATGTTTAATATCAAGATTTCCAGGGCGTTCATGGTCAGAAGGACAGCCCTTGTACTTTGGCCGACCAATCGCAAGCCCCCGAGGACAGTTGGGGAAACCCTGGACCTACCCCTTTCGTCGAAAATCTAATCTCGCTACAAGCCTAGGGCCCAGACTCGACCCGACCCGACCCAGCCATTGGACTGGAGCGGGTCGGGGATGGCGGTCCGGCAGCAGTAAAGCTGTCAAACACCAAATACGGTCTAGTGCATTCCCCGCTGTCCCGGCGGAAGGGTCAAAGTTGGGGATCCAAAAGTCTCTTGCTCTGCACCCAGCGGGTTGGAACTGGGTACGGAGTACGGAGTACGGCATACAGACTAGAATTGACCTGGTGCCCCCTTTATTCAACTGTATATGATGAGATCAAT